ACATCTCTTGTTACACATCAGTAGATGCTGGTTGTGTCTTGGCTACATTTACAGCCGAGAAACGTGGGCTGCCACACTGCCAGCATTTTACCCGCGCAGGAAACTTACTTAGTCATGACGTGTCCATACCTTTATCTCCTTTCCCGAGTCACACGAGAAAGTTGCAATTTGCCATGTGCAAACGGGAGGGAAAGAATGGTCCGCAGTTGAAACGTGAACAAGATCGTCTCTGCGCGCGCGAGGGGGAAAAAAAAGGAGAAGAAAAAAGAAACTTTGGATCTAAGAGTTCAGCCACGAGAAGCTTCAGCAAAAGCTTCGCAGAGCTTCCTCGCAGCTGGTGGGCTGCAAGTCGGGTCCGAACCCCTCGCCAAAAGAAACTAGCTCAGCATCGTCGGTTATTATAAGAAAAGTTTAAGACGAATCAGCTGAGAAGAAACCTTATGTCTACCAAAAATTGCCGCAATCGACACTGCGCCGTGGTGGTTTATCGTACATCTCACGGGCAGACTGCAAATGATCCAAGGACGATCCCAATTTGGACCATGTATGCACTGTAAGCTGTAGAAAAAAGCTGTAGGAAGCTGTAAGGGCATCATCATCTGCCCGGTGTCTGTAGGAAATGTTTTGCCTACTTGCCTGTAAGCTGTAAGGGGCTATGGTACCAGTGCATTGCCAACGTTCTTTCTCGCACAGGTATCAAATAGAGGAAAGGAAAGCGAGAAGTAAGCGCGGTAATGTTCTATGTGACCAGCTGCCACACTGGAGGCGAACATTGGGCGGGTAATGAATCACTGTCGCACGCAGAATTCTCGCTAAGAGCTAAAGAAAAAGGCCGGGAGGAATATGCGGCTGTCTTCGAGCTTCGGCACCGAGTGGGCCTCCTGTTGGGGATTCCCGTCCGTCGCTCCGTGGTTCGATGTAACCGCACGATCAGGCCAACCTCAGCCACCCGGGAGGCAGGGCAGGGCAGGGCAGGGGCAGAGGCAGCCTCGGTCTTTAGTCATGTCAGACCGAAAACGCGACGCCGAGTTTGATTTTGTATCTTGATGGTATATGAAAGCGCTGTGAATCATCAGACTTGTTATTCAAGATCACAAGTGACAGCGTAACAACATTGTATTCAGACACGGCATATATTCCAGCAGTGATTGTAAAGAAAAGCAACTTCTTGGTCTACCCAAATCGCTCTCAATAACAGAGAGAGAGAAAAAAAAAACGAGTCGCAAACATGGGTTCTCTCGGGGAATCAATGGATTCAAAGCCGGTGGGCTCCTATTCCCCAACTGGCATCGAAGTCCTTATCGTCGGTACTGGTTTGGCTGGATTGACTGCCGCGATCGAATGCATACGCAAAGGACACAATGTCCGCATTCTGGAGCGCAACCAGTCCATCAACACAGCTGGTGTGTAAAACTCTATCACATGGGACCCCTTCAATTTCGGTGCTAATATGAAAACATCAGGCGACATGTACTTCATGGGCCTGTCGGCTACTCGCTTTTTCAAGCACTGGCCTGAGCTGGCGGAAGAATATGATTCAATCTCTCTGCATAATGCCTGGATTGAAACATTCAAGCATGATGGAGAGCGCATGATTCCTCCGTCCTATGTATCTGAGCGACTACGCGCACAGGGTTTGGATCCCAAAACGCCTCCTGGTACTTTTCAGATGCGACCTTTGGTGTACAAGATGTTTGTTCGCCAGGTTGAAAAGTTGGGTGTAAAGGTGCAATTCGGAAAGAAGATTGTCGACTATCGCGAGGACGAGTCCAAGAAGAAGGCTTATGCCGTTAGTGACCAGGGGGAGGAATTTGAGGCCGATGTGATCATTGCCGCAGATGGTGCGTGCACCCCAAATCATAATACTTGTAGCCCTATCAGATGTTGAGTATCAGATTGCTAACAAGACGTACAGGTGTCGGATCAAAGAGCCAAAAGCTCGTCGGCGGCCAAGTCCGGGCCATGAGCTCAGGGAGAGCCATGTGGCGAGCCGCATTCCCCCGCGAGGTACTGGACAAGAACCCGCAAGTCAAGGAATTCTTCAAACTAGTCGGTCCCAACGACAGCGAGCCCATCATTCGCACGTGGCTGGGGTAAGATCGATCTCCCGCTCACATGATGGCATTTCCATTCACTGATCTTGCATATCAGCCCGGGCACTTACGCCATGACTCTATCGCGACCGGACACAATGATCTGGATCATGAACCACGATGTGAGTAGCGCGATGTTAACGGTGTGGAATGGACCTGAATCTAATCTACAAACCACGTGCAGGTCACTGGTTCCGAAGAGGAGAATTGGAACAACACAATCGAGTCCGACGAGGTACTCCAGAACATGGACAAGGGCGTCGGACCCAAGCCGTGGGCACCCATGTTCAAGGAGCTCATCAAGCTCACACCGAGCAACACCATCATCAACTTTGAGCTCTTCTGGCGTAACCCGCAGCCAAAGTGGTGCTCACCAGCCGGCCGCGTGATCCAGATTGGCGACGCTGCGCACTCTTTCCTCCCCGCGTCCAGCAACGGCGCGACCCAGGCCATTGAAGACTCCATCTCCATCGCCTCCTGCCTACAGCTGGGCGGCAAGGACAACATTCCCGAGGCAGTCCGCGCCCATATCCGGTTCCGCTTCACCCGCGTGTCGTGTGCGCAAAAGCTGGGCTTCTCAAACGCCGAGTTGCTGCAAGACACGGACTGGTCAAAGGTCAAGCTCGACCCCAGACGGGCACAGCCGCGGCTGCCCAGCTGGGTCTTTAGCCACGACCCCGAGAAGTACGCCTATGAAAACTACGACAAGGTTCTCGAGAGCATGCGCAAGGGTATTCCCTTTTCCGAGGACGATAGCATCCCGCCCAATTATCCTCCTGGATACAAGTACGAGCCGTGGAGCATTGATGAGATCATGGACGACGTGAAAAATGGCAGAGAGGTCAACGTTGGCCCGGGTAACTGGGAGTAGGGGTAGACCCGTGGGGGTTCGCCTGTTTTTTTGTTTTCCTCCCCCAAAGGTAAACGTGAAATTGTACACGCCCGTGGGGGCAACAAGTTTTCTCAGTGCAATGCATAAAAAATTACTAGGTGTCCAGTCTGAGAAATATGCTTGGATATAGTTTCGGGGTCGCATTATGCATTATTCTAGAATGAATTGGATATATTGGCGTTCAGTGTATTCTCGATCGCTGAAAGCTAATAATAGTATCGCTTTTGAAGAAATCGCAGCAATCTTTTGGGTTCAACGCTACGGGTGCAGCCTTGATCGCCAAAGCTCGAGGTCAAAATCATGCAGTGGCATGTGAGAATTCCTCCACCTTCGTCATACAGAGGCTTCATCAACCATGCTGCTCTCCTTGATCCTTATCTTGGACCAAGGGTCATGAACCCCGTCATTGATAACCTGTGTGCCATCGACAACCAAAATATCTTGGTGCACCGCATGTGAGATAAGCGTTTCGTGTGCCGGGAACGCCCAACTCAAAAGTGCGTACACTGCAAATGTCGACGAGAAACCGTACAGGTAAAACATGTCATAAATGTAGGATGCGCCGCCGATATCCAGCGAAGTGTTGACAGCGGCCGCCATTCCGGGCAAGTTGGGAACCAGACCAATGAAAAAGGCCACGGCGGCACGCCAATTCGTTCCGCAGGCATTCTGGTAACTATACCGAGCGCGCCGACGGTACAGCGCGGGGACATCAATGGCTTTCCTCTTGATGACCCAGTAATCGCAACCAAGAATAGCGGCAATGGGAGCGAGAAAAACTCCCATGGCACTCATGAAATTCAACAATGACTCGGCGTTGCTGATGATTAGCCACGGGACCATAATCCATCCTGCAGTGATAGTTGTAATAATGACGCCACGACGAATATTGATATACTTTGGCCATAGATTCGTCATATCATTGGCACAAGATACAACATTTGCGCTCAAATTTGTACCAATCTGAGCTAGGCAGAAAGACACTCCCACAAAAAAAGCCCCAGCCCGACCTCCAGGTGAGGTCCAGTTGGACGCCAGAGTCAATGGGTCCCAAATCTGTAGATCACAGCACGTTAGCCTTTATTTTACAATGATTTCGAAATACTCACATAGTCTCCGTAGACCACCTTGGCGCACGAGGTCCCAATAATACCAAAGACACCCAAAATAGTCAAAATCATGGGCACAAATAGAGCCTGCCAATAAACGCCCTTTGGCTTTTTCAGGTACCTGGTAAAGTCGGCCACATTTGTCGCCATGGTCGCCCAGCCACCCGTCATGGACGACATGGAGGAGACAATCAGCCAGGCTCTCGTGGACCCGGTGACGGTCGGCTGCTGGTCCCATATATCGCCCGTGCCGTTGGCCATGCGCGCCATGCCAATGACGATGCCCGTGGCCGCCAGGATGACTACCACGGCCTTGGCAACAAAGAACCACCGCAGCTTGTGAGGCGAGATCAGCAGGACGGGAAACTGCACGCTCCAGAAGATAAAGTGTGAGACCATTTCCTGCGTCGTGATGCCAGCGGATTCTGGAAGGTGGTTGGGGATATCAAGGTACGACGGCCAAATCGAGCGTATGACCTGAGTCATGGCCGTCGATCCTGAATAAGTTTGGATCGAGTGCCAGAAGAGAGCAGTCACCATGCGGACAATAATTGGGAACTTTGCAAAGAGGAAACCAAAACTGGAACGTGCGACCACGGGAAACGGGACGTGGAGCTCGGCGCCAGCGGCACCGTTGAGGCAAAGGGGAATAGTAATGGTGAGAGTGCCTAGGATCAAACAGTAGACTGCTTCGCGCCTATTCAAGTATCAGCCAGAACCTCAATTCGCAAACCTGCTGACTCTTCCTACCATGTTAATCCAACTGATATCAAGATTCATGTCAGCAACCAGCCTTTTCAACGTGTGGCGGGCTATAGGGTCTAGTCCTTACCAGCTATGATGGCCGATGCTGCTGACCAGCTCTGTACAGAGAGAGCATCGCTGAGCCAGAAGCCTAGAATAGTCCAACTGTTCCACGTACGGTACTCTTCTGGAGTGACGTCGGAGTCGCGATTGCTCCATGTATTCTCGTCAGCAAAGGTCATTGGCTGCTTCTCGAGAACCCAACCCTCCACCGATGTCTTTGAAGCAGCATTGCTTCTAATCGACTGGAAGCGGCTCCTGAGCCCATCCATCATTATCAGTTTGGCCTTCAAGACCCTTGAAAAATCAAATCTATAGTCGCGGCAGATTCAGTCGACAGTATGAGTTTTGCCTCTCAAAGCACTCTGGAGCCCCAATAAATGTCACGATTTAAAGGCATAACTATGGGCAAAAGTTTTAAAGGTTCGTCCAAGTGATTGTATATCAATCATCCTCTCGCTCTATGTTCTGAGAAAGGAAAATCACTGGTCGATCACATCAAATGTTGCTATCGTTATCTATCACCATTATCGTCCTACTGCCTATTGCCAAGGTTTGTCTGCGGCCGTTGTGGGGTCTCCATCGGCACAATGCTGTCGAGCCATGTTGTACAATTTACATTCACATTTCATCGGGGCAGTCCGATGGACGAATTGGAGGTGATTCCGGCGGTCTCGATGCAACTGGAAAGAGAATGCAATCAATCCATATGCGTCCCCCGTCGATAGATTTATGTGCATACCGGTGGAAGCATCTTAAATATCAGACAGGTACCAAATGTCCTAGGCGTTACCAAGAATCACGAACTAAACTGTTTTTTGTCCCTATATCTCTTTTTTCGACATGAGTTTTACATCATATAGTGGCAACTCGAGGTCGGTCGTCTCAGACACGGCACGAAGGGCGGACTTTAGCGAGATCCCCCTGATCTCTCTAAAAGCCCCCAAGGAGGACCTTATTGCCCAGCTGACGGATGCGTGCGCGCGAGTCGGATTCTTTTACGTCAAGGACCACGACGTGCCGCAGGGGGTCATTGATCAGCTGTTCCAGACCGCAACCGAGTTCTTCTCCCAGGACCTCGCCCGCAAGAATGAAATCAACTACAAAAAGTCGCGGATCCTCAGAGGCTACGAGCCTCCGGCCGAGGTGAGGACCGATGAGACGAGAAAACCAGATTTGAATGAGGCCTTCAACTGGGGCTATGAGAAGAGTCTCGATCCCCTATTCGCGGGTAGCGATGATACACCAGGTACGTCTTCAATGAAAGAATAGAAATAGTTCAACCAAGTATTCACAAAGGCCCAGAATGGAAAGACAACCCAATGTCGGGTCCCAATGCGTGGCCTGATATGCCCGGCTTTCAAGGGTCAATAAGGGCCTACTACGTGCAAGTCTTGCAGCTAGCACGAAACATGATTCGGCTGTTTGCAGAAGTGCTTCATCTGCCGCCCAACTTCTTTGATGAGCTCGTTTCCACGCCGGGCGCCATGGGCCGATTGATCCACTATCCGCCGCAGCCGGCGTCGGACCCGGACGCGCTGGGCATTGGCGCGCACACGGATATCGAATGCTTCACCATTCTGTGTCAAGGCTCGGTGCCGGCACTACAGATCCTCAACGCCGGCGGCGAGTGGATCGAGGCGCCACCCATCCCGGGCACGTTTGTCGTCAATATCGGGGACCTGCTGGCGCGCTGGACGAATGATCGCTTCGTCTCGACGGTGCATCGCGTCTGGAATGTCACGGGCCAGGAGCGCTATTCAATCCCCTTCTTCTTTGGTGTCAATTACGACGCCACGGTCAGCACACTAGACTCGTGTCTCGCCGAGGGTGAAAAGAGCAAGTATGAGCCCATCCAGGCGGGCGAGTATGTCTGGAAGCGCTTGTCGGTAAGTCGTGTAGACCAGAAAGAGCTTCGAGTTCAAGGTACCCAAGCGGCTGCAGCCTAGTTAGAGATGTCACATTTATGAATACAATCAATAAGCTTGATCATGTCAACTACTATATGCATAGATACCTAGGTATATTTGTAACGTCTCACTTTGAATTATGACTGCAGATAAAGTTATGTCTCCAACCCCGCCAGTAAAAGACATTTCCCAGTCTCAAATAAATTGGGATGGTTTGAAAAAAACACGAAATAGCTGCGAATAGCATTGATACATCGGACTATCGATGGCCGATGTGTTGATAAGCGACATCCTTTTCGGCATTCACTGGGGCCGCAGATTATAATGCCCCTCCCTCCCCGGAAGCTCCGCCCCCAAGACCGCTCCCAAATGGCCGTCGGTTCATCCGCAATCAGCCGGCGGGTTACCACTCACTTATCGCCGCCGGGCTGCCTGATTAGCAATTACTGATATGCTTCTACATGGATGAGGGCAGCAACATTAAGCTCTAGCCAACTATAGAAATCAAGGAGTCTCAAGTCGAAATAGACGAAATCATGTGACACTTTGGATACCCTCGTTTCGTATAGGCCGCACTATCTTACGTCTAGGTAGACAGTGGGGATACTATTCGCGGAAAAATATCATATTCAGCACACTATAATCATTATACCGGCAGCAGCTCCGGAGGCAAAGCAGCACCATGTCTGCAAGACCAAATCACAAAGATGCACGAGCCAAAATTGACGACGACAATGACGACGCGACTGGCCTCGTCTTTACCACGGCCGTTCCCTATGCCTACAAATTCCCAAGGCGGCGGACAGCGCTGGTCCTGATTGACATCCAGCGCGACTTTGTCGACCCAGACGGGTTCGGCGCCATGCAGTGCGGCAACGCCGACATTTTTGCATCGGTCCGCGCCGTGGTGGACACGAGCCAGAGGGCCCTGGCGGCCGCGCGATCGCTGGGCCTGCACATCGTGCACACGCGCGAGGGGCACGCGCCCGACTTGTCGGACCTGAGCGCGGCCAAGGCGCGCCGGCAGGTGGACGCGCCGGGCGGGCACCACACCCTGGGCATCGGGGAGACGGGACCCATGGGCCGGCTGTTGGTCCGGGGCGAGTACGGCCACGACATTGTCGACGAGCTGCGGCCGCGGCCCGGCGAGGTGGTCGTGGACAAGAGCGGCAAGGGCTCTTTTTGGGCCACGGACCTGCACCGCCGGCTCATGGCGCGCGGCATCACCCATCTCATTCTCTGCGGCGTGACGACTGAGTGTTGTGTGACCACGACGGCCCGCGAGGCAAACGATAGAGGCTTCCAGTGCTGCATACTGAGCGACTGCACGGGAGGCTTTGATGCCAATTATGTCAAGACATCGTTGGATATGATATCCGCTTTTGACGGCCTCTTTGGTTTCACATCCACCAGCGGTGAACTGATTGATCAAGCAAAGAGGTCAAATCTCCCGACTCCGCCAACAACCCCACCCACCTGGGATGGCAAAAGCCTCGACCTTGCAACGCTATCTTCCATGTACAGATCCCATACATTGACCCCTACAGAAATGGTAGAGTCTATATATGAGCAAATAAAGGAATATGGCAAGAAGGATCCAAGCATATGGATCCATCTCAGACCAAAAGAGGCAGTTCTCAAGGATGCAGCGAATCTCGAGGCAGAACATGCTGGAGTCAGTAAGCACGAATTGCCAGTCCTGTATGGGATTCCATTTGCAGTCAAGGACAATTTCGATGTAGCCAGCATTGAAACCACGGCCGCATGTCCAGCCTACGCCTACACCCCCAACACGACTGCAGTCTCTGTACAACTGCTGCTCCAAGCGGGCGCGCTCTTGATTGGCAAGACCAACATGGATCAGCTAGCTACCGGGCTGAACGGCTGCCGCTCGCCGTACGGTACACCGGCGAGCGTACATGGCCACGGTAAATACATTTCTGGCGGCTCGTCATCTGGATCGGCAGTCGCAGTGGCCGCCGGGCTGATCAGCTTCGCCCTGGGTACCGATACAGCGGGGAGCGGCCGCGTGCCCGCCGCTCTCAACGGCATCGTCGGATATAAGCCAACAAAAGGAACCATCTCCGCCACTGGTATCGTGCCTGCCTGCAAGAGCCTCGACACCGCTTCCATCTTTGCCCTGTCAATCGAGGATGCAAGGCGCGTCTGGTACGTCCTTGATGCATACGATCCTCGAGATGCTTGCGCAAAGGCGCCTTCGGCTCTGCCTCTTGCCCTTGTGGACTACCGCCATCTGAGCAAGAGAGGTTTCAATTTTGCAGTGCCGCCAACATCGGCCTTGTTGACCTGCTCTGCTGCCTATCGGGCCGCCTTTGAGAAGGCAGTGGCCCGATTGCAGTACATAGGCGGCAAAAAGATAACGCTTTCAGAAGAGCTGTACCAACCTTTCCGCAAAGCCACCGACTTACTGTACAGCGGCAGTCTCGTGGCAGAGCGCATCGCTTGCATTGGTCCTGATTTTGTCACAACAAAACTAGATCAGCTCCACCCGACGACCAAGGCATTGTTTAGTGCTGTCCTTGAGAGAGAATCAAAACCGTGGGATGTGTTCGCTGATCAAATAGCGCAGGCCCAGGCAACGAGGCAAGTTGCCGAGCTCTTCTCGAAACATGGAGGTCGAATCGATGTTTTGGTGACGCCGACGGTCCCCTCTCACCCCATGATAACAGAAATGGAGGCAGAGCCCATTTCACTGAATGCCAAGATGGGCGAGTTTACTCACTTTGGCAATGTTCTAGATCTTTGCGCTGTGAGTGTGGGAGCAGGATTCGTTGAAGACGACATGCCCTTCGCCATTAGTCTAGTATGTGCCAGTGGTATGGACGGGAATATGTTTGATCTCGCAGAAGCTTTTGAGCGGACATGAAGACGAGAAGAGAAAGCGTGGACAGTGTCGATCGGTTCATGTCTCCATTACAGACGATCAAGGATGAGTGATGCAACCTAGATATCATTCTTTACCAACTATCATGTCTTGAAAAGGTCTTATTAACATTATCGAGGCTAGCATGTGTTTCTTTTCCCATGGCTTGGCACCAAGTCCGAGATCTGTGTCTTTCTATGAAAATATGAATATGCTCATCATTGAACTACGACTGTTGTGCTAGGGTTGATGGATATCTGGGGTATCGTATTTGGATCCGAGGGAGCTTTCGAGGATGACGCAGTAGTTGCAACTACTGCGGCCGAGGATGAGACTGTTGGCGCCGTGGTGGCGCCAGTAACCACAACTGTAGTGCTGGGGTTGATGGATATCTGAGGGATCGTATTGGGGTCTGACGGGGCTTTTGACGATGGCGCGGATGATGCAGTTGGCACAGCTGATGATGGGGTAACCACTTCAACGAAGGGAATGGTAACTGCAGCATCATCATTAGCAATCGCTTGCAAAGCAAATAGAAAGTATGGGGGAATATTTGAAGTTCGCTATCGCAAGAGTCTGAATTAGTGAGCGACTTACCAAAAATCGTGGTAGTTGATGAAAATGACTCGGCCGAATTAGTGCTCGATATCGGGTCAACGGTGATGAAAAGAGTGGTTGTACTCGTAGTATCAGTCGTTGAATCTGGAGATGTCGATGCTTCCGTGACGGTAACGGTCACAGATTCTGTCGCTGTCACGGTGACTGGTGGTTGTGTCACTGTTACAGCCTGACAAGTCACAGTGATTAACTGTTCGCCAGGCGATGTCGCAATGGCGTTAGCTGAGCTGGCTGCTGTCGTGGTAGCGGGTGCGTCGACCTTTTCGTTGCCAGCCTCGGAAGCTGTGCCGTCATCAAGGATGAATGTTTGCGCCTCGTTTCCATCCTCGCAATCCGCAATTTCCACGCTATTTCCTTTGACGGTCAAACATGAGGTTGCTTGGTTCTCCGGGGCCAGCGTCAAGGAGCCAGCACTTCCATCGCCAGGAAATAGTTGCGATGTCGTTACATTGCCACCTTTGACAGAAATGTCAGAATATTCCATGCAGATAGTCATCACATTCACTTACTGCCATCTGCAACGCCACCACATGAGAATAGCATGACCTGCTTCCCTGTGGTCTGGGTAGGGTCAAATGTAAAGCATGCTTGTGTCTGCAAACAGTACCTATTTAGTTTATAATGTTTTGCCTTTTAATATAGTATAACTTACCAAGGTGCTGACAATCAAGATGGAGTTTGCGGCATCATTATGCTTTCCTTGGGTAATGATATCAAAGCCCTGACCATCTGTAGCACCACAACCTGCCACTTGGATAGGGGTGAGGTTGGCGGCAGAGTCGCCGGAAAGCTGATCGACAAAGAGACATTTCCCTTTGGAGGTCTACCGAGGGATCAGTCAATAGCAAAAACTCGAGGTTGCAGTGAGATCAATCGCACCTTGATGTTGATATTCGACAGCATTCGTGTGGCCGTATCATCCCGCTGCTGTGCCTGCTGGTAAGAATCCTGGTCGAGCTCATCCACGAGCCGATAGACGGGACCAGCAAACACAGGAGCCGAGAGGGTGGCCAAAAGCGCCGCGGCATACTTGGCGATCATGACGTCTTTTGGCTTGGGAATGCTTATAAAATGAATGACAGAAGAGTGGAGAGATGGGTAGAATTTCTAAAGAACGACTTCAAGCCAATGATAACGGACGAAAAAAAGAGAGAGACTTCTCTCTGGATTGTCAGAGAACGAATGATCCCGCTCAACGGGTTTGAACGTCCGGAAAGTAGAGAAAATGTAACGAATGAGAGGAACGGCGCCAGAGATGAGGAGAGATCATTCACCTTCAGCAAAGAACGAGAAGAAAGTCCCACCACCGTGGGAAGACACAGAGAGAACAAACCACAAACCTCCCGGTCCTTCGATCGAGGAACGGCGGCCAACCCCAGATATGAGAAAAATAGCGGCCGTGTCCATCTCGAGCTGCAGAGAACCAAGGCGACCCCTACCATTCGACCTCAAAGGGGCGCTTGTCCGGGCTACACGGCCATTCTAGAGGAGCAGAAAAATCGTCACGTCTGGCGCTTCGGCATCACCCAAAATGAAGGCCGTTCTTGGCATTCTAATGGTGACTCCACGAGGGGCCAAGGGGGAGGGTTCGATTACCATCAGTATGGCTGACACAACGATTGATGGCCAGGTGCCACATTTGGCCGTGCGGCCTGTATGTACAATAATGACAAGTCAGCAATCTTGCATGAAGACAAAAAAGAGAAATGTAGTTGTTTCGTTTTGAGTGCCAAGAGGCCGTGGTGAGAGGTTCATCTCTTTGTTGCTGGAAGCGCCAGGGGTCATGAGACGAAGCGCGTCGCAGGCGCCAGCATTCAGTGCGGGTACGCGGAGGCCCCTTCCCTCAGGCCAAGCGGCTCTGCGCATGGGGGGGGGGGCAGTTCAAAGACCCGTAGTGGACGTTAGTGGAGTTCATTGGCTGACCGTTGAGACAGTTGGCTCCCAGAGCTCTTCGGGCTCGGCAAGCTAGCCGAAAGAGCACTGAAGCGAAGCGCCCTGTCAGTTGCCAAGGCCTAATCTTAGTGGCCCATTTGATTTTCTAGGTTTTTGATCACTACAGGGTACACCTGTGTCTTGCACATTTCTTCTCTCCATCTGGAACCTTAGCATAGAAAACACTCTCAGTCCACGTGCTGCTTGGGAAGGAGATCAAGACCATCCCAACCTTGCTCAATTTTATGGAGACGGGAAATCCCTTCACATCAAGAAATGACGGCTTCTTTTTCATCCCTGAATGCATCGTTTACGATAAAAAGATTGTATATTGAACAAGTAATGCCATCTTTAATTGCATTAAGCTCGTGGAAAAACGGATCACAGCCCTGATGTGATGTGGTTCCACTGTCGGCTCTTACCGATCTCACAGACGCTGTCTGTGTCTCACAACAAGGGCGCCGATATCCATTCTGTTGGAGGTGTCGACGCTTTACCAACAACCATGGAGCTCATGGGGCACCTGAATAATTCCCTGTTACTTGCATTGTGGATTTGAAGCTGATACGATCAAGGACCATATTCACTGTTGAGAGTAATACCAATCAGTCTACAGAGTACCATCGCATCAATTCTCAACAGTTCAGATACACGTCGAGAACAGACAACATCTTGTAATCCTGTAGGTTCTTGAGCAAAGTCATATTTACAGCCTATGTACAACCATCCACAATCCCGCTTTGGCTTCTTCCAACCTGAGCATCATAATCTTTCGCAGGTGGTTATCTACAAGATTGCATTGAGCACCGTCTTGACACCATTCCAAATCTCAACACCGCTAGGAGTGATCTGGGCCGGGGGCAGGACGAAGGAAGTACCACGCAGCTCAATAGCCCACGCGTAGGTGGTTCCGGTCACATCGGTCATGTAGTCAGTAGAGCCACCAGTAGCCTGCAGAGTTCAGTCAGTTCGTGTTCTCATATCCACCATGAAAAGACGATCAAACGAGGGTACTTACCTTGTAGAGAGTGGTGCAGATAGGACCAGCCACAAACGAGGTTCCATATGCCGAGGCAATCGACGTCTTCATGGAGTTGGCCAGGCTCTGCTGCTTAGACAGGTTGGCAACATTGACGGTACAGCTGTATCCATAGGGCAACAGGATGGCCATGGCGTAGCTGTGGAAGTCAATGTACCAGGTGGTGCCGTGTGCAGCGGCGACAGTAGCAGCGTGAGCCGTCAGGACCTTGCACTCGGGGGTGTCGCAAGCTGCCTCGCCCTTGTAGTCGTCTGCCGATGGGGTGGTGGAAGCACCGCCCGTGACGGCCCAGTGCGAGGGCCAGTTGCGGTTGATGTCAGTACCCACGGCGGAGATGCCGGAACGGGTTTGACGGTTCTTGCGCCAGAGACGGGTTGTCGTCTGGGAGTAGACGAAACCGTCTGCGTTGACCACGGGGACAATGTAGAAGTCAAAGTTGTTCAGGAAGTTGCTGGTGGTGCCTCCGCTGTAGCCCTGGACGAGCTGGTAGATGAGGTACTCGGCAACCATGGTGGCGATCCATTCACGGGCGTGCACCGTAGCATGGTAGTAGATGGCGGGCTTGGAGCTCTTGCCGCCACTTCCCCAGAGGTGGATACCAGTAATCGATCTACCCTCAAATGTCTTTCCGACAGTGAAGATCTCCGAGTTGTTGGGGAACGCTGCCTGCACGTCTGACAAAAATGTCAAGTGGTCGGCGTACGAGTGGTACGCGTCAAACCACGAGTCGTCGGGCAGAGCACCAGCAACAGGAGCTTTGCATGGGTTAGTTGTCATCTAGCAAAGAAATCGGTCCGAGGAACAAACAACTTACCTGCGTATGGCACAAGCGGGCCCTCGGCGGCAATAGCAGCACCAAGATCGTCCTCCACGATGGTACCATTCAGGGACAGGGCATTGAAGGCTTCAAGTTCGTGGGCCGGGACAGCAAAGTCCAGGTGGTCGTCGTGGTTGCATCCTTGGAGCAAGATGGAGTCCGTGAGCGAAGAACCCAGGCTGTAAAGGCTTGACAGTCCATCAGTTGAGTCAGCAGGCGTGTCTACGCGGAACAGCTTGTATCCATCGTAGTTGGTCTTGCCAGTTGCCTCTGGGAGGACAGCGGCCGAGGCCAACGAGGCAGCCGACAGAGCTGTGACGGAGAACTTCATATTGGAGGTCCAACAAGGTATGAAGATATTCAGAAAAAGACCAGGAGCTGGATGCTGCCAAGAGAAATCAGAGAGGACCTGGAGAGACAGATGCTGTGGAGAATAGGACGCTCAAATATAAAGAGGGAGAAGTGGGTTGCGGTGAGGTGAGCTCACACGATATAGACTGACTCGAGAGAATTCAGTGGTATGCCACCATAGGCTAATGATGGCTCTTGGCACGACCACGGCTCAAGGTAGATACTGACTGGGGTCGGAAGATCCAAAAACGACTCCAAAACCACACAGGTGTAGAATTAATGACGACAATGAAGAGGGGAGAATTGAGATCCAGCTGCCAATGCAGTCATTGTTTTGACCCCTCCCCAGCACTATCATCGCACCATCCAACAAAAGCCGCCTGCTTTGATTGCAACTTTGGGAAACTCAGCGATGCCGAAATGGGCAGGCACAAGACTGGCGTCGCCGACGTGATTGCCCATGAACGATTTAGAGGGACATCTGGGTAGCATATGTGCTACCACAGCATTGCTACCTACATAGGTAATGTAGTACCTGCATGTTGTAGATAAGTGGCGATGTGTTTGGTGGAGTAAGAAGGCCTCGTCTAGTATAGGCCCTTTAGCGAAGCGCTACCCCGTCCCGTCACTCCCCTCCGCAGTGATCGCTGGTGACGAAAGCCAAAGTCTCGAGAGGAAACACACCAATGCCAACGAGCAAGTATCTTCAATTGGCAAGAAACTGGGGGTGACAGCAAAAAGCGGGATAAATCCCTAGTCGAGGGAGGTGATTTCTTGGCCAGCAGTCTTGGGCTCATTCGACTTTCCTAATGCGGACAGATTCTTGGCTTCCATGGTCTGGGGCATGACCGTCTGATCTGCCCAACCCCCGCGGGGATCTACGCAGCTTCCTTCGCGAGCAAATGCTACCGAATCCATCAATAAGCTTAATTTGATGGCTCCAATCTTTCTGTCGGCATATCTGGGGTCCGGTAGCAGTACATGGAAATTCGGCGCGGTCTAGAGTGTTTAATGAATACGACTCTAACCATGAAGAATTGTAATCGAACCAAACTCTAACATTTTGCCTCACTTTTCTCCATCTTTGATTGGATACTTGATGCAATCATTTAGCCCCCAAGTAAAATGGCTCAGCACGTGGACAGGAAACAGCTGGCCGACGTACTGTGTAGGCCGACAGATCAAGCTTCTCGAAGGCTTCTGCACAGAGAACCTGCATACTACACGATCCAATGAACACTCCAGCTTCTACAATCTGCCGCTTATTTTTAGACATCGTCATACATGCAATATACGGCACATTACTACTAGATAATGTACCTACTCTGGATTGCGCAACATACCCTGTAATTAGGACCGCCTTTGCGGAATCACTAACAGGCAGCCGATTGATACCTGCTCCCCACAACCAGGCCATGACAACAGGTTTCAGCCATTATGTAATATGTCCTGTCACTTATCTACGGCTCATGATGCGAGCATTCAACTATTCCGGCCAGATCCGGCATTAGACTTGCATGTCAAGGTTTCGCTCATGTTGTAATCCCCAAGTGAGCCTAATTCCAGTTGCAGCACTTGATACAGAGAATGGGATGATTTATCAAGAAAAGTTTCTCATTATGAGATTTTCTCGCGACTCCATGCGAGCTCTCTAAATACTGGAACCATGCCACATGTCTACATTGGGCTTTGATCTAACCACTATGACGATCTGCTCAAGGCGCCGAGTTTGAGACAACAATGGGCCATGTGATTAAAGGCTCAAGAGATGGTAACAGTCTTGCTACCATTCGTGTTGGCCAAACCATTGAGAGACACCTTCTCCTTCCTCAGATGATCCACAGAGTCATCGTCATCCACCAGCAGGTCAACATCTTTTCCTGTGAGCCACTCCTCCACTAAAAAGACATGATCATTAGCATTCTGCTCAAGCGCACCATCAAGTACAAAACAAAATTTGGACGTACTCTTTTCATACATGGCAAACCAGGACTTGTGGTCCTGAGCCGTGGGGAGGTGCTTGGTGACAGGGTAGCCAAGCATGCTCTGCGCAGCGCCAAGATAGCTGTATCCCTCGGGGAACGAGTCGAGCAGCTCCTTGGGAAACGTGGGAGCGTGCAAGCCGTCGACGGGCACGATCTTGTCCTTTTCGTAAAACAGCTTGACGTACTTGGCCTTCCAGCCTGCGCCGGCGCCGGCGCCATTGGTATCACCACCCGGGTCTTTGGCGCAAAAGAAGATGAAGCGGCAGTCGCAGTCGACATCAAACTCGGTGCCGACGGGGCAGTCGTCCGTGGCGAGCGATGCGGGCGTCCTGAAGCGCTGCGTAATGGTGGCCTTCATCTTGCCAATGGCGCGGCCGTGCTCGGGGGCGTACTCGACCAGCGTGCCGCACTCGCGGTGCATGATGAAGTCGCCTTGGCCCTTGCCCTGCTTGGAGATGGCAATGAAGTCATCTACAGAGCGGCCCTTGCTCCAGGCTAAAGCGAGGACAGTCTTGTTAGTAGTCAAAGTTTCAAATTTGCTGTAAAAGTAAGACTTACTTGTCCAGACAGTGGCATCCTTGTCAAAGATGTCGCGATAGTTCTTCCACTCAGATGAGTCTCTGTAAACGGGCCAGCCCTTGCAGAGCTCAGAGACAGCGAATCTCTCAAGCAGGTCGGTGGTCGAGCCATTGAGGTGAGAGTATCTACCCTGCTGTGCATCAAGCGAGGTAGTCATTGTGATTAGTGTGTAGAAAGTGAGGTGTATTTGGTTCGTGTATCGCGTGTAACAATCAGGCAGTAATGTTCTCTTAAGGTTGTGCGACGAGTTTATTGATTTGAGCTTCAAGATGCCGGAATATCAGAAGCTTTTATACCTTTTTTTGAAGTACAATTTTGCATCTTTTTTCACTTCTGCGATCGTTACTCATTGTGCTCAACGTGCGTGAATATTCTAACAAGCAACATCGATTCAGACGATGGTTTATGCAGACGATCGAGGCAGAAAGGCATACTACATGGACAAGAGCCAATCAGGTTTCCGAGATGTGATTCAACAACATCAAAACCAAAAGGCAAGTCAACTCCTTATGTTGTTCATTGGTCCGTAGTTATTTACTATTGAGACACGTTGCTCTGCGCACTGCTGTCCATGATCTTTGATGCGAGGAGCCGCATTTGACGATGCATACATCTCATTACATGCTACAAGCCGACGAAGCCGTCGAGATAAGTCTTTTGTGTGTTAGTCCCTTATCACAAGCCCTACAACCTCGATCTGGGTGTAGCGCAAACAGCGGCAAGCCGCATTGTGTCAATGGTCACAAACAACATGAGACGACGAGAGGCAAGGCTCTAGAACACCATGTTCTGCAATTCTAGGACCCGAGTTGTTTGGCATCTATTCTTTACTATATAATATAGTCAATGCCGTGCAACATGGCAATGCACAAGCTCTTGCTAGCTAGTAATTTGCCAGGCCACAACTCGATGATGTTCAATGAGCCAGACGATGATAGAGCGAGTCTCGCTAAACAACCAATATCCATTGTATAGATATGGAAGCAAGAATGGCAAGAAAGTGACAGGCAGAAGTACTGTGCATTATCATGATGCGACGACCAGAAATGCTATGCAGCATGCCTACGGATACTCACGGCCCATTGATCATTGTTATTCACCCCCCTTTTGCTCAATGCCGCGGCATGCGCAAGTTGGAACCCATCAAAATATTCCGCCGCCCTCTCATACCATGAGGCAAGCCGCAATACCGTGGCGTAGCGTGGATCAGGAAGATGAGGTGACAACGAGTTTTCCGTAAGCTCCAGGTATCCATCGTGCCATGGTTTTTCTTGGAAATATCACGGTCACTTGCTCTGCAGCCAAATCTATATTGCTGGCTGATCCCCTTTTGGGTGCATACTTCCTTGCAAGACTTTGTCAAATTCTGTGCCTCTGATGGACTGCTAATATTGAACTTCGCCGGGCTGCGATGAAACATGGCAATTAGCTGCACTCTTCGGAGCGCGAAACAAGGCTGACAGAGGCTCCGTCTGTGCCAAGTGGCAGGGCCGTGACGCATGGTATCAGCATGCATTTCCCACCACGGGGTGGTCGGTTCGATGATCGTCGTAGACGACAATCTTTGGGGGCTGTTTTTGATGCAGTCATCGGAATCACAAATCCAAGCAGACAAGGTCAAACGAGCAGGAAGAGACAGAAAATAAAAACAAGCAGGAGGACACAAAGCAAGAAGCACGTAAGCTGGTGTTCCGCGATATGGCGGAGGGCGGAAAGCGGCAGCATACACACGGTGGAACGAGGGTGCTCCTTTTTGTGCTACTACCTACCTGCATACCGCCAAAGCTGCTGCTGCTGCCCGCTGTCTCCCTCTGCTGTCTTGTTGTGCAACGCGACAAGTGACGCTCGCTGGTCAGGGATAATTATAAACCTCAGCTTACGCACCCAGAATAGGAAAGTCGCCCACCACCATCACCACCATTCCCGAGTCGCGATCGTCGTCAATCAGGAACAGGCTGCAAACGAAATGTGCTTCTGCTTCTTCCCCATGTGTCCAAGAATAAACAGGCGTTTTAGTCTTCTTGCAGATCCACGCAGGTCCCCCTTTTTTTGTTGATGTGCGTGTGTATGTATGTGTGCCCAGTAAATTGTGAACGCACCCACCACTTGTCCCATCATCCCACGTGTACCTGATGCAAACATCACGAAATATCCAGTTGCATGTGCTGGGCCCCTGGCTACTGGGACCTATGAAATCAATGGATTCCGGCTCTGCTACCCGCTTCTTCTTCCCGCCTCAGCTCTCGGGAAGCCGATGCACGATAGCCCCAGGGGCTTTCGAAGCTGGATGATCATTATTGCGCCTCATGGCCTGATTGTAAATTCAGCTTGGCGTGCACTTTTTCTGCTCTCTCCCCTCCCCAGTACCTGCACCCGTCACTGTGGACTCCTTGCCGAAAAGAGAAGCGGGCACCCATGCGTCTTGTTTCTGGCATGACACATTCGGCGGTGAGGTCGAGTGAAACCGATTGCATCTAGTTACATTTTTGTGTCATACCGAAACAGCAGCTTACATTTGGAAAAATCAATGCGAGCCGACATGGACGATAGTTGATTGGGGAACCGAGGGGGTGGCCGTTGATTGAATGAACAGAAGAAGCTAATTGAGGCACGTAGGCCAGTGGTCTAGGCTGCTACTACAGCACATTGTCCACCTGACTTTTTCCTCTTCGAATACCTACCAGCCAGCCCACAATAAAGTCTAAATGAGAATCCCCATTGTAACAATGATGCAAGGAACTTTTTCCCCTGGGGACCAATGACAGTGCTCATTGCTTCAATAATACAGGCGAGTCACTCAGACAGGTAGAGTTCTCCGCCGAATACCAATGTTATCATCATCAGCTGCGGCAAAGTACGAGACAGCAAGAAAAGCAGCAACAAGGCACAAAACCAGAATGGGTGTTCATTGAAGGCGCAATGCAACACAAGCTACAGCAAAAAAAATGCATCTTGTCTCAATCACACGTGCGCCGAAGGACGGCCGGTGCAACGTTCGTTTATTGTTTTTTCAAATCTTCTAGAAATCCTACGATGCAGAAGCACTGAGACATGGTGACATTTACGCAGCCATTAATAGAAAAGGACAATATGACATAATCGGGGTTTGGCTGCTAGCTAAAGACGGGTGTCGAGCACAGGCAGCAGGGAAGAGACAAGTGGAAAATCGATCGCTACTGTAGATCTTTAGCGGCTCGGGCCCGCTAAAGAATGAAAAGACTAAGGGAAATACTGGTAATATAGTCGGAATTTCCACTATGGAAGGGGTGCTATTTGGGCCTCGCGCTCCAATCAGAAACCGGCCGCATTCACTGCGAGGATGAGCAGGCAGGGGGGGCTGTGTTCCTCTAGGCTGATCCCCTCTTCTATTGATGGTCAGCATCCCCTGGAAGAAAAGCTTTAGCTTGCTGGATCTAAGCCCTGGAGCTGAACCGAGACTGGCAGCCAATGAGAAAAAGATGACTGCATGAATTAAGTGAGTCAGCATCGTCAAACCTCACCGAAGGGCTTCGTTTACCAATGGCCCCCATCCAATGAGGCGCCGTCGAATCCCCGTTTTTCCTCCCCCCTCGCAGAGAATCCTTCCAGAATGGCGCCGGTAGGATGGAAAGTAGGGAAACTCGAGTGTGACATACAGGACCTTCACGTGGCTCTCGGTGTATATGGATTCATACCAAAAAGCGCACGGCTCGGATGATGACTGGCGGGGTTTTGGGATCGTAGGCACATCATTGCCCACACAGCCCTATCCAGCCCTACGCCTCCCAGGGGTGCCGGCCGGTCAACCAAGGGTCCTCCTCTCTAGCTAGGACTCTCACTCACTCGCTCACTTCTTCTTTCGGCGCCAGGCGACGCCCGCACCCTTCTCTCGTAAGGACCCTGAGCCGCAGTCAGGCCAATGGTTGCCTTCGGCGCCGTTGTGCTGATTTCTCTTGTGGTTGCACCCCTTGGGGCCGTTGAGAATCCTTCTCGGTACCTGCTGAGTCTCGAGAAAAAGGCACCGATTTGGTAATGGACGCCAGGATGGAGCCACCTTTTGTGACTGATTTTTATTCTTTGAGTTTTCCTTTTTAGCCTCACAACTGGAGCCCGTCAGCACTGCTCGGTAACCCCCAAAGAGGAAGTATTGTGTCCTTTTCCAGGCCTCACTGGTTAGCCATGGAGGCGGATGCCTTGAGGCCATTGGGCTGTGCCCTGTGTCACAGGTCAAATCATAGGCACTTGACCTGCATCTATTACCTGATACTTCTACTTTTTGCAGTAGAGGAGCCTCGCCTGATGAGTCAGGCAGACATGTATGTACTGCAGCTATGGGAAGATACTATACATTCGCCGTCATCACGATGATACTCAATGCCTCTATAAGAATCCTCGAAATCCCTCACGTCAGCTAATCTTTTCTTTACTCATCTCATCATCACTCAATCACCTATAACAATCCCAGCTTCCAAAGCCTCTTCATCCTTTACAGCTTACTCCGATATCCTATATCCTTTAGAGTATACCTGCTTTACCAGAACAAACACACCAATCATAATTACAATGGCTTCCAGCTCAACTTGCTCCCTAAAGGCCATCCTTCTGGCCGGCCTCTTGGGCCTGACCATGGCTGCCCCTCTTGGCAAGCCTTACACAGTAGGACTCTCCAGAACTATATATCATGATGATCAGTCTCCTCTAACACATCTCCAGACCCCCACCGTTGAGGTTGCCTGCTCCGAGTGCGAAGGCGAGACCGTGGCTCGCGCGGTAGAAATCAACGCACGCATTGTCGATGAGGACTGCTCCGAGTGCGAGGGAGAAGTGACGACACGCAATGTCGAAGAGGATTGCTCAGAATGTGAAGGAGAAGTGACAGCACGCAACGTGGAAGAAGACTGCTCCGAGTGCGAGGGAAAGACAGAAGCCCGCAACGTGCAAGAGGACTGTTCCGAATGCGAGGGAGAAACAGTGGCACGCAACGTGGAAGAGGACTGCTCCGAATGCGAAGGAGTAGTAACGACACGCAACGTCGAGGAAGACTGCTCCGAATGTGAAGGAGAAGTAACGGCACGCAACGCCCAAGAAGACTGCTCCGAATGCGAGGGAGTGGTCACCACCCGCAATGTCGAGGAGGACTGCTCCGAGTGCGAAGGCAAGACAGAGGCTCGTGCCGAGGTAGAATGCTCCGAGTGCGAAGGCGAGGTCGAGGCACGGGCCGAGGAAGACTGTTCCGAGTGTGAGGGCGAGGTCACGACACGCAACGTCGACGAGGACTGCTCCGAGTGTGAAGGCGAGACGGAGGCCCGATCTGTCGAGGAGGACTGCTCCGAGTGCGAGGGATAAATTCATTTCCCTCAGCGCTGGTCTGATACAACAAGACACCGCCAAGCAACTTGAACGACCTCGTCACGACTTGACACGATTTTTCGAATGATCACGACTCCTCCTTTTTCTCTCTTTTTCTTCACACCTGCGCTCCCTCTCATCACTGAGCGCGACTGCTGGGCAGCAAATTGTCTCGAGCAGTTGTCATTACTAGTCTGTTGTACTTTTCTGTCTTGATTATCTGGGGGCGGCTTGGGCAGCTTCCATCAGTTTGCTTTCTTTGCTTCCATTTGTACTAGATTTCTGGCTATTCAAGGGCGGCGGGTTCGCTTTGTGTACGATTTCTTGGGCCTGCAATGGTCACCATCTTCAAGATTAGATATAGATTAGAACTTAGATATACAGCACCGGGGGCGACTCCGACTTCACAGAAGAAACAATATAGCTATCATATTGTATACATGTTTTACACTAAACTTCTTGCACACACCCAGAATGAAAAAGAATCTCTAGTCAAGATGCATTGCTATATTTACGCCTGCTATTGAATCAGAGCCGCGAGTCAGTCACGTCCAATGACACGGGGTTTGACTGCTGATCTCCTGCATCTCCCGCTGCCTGTTCATTGAGTCGCCTCCACATCTTCTTCCGTCTCTCATGCCCAGCCATGAACCTATCGTACCAGCTCGGATCATAAGGGGGCAGTTGTCTGCCTATGCCGTTCTCTGCTGGACCAGCTATTCTGCGTACATCCTCAAAGTAGGCCTCGAAATCCGGGTTCACCATGGTAAATTTGGGGCCGTCTCCCTTGACCTTGATCCTCTCTACTTCCCATCTCTCCTGCTCCTCGACGGGCGGGAGCCTCGCGCGCCCGCTGAGGACACGCGCCGCCAGCACGGCCTGCCACTCAAAGATCTTGAACGTCAGGCCCGCACCCACGGCACCGACGAACAAGAGGCTCGGGTCGTGCCGGTAGACGACATGCTGGTACAGATCGGGCACGCGATTATTGCGCGTCTGCACGCCCGGCAGGAACGGCAGGGTCCACGAGAAACCCGTGCCAAAGATGACGTGATCCACGCCGGCGACCGAGGTTCCATCCTCAAAATGCACCGTGGCTGCGGCGGCGTCGACCCTCGAAATGGTTGGCCGCTTGTCGATGCCCGGGTGCTGAAAGGCCGTGTCGCCAAAGTAACCGTTGAAGTTGCGGCCCACCACCACGGCGTACACGGGCAGCTTGGCCGTCGAGGTCAGGTCGACGGCGATATCTGCCCCCGAGACAGATGCGCCGACGATAACCACGCGCTAAGAGAGCCTTTCATGTTAGTAAACAGGGGTTTTTCTTTTTGTGGCCAATCGGGGCAGGACCAAAAAGACTGACCTTGCCCTGGAACGCATCGCGACCCCGGAAATGCTTGCTATGGATCACGCTTCCAGGTCTTGACCGAGCAAAATCTTCCAGGCCTTCTATCCGCGGTATGTAGGGCACTGAATAGTGTCCACCCGCGACCACGACGGCGTCAAACCGCTCCTCCCACCACTCATCCTCGGCATCACCCTGGCTGTGCTCTCTCCGTAGCGTAAGCTTCCACTCCTCGTCGACCTTTTCCGCCCGCTCCACCGTGGTGTTAAAAGTGATGAGATCCCGGTACCCCTTGCGCTCCGCCAGGCTCTCGAGGTAGTCCCGGATGACAGTCCAGTGGCGGAATGGCGTGTCCGCTCCGTGCATACTCGTGGACCAGTCGCTGCGCACTTCGGGGATGGGCTCCTGTGAGAATGACACTGCACATGCCAGCCCAGTCAGAGAGGTTTCCTTGTTTTCAATTTTGAAGTTTGTACGATATTATTTGGTGTCCATGATCCCTCCATAGGTTATCGTACCACCTCGGAGTCTTTGCGTTGGGAATGTAGCACCCTCCGAGGTGGAACAGGCAGCTGGCCCGCGGGTTATGGCGATTAATGAAAAAAAGAAAAAAAAGAGAAAGAAAGCTTCTACTTACTGGCTACATCGTCCACGTTTGTTTCTAGGTACGGGTAGACTGACGATTCGCTGAAGCGAGGCTGCCCTGATCGAGCCGTCCGCGCCGGCAAGGTCCCGGGGATAGACAGTGGAGGGTCCGCCGACCGTGCGGCGAGGGTCTCAAAGTCCGTGAGACCCGGAGTCGGCTTATTACCCTCGGCGATCCTGCACCAAAAAGTGAACAACGGTCAGTCAACCTAAGCATTTTTTTTCTTCTTCCTCTTTTCCCCCTTTCTGTGTGATTCTCAGGTAGGACAGAGTCGCCTAATATTCGAGAGAGAATCATGTTTCTGTTGGAAGCTTGAAAAAGAAAAGAGCAGACAATGAAATGACAGAATAAAAGCATCTACTTACCAACATCCACCCGGGCCCTCACGCCTTTCAAAGACTCGAATAACATCAAATGTCTTTTCCTGCGCCAGCGCGTCAATGGTGATTAAGCCGGAGGGGCCCGCGCCAATCACCGCGACGCGCTTCTTGACGGCGCTCATGACTAGGCCTAGTGAAAAAGCTTCTGATATGCCGCGTACGATTCTTGTCGTGAAACAAATGTGCTCGTGCAAAGAATCGAGTATTGTTTTTTTCAACCTGGCGATGTGCGAATAACAATGTTCAGTTGCTTTCTCTTTACCTCTCTCGTTGCAAGCCTTAGCTGACAAGCCAGGCTAGCCCGTAAGTGGAAGTCCGAAAAAGACCGTTCGGGCGCTTTAATGTAAAAGTGAGCGTGCCGTGGGACGATGAGAAGAGGCAGTATTCATTCAGTCGGTATACCTTGAAAGACTAGGTATGCAGGAGACCCGGGCCGCTCATGAAAAAGAATAAGATAATGAGCACTTCAGGTCTAAACTATACACATTCACGGGATGCATATCGGGTTTGGCTCCCTGCGGACCGGCGATGGTGTGATATAGCATCATCGGTTGCGATAGCCGCAATTGGGCGCACATCGTAGTGGGGGACGGGGTTTGCCAATCTTCCCTTTGCCCCGGGAGACACCTCCACTTCCCCGATAACCGCCGATCATTATCCAATACTAGTGAAGACCAAATGCAAAAAAGTAACGATCTTTATATACTCGGTTGTAAAGATGTATGTGCGATATGCGCTTATGGCTTTTTTGTGATCAAAATATTTACAAGAGAAGTAAGTGCATCAAACTCGACTGTGGCCAACTGCCTGCCCCAAGCTTTTCACGGAAAGAAATCTGTTTCCTCATCGGCGGCGATCAGAGGCATTGGGAGTAGTAGTCGTTGAAGTAGGTGCCTAAATTATGAGAGAACAAAATGTCAGCCTTTCTGTATTTTCTCAATTCTTTGGCAGAATGAACCAAATAATGCGACCCAAGCTAAGTACTTACACGTATACGGACTGACACAGGTGGTGGCACCGGACCAACCTTTGACTGGTATCAGCAAAATTGAAACCTTCAAGAAGAAGAGCGTCGGGATTTGCGCTTGCCATTTCCACCGCACTGCCCATAGTGTGCGGCACCAGTGCTGCTGCTAGCCGTCGTCGTGGCGGCGGCCGTGCTGCTCGTCGTGCTCGTGCGCACAGTCGTGGTCAGAGTCGAGGCCGTAGTCGAAGTAGCCGCCGAGGTCGAGGTGGCGGCCGTGCTGGTGCTCGTAGCTGCGGCGGTGGTCGTGGTGGCGCCGCTGCCGCCCGTCGCGGCCGCGGCTAGGATGGAAGAGACGGTGGTGTAGGCGGGCTTCTTGCTCAGATTCTCATCGTAGAGGCAGGCGGCGCCCTGGCCGGAAAAGGTGTTGGGGATCCACGAGTACTTGTCGGTAAAGTCCCAAATGGTGATACCGACGCACTCGTCGACGGCGAGACAGGCGTTGACGACGGCGGCGTAGTCGGTGGCCTGCTGCTGCAGGCCCGAATCGGTCGCGGGCAGCGACGTGAAGCGAATGTCGAGCTCCGTGTAGGCCACCTCGCTGACGCCCGCATCCACGTACGACTGCAGCACGTTGGTCAGGTCGCTCTGGCTGGCCAAGCTTCCGACAATGAAGTGTCCCTGAAGACCAACACCGTCGATGCGGGCGCCAGCATCCTGAATAATGCCGACAATCTCGAGAGCTCGGTCATGCTTGCTACCAGAGTACTCAATATTGTAATCATTGTAGTAGAGCTTGGCATCTGGGTCGGCCTCGGCTGCTGCCTCAAAGGCAATCGGGATATAGTCGGTACCGAGGGTGTTGTAGAAAACAGACGTTCGGTATGTGCCGTCGTCGGCAATAGCCTCATTCACCACATCCCATGAGTAGCATTGTCCCTTGTAGTGACCAACCTCATTGGCAATGTGAGTCTGTATCACAGAGGTCAAGGTATCCGCCGTCCAGGTACCAGAGGAGACTGAGACCAAATTAGTCATTAGACCATAGCTGTACTTTATCAGGACTTCACAAACCCCATGACGGAAGTTGAGAGTACCACACCAGAGTGTGGCATCTAAGCAATTGTCCGTTTGCCTCTGCGAGATCTGCAATCTGGTCACCACTCGTGTAAGAGAAGGTACCCTGAGAAGGCTCCGTGTACTGCCACTTTTGTCCATTGCCGGGCGTGATCTGGCCAAACTCGGTCGTGTCATTGAGAATAGCCGTATACGCTGTGTCGGTAAGCTCAGAGTTGTCCGTGGCCGAACCAAAGTACTTTTTTCCTGCCGCAACTGCAAGCTGGTTCAGGTTGGCCGACACGCCCGGAATGGCCACGGCGACCGCAGCCGCTGCTGATGTTGAGAAACGCATTTTCTTTCTTTTCTTGTTGGGTTATGAATAATGAATGTCGATATAATAAGAACAGGGGGAGAGAACGAAGAGAATATACAAGCGGCAAATGTCAAGACTTCCAGAGTCGGGATCAACAAAGGACAAGGGCAAAAGAGCTACAATACATGGAATACTTCACGGGTGGCCAAGCTCTTCTTATTGTCGTGTGTGCGACCATCACATGTAGACTCTCCCCTTGTCGCAGCTGTCAAGAACAGGACCATCACAAGGATGATGCTACCCTTGCCCAACCCATGACTGTCGAGTCGTCGTCGTCGTCCCATCATTGCGGCTCATCCCCGCCGCCCATCCGATGAATCCTAGATCCAATCAAGATCAGACGACATGGGACCCCTAGGTGCGCTCTCATCATGCTTTTGGTCGCTCGGCTCGTTCCTTTCAGCTTACAAGCGAAGCATCCAACCGCAAGCAAGCGATATGTCCCTGCAAGGAACTGAATAGAACCGGGGGTCGCCTTTAAAGTGGTGGAGAAAACTCACTCCTGGGATCCGCCCTCTCATCTTACTGCGGGGAGGCAACGGAGCTTAGATGAAACAACACCCATTTGGACATTTCACTGCGCCTACGGAGCGAGACGCCAAGGAAACAAAACTGACATTTGACGGGATTGGCAAGGAGATTCGAGGTGATTAAGCTTGTGGACAAAAGGAGATGCTACCGAATGCGCTGGACTTGCTAGGGTTTCTCTGTCGTCGCCCGGCGCTTCATGGTTGGTGAGGATTCTCCACCAACCGGCTTGAGGCTCTGCGGATGCATTGGGCGGCACGGTGATTCACCTTCCGAAGGCCAGGCACGTCCAAGGTCAGTCAATATACGCAACTTGCGCATGCGCTGGAGGTCTAGACAGGACAGTTACTAATGGGGTCAATTGAGTTGCGAGCTGCATACCTATGTATACTGCAGCGTTCCAGTGATGTGGTTAAAAAAAACTTTGAACATGTGGTTTATTTTCCTTTGTGTCTTTCTTTTTCCATTTTCTTTTATCAAAATTGCATCGCGTAAAGGTCTCCAATGAGTTGTAGCACGGCCAAATTTATGGCTCATCACCTATTTCGGTAGCTATCTTGATTTGATTTCATATTGACAAAGGGTATTGTTAGGTTGTTCACCGAGTAAGGTCGTTCCCATGATGACTGCGCAGATCTACACGTCGCGCGATCCCATGGCACAAAAGGAAAAAAACATACAACATTCTATGATGCAATGCCGGCCCCCCAAAGTCGTGGTTCAAAAATGCAATTCCCACAGGCTTCTGCAATTTTGACGCCGTCGCCCAACCTTGAAAAATATGCAATGCTAAGAATGCCGATAGAGGTATCATCCAAACGATAAAATCCAAACTCCAAAGAAAAAGGATGTAACCAACATTCTGTGCCGCTTTAATAGCAGCACGGAAACAACTCGCTCTGGTGGATTGTTACAGAGGCTTTGGGATTCTATCCTCGCCTTTCGTTCAAGGCTCCAGCCATGTGAAGGTTCATCATAGATGGCCGAGCCAGGTCCAAGCTCCGGCTTGGGACCATTCTACCTCCGGGTGTTCGGGGGTTGGCGACATTGACACGTCCACGATCCATAATCCGGCTCGGGGTGCCAAAGTCTTCATCGGCACTGTCGCTATCGCCATCGTCATAGTCCGCCAATCTCGCAAAGTAGTCAGCAAGACCATCCACGCTGGGAGTTCCCACAACATGGTCATATTGTGGGGGCGGCGTGGGCAGCGGTGGTGGTGCCTCGTCCTCATCAAATGCTGGAGGATTAAAGGAGGGGTATCGCATCAAGTGCATCGGGCGTTGTACAGGCTGAGCTCCGCCTGCTTGCGCCTGTGTGCCTATGTGAGCTGCAGGCGGGGGTGGAAGTGTTGATATCTCGGCGCTCAGTGGTGTAGGATCAACCGAGGGGATAGTTCCAGTACTGGAGGCAGGCGACGGGTTTGTAGCCAGGATAGTGGCGTCTGGGCAACCGCAAGTGGCTTGTTGTCTATACATGGGCTGGTCAAGACCAGAATACTCTGGCAGGCTTGTATTGGCTTGAGTTGCGCGGCAGTTGAGCACCGTAAAGGGTGAGTCAATGCTGATCTCAAAGTGACGCCTGCGCTTGCCAGCTGGATCCTCAGGGTCGAGCCGAGATATTCTCATGACGATCTAGTGGAGTTGGTTAGTTCCTGCAATCAGCCGGAGATCAGATGGATTTGTTGACTTACTTTAATCCAATGATAGACATTAACATTTCTCCAACTGCAGTCAGGGTTCAGGCGCAGGCTCTTGTCCTTTGCCATTTGTTCGCAAGTTGGCATTTGGACATTCATCTCAATCTCGGTCGACCCCCAGTATGATTCCAAGCCCAGATCCAAATCGCCCAGCAAGTTATCCGCCGGATCTGGCAGTGGTTGCGGTGCGGTATGCCTTTGGGACGCCTCTACGCTGCGTCGCCTGGCTGCCGCAACCCGCGCCTCGTGTCTCTCATGCGGTGATAGTTCACCTCCGCTCAAAACTCTGATGTCAGAGTTCTCAAATTGCTTGTCCAGAGGCTTTCCAGCCGACTTTTCCAGTAGCAGGATCTTCCTGCCAGGATCCTTCCGTGTAACGCGTCGGTCATTGGTCCAGTACTCGATTGACTCAGTGACAAAGACCTTGAGTTTATGCACCTGGACCTTGGCCAGGGGTGTCAGCTTGAACGCAATGGGGATCTTGCTGCCGATGGGAAACGATTTTCCAGAAATCATGATATCGTAGTGGAGCTGATCCTCCCATTGCCTGCTGATGGAGATGGGTTCCGTCATTTCCAAAGACAGCTGATCCGGCACCCGTACAATGCAGACCTCCTTTGTGCCGTGCAAATTTGGCTTAAATGCACCAGCACGCTCAACAATTGTTTCAAGTTCCCACTTGACTGATCCGAACTGAAGCTTCGTCGTTTCCAACTGATGGTGATCTATGGGCAACTCAAAAGTGTACTCATAGGTGCCCGGGTAGAACACCTTGTATCCTTTCAGTTGCACCGAGTTGCCACCCGGGGAATCTCCCTTTCCAAAGCTCCTAGCTTGTGAGTTTGCCAATGAGAGGCGCTTATACTCCTTGGCGGTAAGATTTCCATTCGGTCGATTCCTCAGCCCCAGCGAAACTTGGCCTTGCGCAGGAACGGAGAGGTTCGTATTGGACGATGTCTCGGCGCTGCCCTTGATGGAGTATGTGCACTGATTTCCATACTCGGTCTCCCACGTTTCGTGCATGGCATGGAAGAATGTGAGTACCTGGGTCCTCAAAGATTCTTCCTCAAACTGGTCCACCTTGAGTGGTGGGATGCCCTCTGGCCATTCGGTTCTTGCCTTTCCAGAGAGCTTCAGTGTAACTGACTTGAGCTTGACGTTCTTGGTAACGTCAAGTTGGAGCTTTCCACGGAGTAGTGCCGTGGAATTTGCCGTCTCGTGTCGTGGTCGGCCATCGTGTTCGAAGCCTGTCAGAAAAATGTTTGGCTCTGCGAGAACAATGGAGCACGACACGCCAGAGCCAGAAGCAACAGGTTTGGGAACTTCGGTCACTGCTGAACTCATGATACTCTTGGCCGAGCGCATAGACATGATACTATTCCTATGCGAATTCTGGAGGGCCGTTCCAAGCATGGGGGATCGCCTCGTGTCGACCATGGTAGATGCTGGCATCTGGGATGCCCCGCTATGTGGCACTGCAATCATGGAATGCGAAGACGAAGTGTCACGCCAAGAAGATGTACTGGGACGAGACGTGCCGGGTATGTTGAGCTTTGTGACGTCTTTTGAGACGTTGCTGGAGAGGTGTGACTTGAGTGGAGAGAAGACCTTTTCTAAGACGCTTCTTGAAGCTCCGGGAGAGGTTCTTCCGCTTTGATCGTGCAGCCTTTGCTTTTCTCTCTGTTTTGAAGATTTGGCTGACTTTTTTGATCTTGAGTGTGATTCAGGTCTGAGATCACGAGGTACATATCCCGACGGGTACGACAGGATGTGTATAGACTGAGGGCGTCGTGTACGTGCTCGTATACGTGGGGTAGGCAATGTTGGTGGCCTACGCTGATCTCTCTCCCTCGGTCTGTAAAATACTGTGCCGGCTTGTGGGTATGAGTTGTTCTCGATCCGGAATGTAGTGTCGGAGTCTGTCATGATGACGCTGGGTTAGACAAACAGTTCTTCTAGCATCACGTTTTCACCCCAGGAAGGTGTAAAGCGAGACCACAACAACAACAACAATGATGATGATACCAAGGCGGCTGGGCGAGGAGATTGGGTGGATTGAAGATTCAACAATGCTTGCAAGAGATTGCTAGTAGGGGGACTAGGTAAAATAAGAATGGTAAGAAAGAATAAGCAACGGCATATAGCATTGCAAGTAAGTCTGGTGCGGCAACGTTTATGCACTTGCGCATAGGACCAATTCGACCCAATGCGTTGTCAGACGGTGGAGACGCGGAGTATAGTGTTTGGTAGTAGGGCGATCTTAGTCTTCTGCGTGAGAAAGTGCCAACGGCGGCAGCACAAGCAGGACCAGAGTGTAGGTAAGACGCTGAGTAAGGTACTTAGGGTTGTAGGCAAGGCAGGGAGTAGGTAGGCAGGCTGATACCTTAATGTAGGTACGGAATGCCCAGGACAAAGAAAGTAGACGGAAGCAGACAGCGGACGGACGGACGGGCAGGAAGGCAAGCAAGCAAGCACCCAAGAGCAAACACCGCTTGACAGCCGGATCTGCAGGCCAGAGACTTTGACGAACGTCTTGGGCATGGAGGGGAGGGAAACAGACAGACAAGCGGGAACGGGTGGACCTACATAGCAACTGAGTCGTATCGTCTGGGGTGTCGGGTACTATGGAATTAGAAGCGCATAGTACAGCTCATTATTGAGTGGTAGTAATGGAAATAGCAAAAAAAGGGCACCAGGAGCAGCGACGATGGTTTGTGATTGAGCGGCGAAGCGAGATTCGGTAAAGTCGCAAAAAAGAAAAGCAAGGCAAGTTGCAAGGCGACGCGCAACACTGATGGGCACTGAGTACTGAGCAGCGCAAAAAGACCAGCTGGGTTGACCGAGACGGCCTCGTCGGAAGGGAAAGACCTGGTTGGAAGGTGTCTCAAATTTGCTGACTGCCCCGCGCTGGTACCTGTTTGCGATGAGCGCAGAGATGCCTGGCTGATCGATGCGGTGTATAGTGCAGAAGGGGACCAAAGACGGTTGGCTCAAGTTGAGGCGAGGCTCGTCGAAATTATTGGAGGGCAATGAGTCGCAAGAGAAAGCGCGCCGTTGGTGTCGGATGTGGAGCGGCACAGCGGGTTTGAGGGGATCGTTAGGAGACGCTGATGTCCGGGTCGGGGGGTCTTGGTTTCGTTGGTATCGGTGAGGGCGAAATAAAGATTCGTGTCGTGTGATTTGAGACTGAAATTTGAGCGCATAAGATACAACAAGAGGATCAATGACGGCGGCACATGCTCCAAGAAACCCTGGTAGGTAGCGAGTAGTAGTAGCAGCAGTGAGAGTGATACGAGCAGCAATTGATTGACTTGAGCTACCCCAGCCAAGGAAGCTGCTGATGGGCACACGGCGGCAAGACTTGAACTTCTCCGCTTGTTGGACTGACCGCAGCTCAATCGCACAGCACAAGCAGCAGCAACAGCACAGCCTAGTCTGGGCAATTGAATTCAAGGATGCTGGCGAGGGGCTTTTCTTTCTTGGTATGTAAACAAGTTGGGATGTATTGGCTGCCAAGTGCTATTATGGGACTGGGTATGGACTGGGATTGCAGAGAGGGAAAAAAAAAAGTTTACCGCAGATGATCTACCTATGATGTCAAGCCAGTGTTGCTTGCTGGAAGTAGTGGTCTGGTTCTTGGCACAGACTTGGATCAGCTCCAGATCCAGCGAGTCCAGCTCTTTGCACACTCCCGAATCGCCGACAAAACACCTAGGAAAACTGGCGAACTGGCGAACTGGCGAACTGGGGGTGATGGGGGGGCCAACCGGCTGCAAATCGGCCTGTGGGTGCCGGGGGCGCTTTCCACCAACATGAAGCCGCTAGTGAAGAAAAAGGACTGACACTAGAACTTTTCCCTTCCCTTTAGTTACAATTTTCTTCCCATTAGTTCGTCACAGGCTGGTCTCTGCTCCCAGAATAGCGGCACCTTCGGCTTCGCCATTTGGGAATTTCCAAATTACAATGTCTATGTCTCGCCATTAATCTGACAATTTCAGATGGAAGCGCGCTAGAAGGAATTGAGCATTGGGCGCCGAATTGCGGAAGCTCTGGATGAGTTTCGTAGTACCAGAATCCATCTGGATGACGCTCACAGCCTCCATTGATGATCTGAGTTGGAACTTGGGTCGAGCCTTGCACTCTTCATCTGGTAGCCCCACCCTGGAGATCAGCAGCTGGGGTTAATACCCGTCGCGGGACAATCGGGCAGCGTTGTTTTTTTATTCTCTGAACTGAGATTTCCGCGAAGAGATCGGCAGCTGGGCTGCGCACACCCATCGCCTCGCAAGAAATAAACAACGAAGAATGTGAGACATCAAGATGGTTCCTGCCTCGGGCTCTTTTCTCGGAGCCGCGAACGCTTTCGTGCAAAGGTCGTTCTACAACTTTCCTCAAGAGGCTCGTCCCATTGCCGGGGCCTATCCAAAACAGGGCATGATTGGAATCACCGGATGCACGACTGCGGCATCTATATCCAGGCAATCCAATCAGCCAGACCTGTTCTCTCCACATATGCCCACGAAATTGGAGACGTCGCTGAGACCTTGCATAAAGGTGTGGCAGACGGGAGCCAAGATATCAAGAACGACGCACCCAGTTTTCCCTCTTTTTCCTCACCTCATGTCGGTTTGTCATAAATTGTGGTCCACCCCCTCCCGTGGAGCATAAAACTCTTTCAATTCCTGCTGGTGCTGTGTGAAATGAATTGATGCGCCCAATTGGATCAACAATTCAAAAATCAAGGCATCCTCGCGCATCTCCTCTAGAGCGAGCGGAAGAGCGACGGCAGGATGGCCCTCAATCTTTAGTTGGAAATAAGCATTTGCTATCCTTGCGCATGACTAATAAGCACATTAGATCATGCGAGCATGGCCTATCAAAGCACCGTTGAATACCTCCATCTGAGAACTAGACCTTGCAAAAGTTTCCATGTGCCTGGTGGTGGTCAGGGATGCAATCTCTACGTTAGGCTTCCAAGGCTCAAGCAATATGCACATCTCACTTTCTCGTATACAATAGTGATAAGTAGTAGAGAAGTTGATATACACACGGGTGCCTAGGTAGGTGCCTAGGTAGGTGCCAAGAGGGACGCGTCAGGTTGATTGGGCTGTGTTGAAGAACAAACCATAATGCAACCATGATCTTATCACTGAAAAGGGATGCGCGCTCTGGGTGGGAGAGAGGGGGGGCGGTGAGCTTCTGGGCAAAGCGACTGGTATTTTTGTCGTGAATTTTCCGCAGGCAGCGTACAAGAATCCCAGTGCCCTTGTGAAGAAAAGACCACCGCAAGTTGGCAAGAGTCATGACTCCCGCAAAATTGCAACTAGCTGCACACAGATCTCCGCTGTCTCTGCCTCTTACGGCAATACTATATTCGGCTGTCGCGCGCACTCCACGTCAGATATTGTCATCGCGGGGTTCTTCTTTTCTCCTCTCCCTCTCTATGCCTCCCCTCGCCTCCCTCTCTCTTTGAGAAACTAATCGACTGTTGAACCTAAAAGGAAAACCACCGTCGACACGTCAGAGCAACTAACTACCGTAGCTACCGTGGGTGTAGCGCAAGCGTTTTCAGTCATCAACGGTCAAAAAGTCAAATCTATTGGAATTTGGCAAATCCGGCATCTATCCGATCCGGAGGCTCGGGTTCTTTGCCCAGGGCAGAGTCTTTGGCCTTGTCGATCATGGCCATATTCTGTCTTATGTATAGCATGACAACTGCAGATGGTCAGGTCTGACACATGCCGCAAACTGTACTGCATCGCATGGCATCTCATCCCCGAGACATTATCGCATCTCGGCATGTTATTTTATGGTTTCTACTATTGAGACGTGCATGGATTGGTTGGCTATCGCTGACTGTTTCCAGTTGGACGCATCTAGACCTTAAGTTGATGTTATGAACTGCGTTTCTTCTGTGTCTTGCCAGCAGGGTCCAGTTGGCAGAAAGTTAAATCTGAGCCCAGCCACTATCGTCATCGGCCCCCCTAGTGCCCTGGTTGCTTCCCGTCCCCGGATCGGATTGCTTCCATTCGTGGGGTCCACTGGTTTTTGCTGACGTGCAGCCTCAGGACTGGACATTTGAGAGCAGCTCAAATGAATATCATCCAGCTGCTCAGGGGACAGGGGGTCATCTACCGGAATTTGTGAGGGAGAGAAAAACACTAGAACAGGTTTCGGTCAACAACCACTTTTTTCTTTTTTTTTTCTTTTTTTTTTTCCCACTTTGAGCATCACATGGGTTGACTGGTTCCAAGGAACTGGGTGAGATCTAAGACAAAGCAGCCCAAGAAAAGCAAAGACAAGAGGCGTTTGGCCTTTTACCCCGGGCCCAGAGTGGTCGGTCGCATCTAGGAACCAAACCCCTGGTGAATCAAATTGCCAAAAGCAGTCTGTGCCAAGCTTTGCGTGCAGCGTTCTTGGAAGCAAAAACAAAAGTCGCCAATTCCAGATTTCGATGAGAAGTCGATGCTGGGCGTGATGGGCGATACCCATGCGACAGCCCTCGCGTTACGCATGGCGCGTAAAAGCCACGTTTTTCGCCCCTTTTCATGGATTTTATTGTAATCCTGAAAATTCACTGCCCAAATGCCATGGAACATCATCTGCCGCAATTGGGCAGTATTCATTGCATAGTCGCTACTGGTTGCTTGCTTTGCTTGTTTTACCAGGTCTGATAGTAGTGATGCGTCATCAACATTTGTTTTGAAACAGCGAAACCGCTAAATTATCCTAGTTCAATGTTCAATGCCAAACTTGCACTCGACGAATGATTTAGTCCGCATAATGGCAACAGACTCATGAATGTCCATCACAATCGCACATAATCGCACATAATCGCTTATAGATCAGTGAAGAGTTGTATGATCCCAGACAGTCCAGAGGCCATGTTTGCCCTTTTCTTGTAGCGAGAGTCGCAAGAGTTGTTACTTAACATATACATCAATGGGGGTTTCTCATCCAGAACGATTGAGGCCCGTTTCAGAGATTTGGTGGCTACCGCATTCGAGTGGTTGTGATTGCGATATGACTGATGTGTCAATCTGGTGTTTTATAACTGGCACCACGGCATTAGAGATGAATGCGGCTGCCTTGGGATGCTCAGAGCCCAGAGTTGGCATAGTAGGTGTTCTCAGTAGAGGACGACCCGTATCGGAGAGGATGAAGAAATGCCAATGATAAGCCTTGTAAGTCAGAAACTGATCTGCGTGCAAACGCGAAGCAGAAACCATTTACGTGTAGTCAGCTGCTTCTAGCAGGCTGTCCACGGATAGCCTACAGAATCTTCCTTTCGGTTTGTCCTGCAATCTAGCGCAGCACATCTGTTCATGATTTTACCAGCAATGATACAACAAGTACGAGTCGCCATTCCCTCGCAGTACAACCTCCGCGCTTCGTATTTGGTGTGAATATCAATGATAACAGCGAGTAGCAAGTGGGAGCTATGACGGCGCCAGTTGGTCCGTGGCGGTCGTGAATGCAATGCTGCCTATTGATGGGATTCAAATTGAAGAAGTGTGTTCGCCACCTGGAACGTTATCTAGGCATCATGCACAATGAGATACGGCCATAGTCATCCAAGGATTCTGTGACATCCCTTTCTGCCTTTCTTGACATCCGTTGAGGTCTGCACTGGGCGAGTAGCAAGCATTTCGCAAGAGATATATGAATTTCAACAAGATCTTTCGCTGGGAGACGTTTATACGAAGATAATATAGTATATTGTTAATTTGATATAGTCCAGTTATGATGCAATTTTTTTTTTCTTTTTGAGACCACCTATTTTACTTACTAGTCACCGAATACAAGTCAAGCAAAATTCTTCAAGAATCTTCACTCCCGCTGCGAGATGTCAAGTCGTAGGCACTGAGCATTGAGTCGGTAACTTCTCACGAAGCGGCTCATTTTGTAATCCATAAGGCTCGCGAGTACTTTGACAACCGCCTGGTGGTAATAGGCGAGTCAACCACAAGTCTTCATTCCTATTCGGGTTTCAGCGAGTATGTAAAGAGGACGACTTTCGGACTGCCCACTTGCCGTGCCTATCTGCAACGGACCCGGAGATTCGCATACTTGGTCAAGGCCATTTTCAAATTCTACTTCAGGATGAATTAATTTCTATATTCAGCATACTCGCTAGAACCAAGGGTATCTAGAAGAAGCGATATGTACGGTTCGTATACTATGTATTATATAATTCCAAAACATTTCTCGTCACGTCGTTTGCCATTTACACTGCCGAGAGCATACCGGAAGCCTCGTGGCAGCCAATGTATTCAAAGAGCTGCTGCTCTGGCGTCAGCACCAACACCTCGTGGAAAAGTCTCAAGGTGACATTGTTGTCCAGGGTCTTGGCGTATTTCAGGAAACCACCAAAGATGGCCATGTGCGTGGGGTGCTCTCGGCTCCAGCGCTCCAGCGACTTGAGATCGTCAAAGTACGCCAGGCCAAAGGTGCGGTCCTTGCCAATCTCGCCCGTGACGGGATCGACAATGCCCATGAACCGGCAGTCGTAGCAGCCCACCTCATCGCCGCTGTCGCGGAGAAAGTTCATGCCCTTTTCCAGCGTCGGGTGCATGGTCTCGAGGTACAGCTTGCGCTCGTCGGGCACGGTGCCCGACCAGTCCTGGCCGGAACGAATCACGGCGAGGTTCTTCTTGCCTCGCACGCTCACGCGCTTCTTGGTGGCGTCGCTTCGGGACGTGGTGGCGTACTTGTCGCCGACCAGCGCGTCCGTCTGCGAGAGAGGCATGCGGTCACGCATGCTGCCCCAGTACACGTGTTCCTGGATGGCACCGCTGATGCCCTCCCGCATGTGAGCAGCTCCCTCTGGTACTTCGTTGTTGGAGAAGACCGTCTCGAATCTGTCCATGGTCGGGAAGAAGACTTCGCGGAACCATCCGTGTGACTGGCCTTCGGGCGTCAGCCCTTGCCACCACTTTTCAAATCCGCTCGCCTCAGTCCACTTGTCGTATGCGGCCTTGCTTGACCAGTACGACAGCACGGCAACGTTGTGAAAGCCGCGGCGGTCGGTCGAGGCGGCCAGCTCTTGGAAACCGGGCCGGCAGTCCTCTGGGACGGAGACGGACGTGGTATATGATGACACCTTCTTTATGGCCTGGCCATCATCTTGATCCTTTGACTTATACTGGGCGCCGATGACGGCCATGACGAGCTCTTTTGCATTTTTCGGAAATCGGGCCGTATACGCTGGGAACGGTGGGTTGAACCCCGGGGGCGTGTTGACGGGAATCGTCCTCTCCGTTCGGAGGTTTTCTGCAATCGCCGAGTCGAGCATTTTGCCGAAAAGGGAAAGACGCTTGCTTTAATGGGGGATAGAGTTTCGACTAGAGCGGAACGATTGGGTATATCCGCAATGGAAGGTTTAGAGTGAAGACAAATTCACAGCGAATGTGAGCAAACTCAAGCCTGCAGAATGTCAAAAAGTCATGAGCAAAGTTGCATGTATCGTGTCAACGGGCAACCTCAGGGTCCTTTGCCCCGGATTGCCCTCTTGCAAGCACCCTATATAATGGCCAAATGACCCCGAGTTGAGGTTGCGGACATATCAGGCCCGCGAAATTTCTGCGTATCACATCGAGTCCAAAGGAGAACAATGGGGAGGGAGGCTGATCCTAGAGCCAATAAGAGGGAGCGTATTTGCTCCATATTTGACTAATGCAGTTATGTATTAGCTAATAGTACTTTTGGGGGTATAGGGCTCTCCTGTTGACAGTATAGGAAATATATTGATTGTGATAGGTGAAATGGTATCTTATCTAGTCCTGCGAGTTTCAGCTACGGCTGTATTGCGGAATAATGGCATCCGCGATGATAGACGCGCGCCCAATACTTATGACTGGTTATATAGATCCTGTCAAAAACAGTGCAGGAAATTTAGAGTTCGAGACTATCGCCCACGCAGTTAGATTCATCTGGGAGCTTCCCAACTTCTCCACCCCAGCTCCTTTCTCTCATGATCATGGATCCGCCCCGACATTTTGACATTTGGAGTTCTTTCTCAGGGTCTGCAAAAGGAATCTGCAGCCCGAAACTGATCAAGAGTCTTGTTGCACGTTGCATCGACCCCACGGTCGCCTCCGCCGCTCACTACAGATGGACTCGAAGAAGCCGTCCAACTTTGCCTGCGACGCTTGTCGCTTAGGCAAGAGAAAGGTGCGTTACCCGCTTAGCAAAAGAGCTAAAACCGCCTTGCGAGCGTGCGGCCTGACAACTCCCGCAACAGTGTGATGCAGCCAAACCCCAGTGTTCCCGGTGCTCAAAGCAAGACAAGCCATGCACATATCCCACGGAGGAGCGACCGAAGAGGTAGGCGATCACGATTTGCCGTGTGCCCGCATCCCGCATGGGCGGCCTTTTCTGTGTGTCATGCTGCTGACCTGACCTGTGCGTCAATCTGCAGGCGCAAGTATTGGGATGAGGACTACGTTGCCAGCCTGGAGAACCAGGTCAAGACCCTCCTGGCCGCGCTGGACGCCAAGAATGCCGGAAGATCTGTTCCAAATGGTGACTCTGTGGACCAGCCGGCTCCGAAAGGCGAGCTCAGCTCCACCGTCCTCACTGCTCCCGTACAACACGATGCCGGCGTTGCCGGAGATCCGGGTCCGAAGGCCAAGAACAAGGCCAACTTGGAACCTGATGCCAGATCATTAGCAGCCATGGAGGAGTTGAGTGTGATGATGTGGCGCACCAATATTGGCGACGGTGTTACAATCATCAACGACTCTGCCGCTGACTCGCAGCACCGAGTGGACACTTCCGCGCAGCCGGGACTGCAAGACTTTATCACTCCTCCACCAAATGTTCTGGTCTATTGTCAAGATACTGTCCTTATTCATGAACTCGCGACTTTGTTTTTGGACAATATCAACAGCGAGCATCAGTTCACTCCGTATAAGACGACCGAGTTCTTGGCAGGCTACCCCTATCAAAGCTTTGGCCAGACGTTTCTGCACAGTGCAATACTGTCCACTGGAGCCATCTTTTCCACCCGCCCCAATGCAAAGGAAATCGCAGAAGCCTTTTCTCAATTTGCCGAGAGCCTCGTGTTTACCTGCTTTCGTCAAAGTCCAACTTTGCAAGTGGTCCAAGGTCTTTGCATGATGTCCTGGCGTTCATTAGCGCTGGGCCGAGATCATTTTGGGTGGATCTTTATATCCATGGCAGCTGGACTATCGGTTCACCTTCGACTTCACGTCCTTGCGCTAGATGAATGCGAGTCACGGTCATGGCGGCCGCATGTCGAAGATATACGGACTTTCTGGATGTTTTATCTTATAGACCGGACTGCCATTTCCATCCTGGGAAGGAATTGTGCATTGCCTTGGCGCCGGGTCAATGTCCCCAACTTTGAAGCTTCTCTAGATCCCAAGGCGGCCGACATAGCACAGATCTCTTTCATGTGGCAGTGTAAACTATGGTTCCTCCACGACGAGCAGATGGATCAAATGTAAGCGACGCCCTTGTTGCCGCTGTCAAAACATGGGTGACTGACATTGACAGATTTACTTCCAAATTTGAGGCTATTCCAGCTCAGCAACAGGCGCATCTGCTTGTTGCTACGCATGAGGCGCTCAGCAATTTCTTCAAATCCCGAGATCGCCGCCTTGATCTTCGCGGGCAAGATACGAGCAGGCACGTGTTGTTCTTCCACATGGCGTACCAAATGGCTCTTTTGATCACCCTACCTCCGTTCCTCCGGTGTTTCGCCATGTCCAAGGGTAATCCCCAGACAGAAAACTCTGCCAACCCCAACTACATCATCTTGATCCTGCGGTCCCTCACGGGAGCTGCATCCATGATGATTCGCTTGGTACGAATGTATCGCGATGCGCACCCAGAACAGTGGAAAACCGCCAATCCCGTCATCATTCACCACCTTCTCAGCGCCGCGATTGTGTTGTTAATGAACGCGACTAGTCAGACCACTTCAATAAAGACGCAGAGCACAAGGTGGTTGAAAGTCTGCATTGAGCTCTTGGTGAATCTGAGGACTCCTTGGCCCGACAGAGCCAACAAGACCATCAAAGTCATCAGAGTGCTAGCTGACCGCTGGGGTGTCTTGGGGGCGTTGCCTCTCCAATTCAGCTACCCCGTGGATGTTACGACGCCACCCGAAGTGAGCAGCACCAGCCAGGATAGTCCTCCTGCTGTAGGGATCCTGCCAAGTGCTGTACCCTCCACTCAACCATTCCAGCCTAACCCTTACTCGGTCCCTGCATTTAGTGGTAATGATATGAGTTCCATGGGCACATACTCGAATTTTGACTTTACTGTACCCACGACTATAAGTTTTGGCGTCGAAGCCCAACAACAATTCGATGACATTTTCGCAGATAACGGTGGTAATTGGCTTTTCGGCGGCGAACAAGATCCCGGATTGACTTATTGGAATGGGAATGCAGGTAGTTATTAAGTCGGGTATAAATTTGTCATGACTAAAATACGTATCTACAAATACAGTAAAAGGGGGTATTATTTCTCCATAATCATTTCTCCTCAAAGATCCGCAACCAGCTCAGAGGTGACCTCCTTGGCCACTTGCTTTGCTACAGCGGCTTGCACAAGACCCTTGATGTTGTTGTCGGTGCTGAGCCACAGCAGGTCAGGTCTGCTGTAGTGGCCGGTGCAGTGGGCAAACATCTTGATCCTCGTGATCTCGTCCATGTCGAGGTCGGCGTACAGGATACCCTCGGCCTTGGGGTCCAGGGGCTCGGTCAATTTTCTGCCGTCGGGGCCGAAAATGGCAGAGGTGCCGCCGCCGGCCGAGGACATCAAAGCGCCGCCCGAAGTGTTCTGGACCTTGACACCCTCGTCTGTAATGACGGCGGTGCTGTGCAGAACGAATGTGGTGGACTCAATAGCGTATGTGGCCGAGAGAGTGTGGCAACCTGGAATTTTTGTTAGCTGTATTTCTCGTAGACCACGTAGCACCCGCGCATGCAAAATGACATACCTTCAGCAGACATGGACCACAGATCGGGACCACCAGTGTGCGGCGTCAGACTGGGCCAGGCCGAGACGTGGATCTGCTCGCGCTGGGACATGGTGTTGAACTTGAGCAGGGGCTGGATATGCTCCCAGCACGAGAGCTGGCCGACGCGGCCAAAGGGCAGCTTGGCGACACCCGAGAGGCAGTGGCCCGAGGCGTCGCCGAAAATGGTGCGCTCCATGTGCGTGGGCTTCATCTTGCGGCGGTGCAGCTTGACCTCGCCGTCGGCGCCAATGAGCACCTGCGAAATGTAGAGCGAGTCGTCCTCGTTCTCGGAAAAGCCCAGCGACACGGCAATGCCATTGTCGCGCGCGGCCGCCTTGATCGTCTCCATCTCTGGGGAGTCGACCTTGAGCGAGTTCTTGATGTACTTGACGTTCATCTCAAAGTCCACAAGACGGGTCCTACAGGGGAGGGAAAAGGCTTACTGTTAGCAACTCTTCTAGAGATGGTGAATTCTGCTGTTCGGCCGGAGGGGATGCATCATACCAAATCCAGCATGGGTATCCAGGGACAAAGCACTCAGGGAAGGCAATGAGCTGGGCCTTGTTGTCGGCAGCCTCCTTCATGAGCTTGCAGACCTTTTTGACGGAGCCCTGCAAGTCGAGCCAGACAGGCTCAGCCTGTGTGACGGCAACACGAACTGAGGAGGCAGACATGTTTGAACTATGTGATGATGATGAAAATGGTATAGAAAGAAGTAAAGTGTGGGGTATATATATTTAATTCAGACAGACTGTTGCCGCTGTGCAGTAGTGTGTATGTGACTCAAAATGATTCAAAGAGTATGTTGCAGTATTTCAAATGATAGTAATATGTGAGATTCGCAAACACTTGCTCTTTGCTGTTTTGCATACTTCTATATTTCATGTGCTGGGACCTTTATACTCTCGACGGAATCGGATCTCTGTGCATTTCAGTGCGGCCGGAATAAACCCCGCAGGTTATCATGTAGGACTATCTCACGGCGGCGAGTAATAATATCTTTGCGCTTACTTTCTGCATTTCAGCTGCGACGAATTGACTAAAAGTACTGAGCTTAGGTGTTACCACGTTATCTTGTTTCCATCAGTCAAAGATACGGGACTATCTCCCCCATGCCGAGAAACTATAGAAGACCCAATAGTGGTAATTGCTGAGAGGCTGAGGGTGGGATTCTGTTGCGGATCTGTCAACGTCCGCACAGATAAGGGGCGGCCAGGGCGTTCATGGGGAACCCTTGGCGGTCATCCGCTTCACTTCCTCCCCTCGACTTCCCACTGGCGCTGGGAACGCTCCCGGCAGCAAGCAGAGACTGCAGCACAGGCGACCACTAGAAAGTAGCCTATTTCCCCGCACTCGGGCGGCGCAGCGCCCAGGATTTTAGGGGTCGTAGCTGTTGGCCAGGGCGCCCTGTTGAACAGTGTCAACCATGTCATGATATTTGGTCATTCGTGGGGAAGACGAGACAGATCTTCGTGGTAACCCAATTTGATCACATTTCCCGTCGATCAGATTGGTCATAGTCCTGTACAGATGCTGAGTCTAGCTCGAGATTCGGAATCAGATTCTCCTCACTACACTCCGTCTACCGATTTCTCATTAGACTTATTAACATACAGTAGATCGGTTCAGGGGCATGGGAATTGAAAGCTTACGAGATGCATATGCCGAAGATTTCGTCTGTAGGCTTACCTGGTTGCCTGGTCCCTCCCAGCCACCCAGAGCGCTGTGAGACACATTCAATGCCATGCAGCCAAGGAGCCCTCTGAGGAGACAGGCCAATACAGCCGCCAGCGCATCATACCAGAGGCAAGGGCTCAAAAAACAATGCAGGCCCAGGTAATTGGTTGGTACAGCAATGCGTAGAAAGACCTCGGTGACGGTTACCTAGAATCTAGCTCTCAAGGTGCACACGAGGCTTTCCTTGTCGGTAACCATCGTCCCCAGATTGGAACACGCCAACGCTCACTTTGGAAACCCCGCCAGCACCGATCTGCAGAGTTGGGGATGCCATGCAAAATATGACCACGTGAGCCGGAACCAAAGACATTGAGTAATGTACACTGCGCCTCACGCGTCCAAGCAAATTAGTCTCATCATCGTATGTTGCGACGCATGTACTGTGCATAGTGTCTTGTAGTGGCTAATGTTAGTGGATCAAAGCCTATATCCAAACAGGTTACCACCCAACAGAGCTTGTGGGGCGTCGGCATCTGCTCACTCTGACGGTCTTTGCTTGCGTACCTAGACTAGGCGAATTTCGGCAATCGACATTTTTATTTCCAGTTTCTTTTACCTCTTCTCTTTGGTATAATCTTTCTAGTCTTGACAAAATTGTCATCTATTACAGCGAAATCTAGGTATAGAACAATCATCACCATGTGCTCATTACCTAGAGCCTTGACAACACCAAATCCTCTAAGAACTGTGTGTATAGTGTGGTTGACTAGAATTGCCATTACTCGACCACGTATCTATTCTGTCTATATCTTGTGCTCTATGATGACAAGTCGTTCATGTCGACATCGCAACGAAACTTCTTAAAATACCCTGCGTCCTCTCAGCAGCCCCCAAGATGAAGCTGTGCCTTGCATAGATCCCACGCCGCTTATACCAACTCATGCCTCGCGCTTTCATCGATTTCTGTCCCAGATCCCTTTTCAGTCCCAAGGATGACCTTTTCATCGCTTGACTCTGCTTCTTTCTTCTGCCGTCGTTGACTGTCCCGTCTTGCTTTCTCCGCAGCAGCCTCCTTTTCCTGTTTGAGCATGATGCAAAATTTAGATCGTGAACGGATCTCCTCGCCCTTCCAGAGAAACAAGAATGGAATAAAGCACATTACACAACTGAGCCCCGCCAGGAGACTGCACGCACCAGCGATTCCGAGGTGTTCAAACATTGGCGTGGTCGCAAACGGGAGGACAACGGCGAGCAGAGAGCGCGTGGCACTAGCCGCGGCGTTTGCGCTGGCGGCAAAGATCTCATAGGCGTCGGTGAGGTAGTTGAGGAGAGCCATGAAAATCAACATGAAGCCCATGCCAAACGGAATTCCAGCCATCATGGGAACTACAAAGGACACATTGGTCCTGGAAGACCATCCGAGCCAGAAGAGCGCGACCACAAACAGCGGTCCACCGAAACATGCCAGCGGGACGCGGCGATACTCTTCCTTCGTACTCCATGGCTTTCCCTGCTTCTGAGCGTTGTGGAGGTAACGATCGTAGAGATAAAATACGGGCAGCGAGAGAAGCGCACCGACACCAATCGGCAGGAAGCACAATCCGGTAACGCCGGGTGTGAGCCCGTACAACTTTTGAAAGATGATGGGGAACGCTTGAAATGACATGTAGAAAATGGCATAGACCAGGGCCAGATACATGCATGTGCTGGTGACGATGAGTTCCGAGATGAGCATGCGGATTGGCCGAGTCAGGACGCGAGTGAGAATGGTGGTAATGTCGCGGCGTTCCAGCTCTGATGCAGCAAAAATGTTTTGCTTGCCAGTCTCTTTGCGGATTTTCTGGGCCCGCCTTGCCAGCAATACTGGGCCATACGTTTCGGGAACAAGGAAGAGCACGATGCAGAATGAGAAGCCTGCATAAATCAGGCCTACCCAAAATGTCCAGCGCCATCCTATCGAGGTCGAGCAAAATCCCTGATACACCATCAGCCATGTGTCCAATCAGTTGGGACAGACTCTTCCGTGAGTTTGACCTACTGATATTATTGGTGCAAGCAGAGGACCAAAAACAGTCATCTTGTATCGCTGTTAGCCAGCCGCTTGGAATGATTAAAGATGAATTCAAGTACGCACAGCCATGAACCAAGCAAAGGCACGGCCTCGAGCCACAGGATCATTGTAAAGATCAGCCAACTGACCAGCCACAATCGCTATAGGCGAACTGGCCACCGCACCAGTGAAGAATCTGAATACCAATAGTGCAGACCAATTCGGCGAAAGAGCGCAAGCCATCGTAAAGATAATGAATAAACCAAAGGTTACTAAAGTAAGGTTCCGCCGCCCAAAATGTTCACTTAATGGGCCCCCTAATCATGTATGTCAGCATGCCACTGAATAGTGATTACGCATATCCAATGAAGATGACTAGGATCACATACATATTATAGGCCCAAACACATAACCTATTAGGTATGTTGATATCGGGAGAACCTTTTTTTCTTGTTCTGTAATGTGCCATTCATCCATGATGAAAGGTATAGCCATACTTGGTAACGAACTGCCCATGGTGCTATTGACAACTAGTACCATGATTGAGATTACCAGTGGGGCCTTCTTGGACTACAATGCTTGTCAGTGACTATTAGCATATGGTCGAGATTTGTATACTACCTGGGGCCAATTGTTTGGGTTTCCCTCTTCGTTCTCGCCCCACGACACTAAAGTTTGGTTGGGAGTATTACTGCCGCTCGAGGTAGGATCGGCATGCTGGATTTTATTGTCGGCCTCTTCTTCTCGGTATCTCTCCCGGGCATCCTGGCTGTCGAGACGCTGCACCACGTCCGAGATATGGCTCAGGGAGCGAACATGATCTGCTCCAAGGTCAGAAAGCTTGATCAGTGGTTGTGGCGGGGTGGCCCTGTACTTACGGGACACTACTATACCGCCGACGTCCTCTCGGAGATTCCGATCAATAGACATTGCTATACTCTTCCAGATACGTAGTGTGTAGCCGAAAATCTTCAAGTGGCGAGGTATCGTGTAGTCCGACAATGGCGACACTTCCGGGCAATTTGTGGAGTTTGTGTGAGAAACTGAGAGACGGGGGACGTCGCAGCTCCCCGGAGAAATCGTGCACGCAAAAGGAGCCAGGCTCGTGGAACTACCAACGGCACCGGAAAGAGGCCGGTGCGGCTCCGACAGGTCATAGGATGGTTGGATGGATCGACATGGATTGGGCACAAAAATGGGCTCTGTTGCATCCACTAAGCCCAGAGCTGAGGGTGTCTTCGGCTTTTATTACTGCAGCTTTGCTATTTGGGTGGCCAACCAGTCCTCGTACTGGATGCTTTTCGTGTGTATGCTGCCGTGAAACCCGAGCGCCGAACTCCTGTAAAGTCGTTCAAGCTGTGGTTTGCCATCTAGAGACGACCTGGTTGTGAGAAGAACAAGAAGAAGGAGAAGTGGATCACTGCGGCAAAGGCCACCTGAAATCATGCAAAGCCAACATTGCTGCGCCTGGAAAACAACTGCCGTTCCCCTTTAATGAAATACGGTATCCCGCGGGTGGGCTCCGGGGATATCGCGTCGGAATCCAAGGGTGTCTCATGGGAATAGCGTTCGGGGATAAAGCGCCTTGTCAAGGTTGCTGGGTGCGGCCAGAAGCGTGCTCATGACCGTCAGCCGTCGGCCCGCTCGATTAGCCTTCTTGGCCGGAGAAAATTGTCCAAAGTCAGCACTTTTGTTGTGTAAGCGGGAAAAGACAACGTTTATAGGCCATTTTTAGTCAGACGGGCAATTCTTTTTCGCACATGTTCTGGATTGAGAAATATATCATAAATCTGTTTGAATGAATCTTTGACAGCCCCAGTATTCAAGTCCATAATTAATTGTGTGGCATCCTTTGTCGTTTTCGTATTATATCTTGCACTGTCTTGTCAAATGCGACGTGGTGTGGTTCGGGTTCCGTCAATTCGTATCGTCGTCGGATACCATCTAACCAGTCTTGGGGGAGGGACTGGTCTGTACCCAACACCGCAAGCTGAATGCGGCCATCTCTGATAAAGTCTAGCGTTCTGAGAGCTTTTACGATTCTTTGGCAGGTGTCCTGAGATCCAGTAATTACAGTCAAAACAGGAACAGAAGTTTTTCGAGTGTAGCCCGCGAACTGCACCCTGTACCAGCATGTGTTCTCGCCGAAAATTGGGGCTAGCTCACGCTCATGTACCTGCCAATTTGCCTCGGCTACTGCCAGAGCTCTGATGTTCCATACAGCTTCAATGGCCCATCCGTTATCTCCTATTCCCCAGAAACGGATTCCATTCATCGTTGCGCTAAGTGATCCGCGGGAATCTTCAAGGTCTTCCCACCGACTGATGTATCTGACTCTCTTGAAAATGTCGGGGCCCTCCATGTTCTCCCGTTCAGCCAGAAGCAGTGAGAGATTGTCGTTTCCATTGTATTCGTCATTCAAAAAGGCCTTGGAATTCTGGTCGTGTTCGGGTTGAGCCAACCACTTGTCGATAGCGTCATCGTCCATATCGGAAAAGTCCAAAACCTTCCGAAAGATGAAACTGCATCGAGGATTGGCACTACCTGTCGAGTCAACATCGGCTAGAGCAAGTTTATAATTCCAAGTCGCAGTGCAGGTCGCTGGAATACGCACCAAGTTGTGTCGGCATCAGGAACGACAAGTAGCTGTTTTTGGCCACATTTGGGACAACATGATCCCTCCTCGCCGGCAAGCCACGCACCTCCAAATGTCATAGCCATGGCAAGTGTTTGGCCAGGCCGCACCAAGTGATGAAAGTCGGCTTTCAAATTCAAGTCCGTGCCGGTAGCGAGGTCATGCAAGACATACTTCTTTTTCATGACGAGTGCCTGGCCAGGTCGGTTTCTAAACTGGTCCCTCACCATTGATTCGATTGTCTGCACCCGATATTAATATTGCGATCTCGTTTCAAGTTTGCTAATGATGCCAGGCCACTCACCTGCCAAGAAGGATTGATATCCAGAGGTACGGGAATGGTAGAGCCCAGCGCGTCTTCAATTAGAACACGGTTATATCTGTACGGGTCGATGGCATCAGGAACGCGAGATAAGGATGCGATCTCAGCCTGGACACTAGAAATACGCGAGTTTGCGGTGCGTCTATGCAGGTCAGCCCGCTTGTAAAACTTTTGATCGTGATGTTGCAAATCTACTCACAGCTCCGAAAGAACAGCAACAACATTCTTCTCGGTTTTGGTAGCGACTGTCGTGTGAGTTTCCAAGTATCCAAGAACTTTTACAAACTGCTTGTCGAGCTGATTGGCAGCCTGAGCCTCGGCATTTGCGAGACTCTCGAGTCTCGCTGCAACAAGGTCACGATCTTGTTCTTGACCGATACTTCTCATGAACTTCGTCAGTATGTGCGAATCTAAATCCACGCGACCATGATTGGAGCACGCCGCAGAATATTGAAGGTTGAGTCCTTACCCCGAGGCGATCGCATGTATCCAATCTATGAGTTCTTTGTTACGACGGAGTTTATTGCGTAGCTGAGTGACTTTTTCCTTCTCTAACACACTCCAGCGTATGCGCTTGAATATATCACCGATGGATTTTCGAGATTTCTTCTGAGGTGAGAAGCTGCTGGCATATTGCCTGAATTGTCGCTTGAAAAATGATTCAATCGCTTCCCGACACTCGTCTACCGCTGGCTTCAAGGAGTCGGCAAGACGATCGAGCTCGGCGCTTCGGGATCTCGACTGCCAGAAGTTGAGTAGCTAGAATTTGTATGTCAGTATTATCTCGGGGGTGCGATCCTCTTCCACAGTGCACATGGCGACCAACCTCATCGAGTGTTTTGTGGAAAAGGTTCAACTCGTCGACCAATTCCCTGAACTCTTGTGCTGAGCCATGGCTGTCGCTGATTGCCTGCGATAACCGCCATACTAGCTGCACCGTAGTGATGATATCGCCAAAAGAACCAAAGGTAAATGACGCAGACATTTCAGCCGCAAATGAGTATGGTTTGAGATGTTTCACATTTGGAGAAAATGACGATAATGATGGAGTCGCTCGCGAAAACCATTTTGTTCAAACCCGACAAGAATCATGGCCAGCCTTATCCCCAAAAACTTGGGTGCTGTCCCCCAGATGGGCGCAGTCGGCCTCCATAAGCATCCATGACAGCTGAGCCACTGTCATGTCCAGCTGCGATTGGGTAGAGCTGCGTTTCCTGCATAGCCATTGCATCTAAGCGAGCAAAATGGCTGAAGCGTTTGATGGTCCTACAGCACGTCTTATATGCCTTGCTAAGCCCGACAGCCACTAGATGCGGCAGAAATCACACGCGGATGCTGGCTTATCTGGATTTATCGGACATGAGAATGCCCGACACCATATATTTCAGCATGAATCAATGAGAGCAATTTACGGTGCGATATTTCAGCCTCGGGTATAGCGATGACCAAAACATTATTGCTCCAAAAACGCAACACCAATACTTATAGTCTGTCAATTCAACACAAAATTGAAAAGCTGCATCATAGGCCCGAATGCCATTTCAACTCGACACAAAAGTGAGTGAGCACACACCCATCAATCACAAGACTACTTACTGCCAATCAAGAATTATTTGCATTTGCAACCAAAAAGTTTCTTCATTGAAACAAATGCAAAAAGAAATCCCAGATTCAATCTGGGGGAAGCGATGATGAGAGTGGGACTTGAACCCACGCACGTTTCCGTACCAGGAAGTAGGTGTTAAGGTGACCTTAACCTGGCGCCATAACCAACTCGGCCATCTCACCGATGATGTTGTTGTGAAGATTTTCACGTTAACGCAAAATAGTTGCACTCGCATTTTCTGTGAATCAATGAAAAACTTTTCTCATGGTGGGCGACGATCAAGTTGGTGATGGAAGGGAACCAAGGATAAGGCGGCTTGTCAAGTGGTTGGTCCCACTCGGTCGGACCCGTATCGTGACAATCGAAAGCTACCAAAGTCGGGTCGGTCAAAGGCTAGGCTGCATCGGCCTCGAGCACGTCTAAAAGCGTAGAGAAGGTTAGAGGAGCGATAGCTAATTTGACACAGGCGCGGACATTGAATTCTAATTGATTTGCATTACTATGAGTATATATTTGACCAGAATTTCTTACAATCATCCATTACAGCATCTTCTCAAGGGAGTACGGGAAAGGCCGGGGCGTCACCAACGCCTTGGTAAATGATGGTATCATTATTAGGGTTGTTGGCTGGCTCAGGGTAGCCCATAAGCTGGCGGATCAACTCCCACTTGTCCTTGGGGCGCTCGGGATACGCATCGACTAGTCCTTGCCACCAAGAGGTCTCCTTGAAGGTGACCTTTGCGTCCGCATCATTCTTGCTAAAACCCTCGGGGGTGTTGTAGACGTATCCGACGCGAGTCGAGTCGGGGAACCAGTAGTAGGCGCGAGTCGAAATGGCCAGCACCTCGTTAACGTACACTTCAAGAGTACTACCATCCAGGAAGACGCGCATCTTGAGATCGTCGAGCTGGGTGGTTCCGTTGACACGGCGCTCCCATAGGCGCAGCTTACCCACTTCCGGTGCGCGGTTGACGGTCGAGTTGGTGATGGCCGTGTTGCGCTGAATCATGATACTCTCATTGGCCGGGCGGTAGACTACGGAGACGTCTTCGAATCTGTCCGAGCCCGGCTCGACACCCTTGACGCTACGGAAGATGGAGATGCCAGCGGAGAATGAGCCGTAGTCTTCACTTCTGAGCGAAGCATTGGGGAAAGAGATGGTGGTCTCCAGCTCAAAGTGGCGGCTGTCTGGGGATTGCTCCAAGGCACGGTAGATCTGGTGCTCGCCGTCCTTGACTGTGATCTCGTCGCCGCTATTGTTCCTCGAGGGGGCAAAGACTACTTCTGTTTGATTAACCACAAATGACTTTTCAGCTTGGGCCCTGAATGCAGCAAGTTCCTTCGCTGGTCGGATGCCCAGAGTGGTAAGATCGACGGTGCCGTCCGACTTTGCGCCTATACGACCATTGTTCTCCGTTGGAACAGCAGTCTTGAGGTGGCCCGTCTTGACAGCCCAGCTTGCTCTCATACGGACCAGAGACGAGTCTACAACGTTTTCAATATCCTTGATGAAAAGCTCTCGTGGAAGAGTCAGTGCGCCAGAGTATTCGGTCTGATACTTGAGATCCTCGATCTGGTCCTCTCCAATGACACACAGAGTATAGCGTCGGAGATCCGTTTTGTTCTGGACACCAGTGCATGCATATCCAAGACCCCAGTCAACGACACCCTCAAACGTTGTGTTGAGAATAACGCTCTCGTTGTGCTCGCTTCTGGCCCAGTGGCCCACCCGGTATAGGGACCAATGGTAGCTGTGGTCTTTACGACCAGATTCCGCGCCCATGGTGATGAGACCAAGCCCATCTTCGTCGTCTCCCTCGTGACCCAAGGTGGTGAGTTGGGATGTCTCGTAATTACTTCCATCGGACTCGTCGGATCCAGCCCAGCCGGAGCCCGGCTGGACAAATGTAGAGTTGACCTTCTCTTGGAGAATGGGTCCCAAGTAGTCCCAGCTGGTAAAGTTGTTGAGCTCGGACTGACGGTAGAAGAACAGGCGGGGGCCATCACCGTGGATACCTCCGCTGACAGAAATGTACCAAGGCGCTTCCGTGTAATTCCACGTACCGTTGGGAGAAAGCAAGTCGTCAAATTGCTTACCCTGGACCACCCAAGGATCACGGAAACCAGTCACGACATTACCAATGTAAGGGGGAGCTGTTATGACGGGGATATTGGCACCCTCCTCGGGCTTGATCCATGTGTCGCCGTTATCCTCCGAGTAGGCCAGAGCTTGTGACTCGTAGCCATCGTGATAATCGATAGACCATGAGATTGGAAGGCCCTTGACGGCAGTCCAAATCAAGGTGGGCAGGCCGTTGTAGCCGTGAGGAATTACACTTCCATCAAAGTCGGCGAGAAAATCAACCTCGTTACCGGCACCGATCGACACGGGGTTCTTGTACGTGTTGTGGTCCTTGAAGTGCAGGAGATCCTGGGTAGTGCTACCGGCGATAGATTGAGTAAAGTATGTGCTGTTCTCGATACCCCGGATGAAACTGTAGAGTGCTGACAGGTGGATGGTACCATTGTCGTCCATCCAGAAAGCCGTAGGATCCCCAACGCTGTTGCTTGGGTGAATGAAGTGAGCCTTTGGCCGCCATTGCTCCCAAAGAGAGGCATTGGTATAGATGGAGAGGTTGGTGGGAGGTGGTTGAGTAAAATCAGGAACGAGAGCGCTCCGAGCACCAAAAGTATGGTTGGTGGCGTTGGCCAGGCCAGCCGCCAATCCGCTGAAGGCTGCACTTTGCAGCATAGTGTCCTAAAGCCCGAACCTTTGAAAGAGAATAAAAAGGACGAAGGGAATGGAGAGCTGGTAGAGTGCCAGTCTCTCTCACGATGACATCGCTGGGGATCAGTGTTATTTATCACCAGCTCCTATCCATTGCTACCAAATCGTTACAAACAGCGCGTAGTCTCTACCCACTTCTGAATGAGAAGCTCATGCCCTGCTCAGACCATCCCGGTGGACCGTGTAGTGCTATAGGAAAAGGATTCGGCCGAATGTTCCTGACAGATGTTGAGGGGCGGCGGGTCCTTGGGCAAGCGGATCAGGGGGCCCCAGATCAGGTCCCGAAATCTTTCGGTGATATTCGTACAGTACACTGGATAATATGCAGTATATTATCATCGTATTGTTTTCACGGCAGTCTTGATCCCTGGCCAGCGAGAAAAACCAGCCGCTCAGCTGTTGCATCTTCATACGAGCCATCTCTATATTCGAATGTGAACTACAAAGTAGGCAAGTCCCAGAGCGTCCTCTTTTAGTGCAGTGTCTCTCAGGATTGGAGTATTGAGGTTTGCGCGCTCGACTTTGATTCGGTCTGTGTTCGGTGAAAAGAAGGAATTAGTGTCATCTTTAGAGTCGATCTGATAACGATTGTCTGTAAGTGGATCAGTCGGGCGCAGAAGCCTTGAGAGTTTATTCTAGAGTCCACCGATCCCTTTCATTTGGTTCGCGTGAATGGCCTCTAGCCTGACTTGCTCTACGGAACAAACCGTGCCAAGTCGTGCCTTGCAGGTCTGCAAAAGCTACAGAGCCACATCTTTCTCCATAAGATGATAATTTCTGAGATGCTTGACCTGTTCGCAAGAACTATTGAAGGATCGGCAGTGCCATCAGGCCATGGTCTGCCAGGAGACAGGAATGCACAAGCGTTATTTGTCTGATTGACTTGAAAGTGACAAATACTTGACTGGAGATGAGTAGGAGTCTCGAGTTAGATATCCCTCGATGGATGAGCCGCGCGTCGCCAAAGCACGAGGCTGTTGGTACGAATTGGTGAAAGTCTTCCTGGCAGAATATAGTCTGTAAAATGGCACAGGACGCATCTGTCGAAATATGACGTCACCAACGCCAATAATCATCCACAATGAAGAAATAGCCTATTATGGCTTCAAATTTGTCCAAAAACAGCTGCATTATGCATAATAGAAAGCTTCTTAAAACTTCTCGATTGCTCCAGTTTGGAAACGTTCCAGTTCCTCGCCCGGATTACTGGGTGGTTCCTCATTTAGAAGTTTGGCATGTCGCCGGCCGATCAGTCCGACTCGCTTCAAGTCGTCATGAGATTCCACAGCATCGCGAGAAATATCCTTTATTATTGATCAACATGTAAGAATAATTATTTCCAAGCTCTTGCAATACAAAAAACATGTGCCTTTACATGGCTCGAAGTGTGACTAATGCCAATGCCGGCTGGTATTTCTCCCACATACCGACTGCGGATCACCATCGCATGCCTTTTTCAATTGGAGCTAAAATACAGGTGAGCAGCGGGCCGATGCAGACTTGGCGCAAGGAATATCCCCCATAATTACGGCATTTCTAAATCGTCAAACATGTCTTTTTATGTGATGGGATCATCTTTTCAGGTGATGCAAAGAGTCATGGACCTACCGTGCGTACGTACTGTCACTCGATATCACGCATTTCACTGCCCGGCGCCGAAATCAAAAGGGCCCTGGAGCACACTGGAAGAACCAGGAATGATCACGCCGAGTTTGCTCGTGTCCTTCAAGGCAAAATCAGGTATATATGCCACGATGAAAAGATATTTCCTCAAGGATTAATTAACACTCTCATTCCAAACATGCGCGCTTGCACGAGTAGCCGAGAGAACCTGCAAGCAATTTCGCCTGGGCAATGAACTTGCAACCAGCATGCACTACTCTGAACCCTAGCCTGGAGGGCAAGACGTGGGTCAGCTTTTGCTTCTTCGTTTTCCTCCTCGCCCTTTCCCTTCAACTATGAATCGTATATATACCAGCTAGTTATAGTATACTTACTAGATATAGTATACTAACGTATCCTATACGCCAACAAATATACTCTACCAGGAGCAGTGAATGCATATTGCATGAGAATATCCGACAAAGATGAGAGAAGCCGCCTGCTGGGGTGGAGCATGCAAAATACCTAGGTTCATACATCGCCAAACCCGACCGCAGATGCACAGGCTGATTGCATCGCGATGCGAGAACAACTCCTCAAACACAGAAAGTCCTGTTCCACTACTTGAATCTATTCAAAATGCGTTGCCCAAATCAAGAAAACCCTTCGACTATACCCTTGATAAAGATATGCATACACAAAAAATCGCTAAAAATGCAAAAATATAACGGGTGATGGAGATGTGCATCCATCGGGAGTCGAACCCGAGTCTCATGCTTGGAAGGCAAGAATGATAACCGCTACACTATAGATGCGGATCTTGAAAGAAGTCGTTTTATTACGCATCATAAAAGTTGAAAATTAGCGGCTCGAGCGTCTTCTGAACGGGATATCCCGTAGTGGAATCGTCCCATTTCATCTCGTGTGTCCCATTTCACTGCGGGCCTTTCAGCTCGGAGACATTTGCTTGTGGGTGGCGGCACAGACTGGGGCAGACAGACGCACGCCATAGAGTGGCTGTTATTTTGGGTGTACGGAGTACCGCTGTTGGCTTGGCTTTACTCGGCTTGTGTCAACCTTGTAATCGGAAGTGTCATCTTTCAATTTGGCCTCTATTTGTGCGACACTGTCCGGGGTAAGGGAAATGACAGATTTTATGCCATGTCAACCGTAACAAACAGCTTCTACATTTGGTAGAGCTGGAGCCAACACGGCTAGGCGGGATGCGAAATTGCCAAAATGCCCCTTGCAGGTTTGATATCCCTTGCTGCAAATGACAATCATACCGCCGAGGGAAAAAAGAAGACAAGAAAGCACGAGCTCGCTGAAAGATCAATTCTCTGCCGTGACACTTTTGTCAAATAATCCAGCTTTACTTGCCATGAGGGAAGAAGTATTGAGACTGATCTGCCCGCTCGGAGAAAGTCTGCTCTGCTTTGGAAAACAGGACAAGTGGCACGAAAGAACGGCGCGCATTTCAAATTTACACCTTCATTATTAAAAGTCTAAGTAAGTCTCTCATCTCTCCGACATTTCATTTCCAGTGGGTGCACATCCTCAGTCCAACCAAGAGAAGAGCACCTCATGGAATGCGACAGGATCCTGCAAAAACGGCGCGTGGCCTAGTCCTGGGAACATGTGGAAAGTCGAGTTGGGAATGGCGGCGGCAGCAGCTGGGCCAATGACATCGTAATGGCCGAGCACGGCGGCAACATCGGCCGAAGACCAGGCCTTGCCGAGGGCGGTCACGTCGTTTTCGCCGACCATGAGGTAGGTCCGGGTCTGGAGGTTGGGCAGCTGGTAGACGTAGGGCTGGCTCAGCAGGACGCCCGTCACCAGGCTCATGACGTAGGCAAACTCGGTGCCGTGGGAGCCGCCGTAAATGTTGGCGAGCATGTGCACCCACGTGTCGTACTGCGGCTCCCACGTTGCATTGGCAAAGTAGTTGGCCGCCTCGTACGCCTTGAGCGTGTCAAAGGTCTGGGTGATTTGGCCCTCGTACGTCTGGTCGACGGGCACAAAGGCGACGCCCTTGGCCACCCAGTCCTCGAGTCCGAGCGGGTCGACGAGCACGAGCTGGTGCACCGAGTCCGGGTACATGAGGCCGAAGCGAGCTGAAATCATTCCGCCCATGGAGTGGCCCATGACGGTGACGGGTTCTGTAATGTTGAGCGCCGTGAGCAGGCTCTTGATGTTCATGGCCTGCTGGTCGACGCTGTACGAGTAGCCCAGGGGCTTGCTCGACTTGCAGAAACCAATGTCGTCGGGAAGAATGACGCGGTAGCCCGCCGCCGACAGGTTGCGCGCCGTGTCCGACCAGGTGACGCTGCAAAAGTTTCCGCCATGGAGCAGCACAGCCGTCTTATTGTCCGTTACGCAGGAGTTGGTCGGAGCAACGTCCATAAAGGCCATGGTCAGGTTCTGGTGCTGATTATAAAAGTTGAACTGCTTCACGGGCCACGGGTACGTATAGTTGGACCCGTACAGATCGTCCGGCACGGGGCCATCATAGATTGTGCCGATCGGGTCCGGGTTCGACTGAGCCTGAGCCACGCCAACAAACAGGCCGCCGAATAGCGCGCAAGCCGCGCCGGCGACTGAGAAAGTCGTCTTCATCTTGGGTGATGCAGCAAGTATAGTGCTCCGACGGCTTCCGCACGGGAAATAAGGTGAAGTCTGTGCTGGCGTCTTTTCTTATTGGCTACTCAGCATCACCTTGGTTGCATCTGCTCTGTAGCGTCCCGTGTCTAAAGCCTGGAAAGTTTCAGCAGGATGTGACTGGCCTCGTGGCAATCGTGATGTTCTTGTATGTAAAAGCAAATCGCGCGGGCAGGGGTATTGGGCGGCCTTGACTTCTCGATTTGGGGCCACTCCACATTGCAACGGTCGTTATGATGGTCTACCCACGACTCCGTATTATTGTTGTTATTTCCATCGAGACTATGCAGTCCACTTTACATAGTAGGGTTCCAGTATGTAGTCCCGGAGACTCGGCTGGTCGCGACTCGCAGTAACTGGATCCTGTCTTGGACATTTTGGTCCAAATACCTTTTTTTTTTAATCCCCTGTCAACTTGGTTCTAGCATTGACTTTGGAGAAATGGTAACACCTTCTCTATCAAGGGCATTTGGGGCGAGCCAAGTCAAGTCCATTTATACAAGACCACTTCCGGCGGCCATCTATATGCATGCGATGCAACATGCGCTTCATCTTCCGCCTCGAGGTTGAACCATTGTTCTACGACAGACTGTAGAACCTTTGTTGATTCTACCTGGACAAGCTCTAAAAAGAAAAATTTGCGTAGCTTGGATGTCATGGATTTCCTGCCCATGCCCGGTGGGCATGTTGTTGCTATTGGTAATCTCGCAGCCATGACGAGCCTCGGTCAACCCAGATGCAGTATGTGACCCTACATATTTCGCGCCCGGGAAGAGAGGCTAGATCGGGCCGGCAAGGAGAAAACCTCGCAAACCTGGTTGAGCTGGGTAAAGACGGCCCAGCTGCCAGCTGCGCAACACGATACGTACTACCCTTCGCAACCATGTCGTTGGGTGTCGCCCCCTCTTATTCTGTCGTGCCGCTCGAATGCTTTAATCGACCACCAGGGTGCATAGGCGAAATATGGGTGCCCGCGAATGTACAGGGGTCGGACCTAGTTCCCACCAACCGGATGATCTGGCTCATTACCCTTGTTGACGGGAATGGCGCTATGGAGGGGGGTGGGGAGATTGAGAGCATACCCTTCAAGCCTTCGATTCTGCTGTTATCGTCCCATGAATCTATAGTTTCAGTCTAGTGTATTCGTATCTTGCACTTCTCACAAGGTCTGAAGCAAACACGGAATACTCGGAGCTCGCGTAGATGTAATAACCACCGTGTTGTATCGCATGGCATTTCCATGGCCTTGGTTACGTCTCGACAGACCCAGTTAGTAGTAGTACTCCAAATTATCCATCTCGGGTCGGTTCGAACCCTAGCGGTCTCTTCTTGGCCGTGTATCACACCTGCAGATGCTGAGCTTTCAGGGTAGCAGCAGATCGCGGATTAAGAGAGGACGGTACCGGGCTAGCCGACGAACAAAGGGAGAAGCAAAGTTTGAGTTTCAATATATCTCCTCGACCACCACTGTGGATCGCCCATCTAGAGTTGATGAAGTTGAAAAAATGTCTCTGGCTTTTTATTAACTCAATCCTTCTCTTCAGCTGCAGAATCCTGCGCCTGCGCAGGCGCCAAGCGAGCGCCCACAATGTCTGAAAATAATATACCCGGTCCCAGTCGAGCCTTGGAGATTCAAATACCATGTATTGTTTTCATGATTACTACGCCGCTCTTCGTGGGTATGCGATTATGGGCACGAATCAGGTCGAAAGCAGGCTTTGGATGGGATGATTGGACTAGTTTGGCATCTGCTGTAAGTGTATCCAAGCGGTCTTGCATACCAACTCAAAATAAGGGGGGTTATCCTGCAAAGTATCGAGGTGATGCCATTGAGATCAAAGCGAATTGGACAGCAAAGAGACATGCTCTTGTGACAAGTATGAAGCATCACTATTGACTGAACGTACCAACAGACCTTTGCAATGATTGTCATGGCATTTATGCTGGCATCATGTAGTTATGGCTTTGGACAACACATTCGCAACTTGACTCCACAGAATAAGATCATGACCCTCAAGGTAAATAGCCTCGCAGTACTTGTTTGTCGTCAAAGTTTATGCTGATACGAAAACCCGATAATTAGATGTTCTTTGTGAGTCAGGTCTTTTACAAGTTGACCATAAACACGACAAAAATGTCAATTCTGTTCCTTTACCTACGTATCTTTTTGCAGCGCTGGTTCCGGATAGCCTGTTACATACTACTCGCCGTTGTCGCCTCATACATGATCGCCGCCTTCTTCGCCTCGGTTTTTCAGTGCACGCCGGTGCCTCGGGCATGGAACAAGACAATCGCCGGGACATGCATCAACATCACGACCAACTGGTATGCCAATGCGGGCTTTTCCATTGCCACCGATCTCACAATCTTGGCGCTTCCGATGCAGCCGATATACACTTCGAACCTTAGGATGAGGCAGAAGGTGGCCGTCATGGTTTTATTTGCCCTTGGTGCATTGTATGTTCGAGTTTACCTATACAGCAGCCCAACTGCCCAACACACTGGATTTGAGCTAATGAGTTGTTGACCACCTAAACAGTGTGGCGGTCACAAGTATTCTTCGTATGCAGACTCTCGACTTTTCTTCAAGCAGCCTGGATACAACTTGTGAGTCATTCCGTATATTTTTTTTACCTCTTGGACATAGCATTGTTTGTTCCCATCATATTGGGATACCGAAAAGGACTGATGGTTTTGGCCACTGACAGACGACCTCGACTCTTCCATCTGGACAATGATTGAAGAGAACATTGCCATAATATGCTCATGTCTTCCGATGATGCGCGGACCTCTATCCATTTGCTTCCCAGCAGTCTTCACGCCACGATCGGCCAAGGATACCTACGAGAGCGGAGGGGTCTCCAACGGGGACAGCACAACGGGCTCCGGGGGATTGAGATCCCCGCGCAATCAATGGACTCAGCTTCACGGGTATCCCGACAATCGCGCGGGCATCAACCTCAACGAGATAAGCGCGATCCAGAAACGTCTTTCCGAAGACAGCACCGGTCAAATCTTACCCGCGACTAACAACCGCAGCCACAAGGTGCGGACGCCCAGCGACGCCAGTGGGATTCGAAAAGTTCTACAATACCAAGTTTCCTACACACAACGCGAAGTCAACAGCTCGAATGGAGAAGACAAGACCTGAGTGTGTCACCGTCGGTGATTATGGAAGAAAAAATAAAGAGGACAAGTCGAACGTATTGTCATCCAATGACGGCCTTGGAGAAGGAAAGAAGAGAAGAAGAAGAAGAAAAAAGGCTCGAAAATTGAGTACCTATAGTGGACAGCCTCTAGGACTTGACAATGGGGCTTTGTACGACATTTATAGTCGACTGCCTCTGTGGCTGACTCAGCCTCTATGCGTTATGCTTCCAGGTCAATCCTACCCCTGAGACAGCTACCTCACAACGAACGAATGAACATCAGGGACGGAGATTATAACCTAGACCGCATGGGCCGGCCACGACTTGTATGCTGCGTGACTGCGTATATGTCCGACTCATGGGAATTTGGAGGATTTTGCATTTGAGGACTTGGTGTCTTTCATCTAGTCCTGTATAAGGGACGGAATTGGATGGTTTGTCAAAAATAAAAAGGAAAAAAGAAAAGAAGAAAAAACCACCCGCGCGCGCACGGTTGCTGCGCCAGGAGATGACGCCGAGGACGACAGCTCACCGGAGAAGGTCTGCTAGCTTAATCCTCCCCTTTACATCGCATCCAGGCAGCACAGTGGTTCGATGGTGGCAATACGGTCTGAACAATGATGGAAAATTTACCCAAATAAAGTTCAAACGGGCGTGAATCAATGCTTTGAGGCGCGTTGCCTGGGGGGGACCTGGATGGAATCTAGAGAACCTGGATAGAACCTAGAAGACAGTATTTAGTGAGCCATTGTGGCAGCATTTTGTGGTATCTTCCTTCTTCTGCACTTGTTGCTCACCTACTGCTCTCTTAGCCTTTACATGGGACAAATTTTCTTCTCGCGGCCAATCATTCACGAGTCCATTGCATCCAAAACTCCACATTGTTCTCAATTTCATCCTCATCATGTCAGCTCAACACGGTGGAGGTCAAGAGGTGTCCCAAATTGGAGGTGCAGCCGCTGCTGCGACAGCCCAGTACAACTCTATCATCCAAGATATGAAACAACTGCTCCATATCAAGTTCAAGTGGTCAGGAGATCAGAACAGGAGGATTAAGAACTTGGTGACTGAATTGCTTGTGTGGGGTGTCCTGATCGAGATAGAGACTGGCACTCTTGAGTGGTTCGCTGTTAAACAGGCCTCGTCAATGTCCATGATTCAGGCTCATCTCCTTCGTGTTAGCACGGCATTGGCAGATTTCATGGACTATGCAAATAACCCAGCGAGGAGCTGTCAACAAGAGAACCCGGCGTCAGAATTCGGGCGGTATGTTTACCCGTTCGAACCCCTTAAATCCAGAGCTTATGTGATAGCAGATCTGTACGAGAGCTCCAAGTGAGCGTGGAGGACTTTTGCAACAGTTCCGTTGAAATTCTATCTGCCATGAAGCTGCGTAGCGGCCAGCGACCAATGCCTCCAGTCGTTCAGGGACCAATAGATCCAGACGATCAAATCGATCTGAGCCGCTGGCAAATCCGCACTGAGCCGCTATGCAGATCGCTCTTCGCTTCATCGACCAAAACTTCGATTCGAGATCCAGTCGATCAAATCAAACTGAGCCGCTGGCAAATCCGCACCGAGCCGCTATGCAGATCGCTCTTCGCTTCATCGACCAAAACTTCGATTCGAAAGTGAACATTTGTTGAATCAACGCACTGAAGGGCAGTTGCAACATCTGGCGAAGTCAGCATCAAAACTATGGACAACTTAATCACAACATCACTGTTTCCGTCGACACCCATGACTTACCTGGATTAATGGGTGGAGAAAATGAAAGCTGGCCATGGGGTGTGTTGAAATAAGGTGGGCGGGTGCAACCCACACTGTATATAGTGGGAGCCTTCCCCCGTCCTTCTAGGATAGTATTGCTGGTTAATCTAAGGAATATCGAACATACCTTTTGACAGGGTGCGATCTTAATGCGCCAGTGTCGATAAGTAGTATGGCACCTTTCGGGCGAGATATGTCTGTATGTTAACGCATCGATTTCGTAGATTTACACCATCTTGAATTTTTAACCTTTGTTTTAACATTGGTCGTATCAAGTCTCTCGCCACTGAGTATGACGCAGATTATACTAGAAGCACGCAATATTGTAAACCTGCACTCCTCTGCGCTTCCGCCACTGATGATCCATTTTGGTCATATATTATGGCATGGTGTAAAACTTACCGGCGATTGGAGGCGCTACGTGCAATGTTGTATCAGTATGAATCAAGATAGATTCCGCTAGACTCCACGAGGAAAGCATCGAAATCGCCTTATGTAGAGGAGCAATAATGGTTTATTAGAAATTTGAGATGGATCGATAGACAAGCCACAATATGAAAACAAAGAAGGAAAAGTCTCAAGGCGTTGTTGCCGCCAAATCGAATATGCCCAGTCGCGGCTTGCGATGGCCAAGTAGCGGGTGCCGAAAGACTCCTTCAGCTTCCTCCGTCATCTCGTCTGGATCGGAAGATTGTGTTTGGATTATATGATGAAGGACCTTGCATGGAAGGGTTCAGGTTCTGCCCACTTCCCCCATCGTTGGGGTTTTCGTAGCTATATGCTTGCGATGGGCGCTGAGCAGGGCGGTTGGGGAGAGGTGAATCGTCATAGCCAGGACTAGAATACCGTTCGTCCTCCACGCTGCGGATGATGCGATTGCTCCCTCGGGGCGAGTCGAACTGCTGACCCCGCGGCCCTCCCTGGGCGTATTGATGATCCGTTTGGTACTGCTGACTTGCTTCTGGAGATCTTTCATAGGCCTCCCGACTGGTCATCGATCCACCACGGGCTTGGCCTTGATAGGACTGCATCGGAACCCGGTGAGGCGAATAGTGTTCATAGCCTCGCGAACTCTGCATGTTTGCATTTGGGGTTGTTGGGGTATAGTTTTGATCAAACGGATCCCCCTGTGGTCCGAAGTTGGATTGTGACACGTTGGCTGAACCTCTTTGTGTATGGGGGTACTCCGGATGCAAGATGTGTTGGCTCCTGGGTACTCTGTAGCTCTCATGTTGCGGGAAGGCGTTTCGCTTGGCCTGATAGGGGGTGTCGGTCCTCGCGCGTAGCTTGTAATCTATCGCTCTGCTATCACCTTGCGTACCCTGGATGTCTCCTAGGTATTCGTCGAAAGCAAGATATGCTTTCTGTACCGTCTCAAAGTATTTTTGCTGCAGTTCGACAACTACACTCTTGTCCATTTCACTTTCAATGTTCATCGTGCCACCCTGAGAATCAAACTCCGCCAGTGCCAGTGCTGTCTGACATGCATTACGAATCTGGCGGCCGTTCCATCGGTTGTACTTATAGGCCTTAAAGTGGTCCCTTGCGAATTTCTCAACCGCAGATGCATCAAATGTGATACTTCGGCCTTGTCTGACGAACCGCTTCTTGATGAGATCAAGATTGAGTTGAAAGACCTTCAAGGTCTTGTCCTCATCAAGTGGTGGATAATACAAGCTCATGTGGATTCGAGATGAAAAAGCTTCATCAAAGTCACCAATCCTGTTTGTCGTGAGAAACAAGATCCCCGAATAATATTCCAAAACTCTGAGGAACACTGCAGATACAAGTCGTCAGCCGTGAAGTAAGAAGAGACACGTCTAAGCATCGACTATCAGACTTACCAGCCACCAGACCGTTGCGCTTGAAATCCATCTTTTCTCGTGCTGACAAGAAGACATCTGCTTCATCAAGAAGTAAAATGCAGCCCCATCTGCTTGCCAGAGAAAAGTTCTTCTCCAATTCTGTTTCAACCTCCCTGGCAGTTGTCCCCAGGTCACCTGATTTGATGTTAGCATTCTTGACGCAAAGCACTTCATGGTTGTGCATATTTGTAGCCTTACCACAGGTGATCTGAAACAAGGGTTTCTTGAAAAGCTCAGCAATTCCCTCTGCGGTCCAAGAGTTAGCATTCAATTGTGCTCGACTAATCAAAAAGTCTACTCACCTGCGGTTGTGGTTTTTCCTACCCCTGGTGCTCCATGAAGTAATAGAATGAGACCCTTGCCTGAAAAGCTTGTTAGATGATGACACGTGATGGCATGACTGAAAACATTCCCCAAGCTTCATATCTCTGCGTACCTTTTCCTTGAATCAAGTCCGTCTGTTCATTTTTCATGAACGTAGACTGCTTCGAGCGAAAGTGTTGGACAACCAGGGATTTCAACACCTCTCTGTGATTGTCTGGGAGTTCCAGACCTTCGAAAGCGTCGACAGTGAGGTTTCTGGCGTTTGCATTCTCATACCGCAGGAGGTTGAGGTCAAGTTGAGCTGTGAGTTCTTGGGTCAGCATAATTGCAATCTTCAACTTGGACCAATTTCCTCCACGTGTTAGAACAGCTAGAATTTTGTCCTTGCTTTACCTACCCCACTTTCGACTGCGTAGAATGAACCCGAATACACGATAAGTCATGATCGTATATTCTGTCTCAGTCAGCTTGTCCAGGGAGCTTAAAACCTCTTGTAGAGATCTCGACTGAAGAATGAGAGATGTCACACCCATTAGTGTGTGCGGGAGCAAGCTCTTGATATGATCCTCAGTCCGACTTGATTCGGCCTGGCTTCCGCCACGTACATCTCGCGGGAAGCAACAATGTGCCGTGCATTGTCTTCCCAGATGATCAGCAGCAGTCCTGAGGTTCCCCATCCTGGGTTCCCAAGCCTTGCGCCTTTCTTCGTCGGCCAGGGCTTCATTGAAATCTATGACGACTTGGCTATCAATCTCGTCTCTCTTGTCAATTGTGACGCCCATGTAGTACATAGCTTTGAATTTGGAGACTTCAAGCAGCATCTGGCCTCTCTTTATAAGTGCTTGTCTTGCTTGTGCATCTTTCGTATGTCGTAAAGGATATAAAGGCAAAGATCGTATTGATTTGGTTTCACCAAAAGGCGGGATCTTGAACCTTTTCGAGACAGGGCCGAAATATTTGCCATCGAAGTCTATGTATGCGCAATGAACCCTGAAAGGACCATCAGTGCCGTCATCGCCGTCATCGCCGTCATCGTCGTCGTCACTATCGCTGGAGCTGGAGCTGCTATCACTTGAGTCATCGGCTTTGTTCCAACGATTCCACGGTTCTTCTACTCTGTGCTTTGGGACTTGAACTCGCAGTACAACAAAAGCCTGCTTTCCATCTTGTTGGATGACCTCATCGCCGGGCTTGAAAAGATGCCACAAATCGTGAAAGTGAATGCGAGTGCACTCAGGGCTGTTGATATACTCTTGCTTTGGCTTGATTTCTTTGTCGATAAACTCCATGAGACAACGCAGGTGAAGTAATGCCGAAACGGAATGAGAGAGCCTATAAGTTAGGCTTTCTTTTGTCTCATCCTTGTCGCTGGAAACGGGATCATCATGCGGTTTGGCGGGACTAGATGAGTTTGATGCGCTCGCGAAGTGCCTCGTTTCGTCGCATTTTTCGAAGTGCTTTTCAAGCATTGCGAGCCAGTCCCTCAAATCCTGCTGGATGTAAAGAATATCCTGAAACGGGCGCAAGTATACAGTGGGTATCTGGGGGATGTTCACCATGGGTACCCTTGGAGGTCCCTTCATGTGAGCAATCTCGTGGAAGATGGCAACCAGTGACCTGGAGTGTATCCGGATTCTTTCGGGTAGTGGTTCCTGCTCGAATAAGTTGCCACTTTCAAAGGTTGGTGAGATCCTTTCGACTTGAGCCCGATCTTTTATGGCACTCTCAATGCTTCTCATGGCGGTTGGAAACTGTAGAATCAATCTAGAGTCTGGTTCTCCAGAGATCACATGAACTGGAGTTAAGCAGTTTTCCTCGATGGGAATTGGTGAGTCGTATGCGCCTCGGAGGAGATAATCATCCCATTCCATTTGTATCAGCTTGAGACGCTTGCCCTCTTTGAATGCATCGAGGCAGATCTTCTCTATGCGGTCATCCACCGTCGTGTCGTCGGGCTTTTGGAGGGCTTCCATTCGTTCTTTGTTAATTCTTTCCCTCTCAACTATCGCCTTGTGTGTATGACGAAGTTTCCGCATGAAAAACAGCACGTCCGTATAGAACTCTAGTTCTTCACGGCGACGAACAATAGGATCAAAAGCAGGATTGCTCCATGCCGAAATTGTAGGATCTTCAGTACTGAACTCCATAGCCTCGGCCGTCGATTTATGAAGGTTGTATAATTTATCCACAGATCCCATCTTCGATTCCATTTCGCGGAGCCTTTTATGAAGCTCGTGTATTTGCGTGCCTGCAGTGGTTGAATCGTTTTCCCCTTCATCTGGCGCTGTCAGAGGCGCTTCCTGCGTCGTCTGAGTATCAGATCCTCCGCCATGATCACCGTCTGATGCCAACGGATCGCTGGGCATGGCTGTGCTCGTTTCAACGGGCATAAGACAGGGATAAATAATCGATGATCGCTTTGGTGTCTTGATTTGCTTGGGAAACCATGAATTGCCTAGATATCAAGACTGCCTATGCTGTGATTCTGGCGGTTGTCTTGGTTGCTAAAAGAATTGAAGAGAATAAGAGACTGTCACGAGAAGTGACGTGGTGGCTCGAGCAGTTCATCAACTCACTGAAGGGGAGAATCGGAATAGTTTGTCCAAAGACCAAAACTATGCAAGAACTTGGAAGTCTGTTGCTGCTACGAGGGGAGAAGGTGCTGACTACATTTGTGATTTTTCACCTATTTGAAGTCCATCTAGGGCTACTCCGCACAGGCAGGTTACATTTCATGACGGCACGGGTGATTGTCCTATGATACACTGATAGTGATTGGCGCTTATGCAACTGTCATCCTTGGGTTGCAATCAAATGACAAGGCAGGTTCAGCTTGCAAGCATTTCATCCTGACCTCGCCAGGTCGCTCTGCATATGTATGTAAGCGCTGACCCCGCCGCAGCCTGATGAGCCTGGTGCAACCTTCACAAAAAGAAATTTGATTCGGAAAAGTGAGTAAAGTAACAGGAGAAGCAGAAGGAGTTCAATTTCTTGTCGTGGATGAGAGACCCATCTTGACATCAATCCAATGCCATTGGAAAGCATCATACGCAGCGGTACCCAAGTAATAATTGGCTTAACGATGAGCGACAGAGTCGATGAGGAGGCTTCGCCACCCCCTGGACCTTCCATCACGCTGCACTCACCTGCTATAGACTTCATTGAGAACGAACTGCCAGACTACCATCCGGCTTTTGATGCTCGCCATGTTCGCTTCGATCTGTCGCGAGATCAATTTGTGCCTCGTACACCATATCTTAATGGTACACTGGTCCGTGAAAGTATTCCGTCATCCATGCTTTCAGTCCCAAGCATGCCTCCGCCATCCCAACAATTGACTCGACCTGCACCGGGCCAAATCAATGAAATGGGCTTCTGGGTCGAGTTATTTCCAAAGGTAGTGCAGATGCTTCAGGAAGACCCTATTCCCAGCAATTTGGACGACTCAAAATGGGGGATCCGTGGTCTATCAACGTGGGCCGATGTTCAAGCCAGGCTGGATATGGCTCGACGGGAGTACAATTTCCAGCATGGATCCCAATCTGCTGGGAGTTTTCGAAGGGCGGTGCGAAATGGGCTGGACAAACATGCAGTCGCGGTTAAGCAGGCAGCCAGATTCGTGCCTGATGTCGATTTGGCCAAGCCAATTGTCGGCGCTATACATGTGGTTATTGATGTGAGTACGAGTCGCCAGGGAAACCCATCGGTAAAGACAGACCGAGTGATCATCAAGTCTAATGAATAACCAAGGCCTACCGACAAGCATCAGAAGTCAAGAAAGAAGTAACAAAAAGCTTCGATGACCTACCGCAAGTCTTTGAGAATATAGAGTTTTACCTTCGCACATATCAGAACGACGAGAGCATAAAAAGAGCATCATGCCATCTCTTGCGCTCCATTTTCAGGTCCATCGAGTATGCTATCGCATTCTTTACCAGTCATCAAGGTGGGTGATGAATTTTTGTGTTGTCCATCCCAATGTTATGATAGGAATCGTGGTCGTATTCAAGCAGCTTCCTTATATGAACATCGCAGCTGACCTAGATCGCGATTCGTAATAGCAAAAAGAGCTGGTGGCGCGATCTTGTCTGGATCAGATTATCAGAGAAACCTGCGTGATTGCTTGAATGAAATCACAGCCCACTGTAACTCACTACAAAACCAAGCTGGAATGTCACTGGCTCATCGAGTCACCAGTGGTAAGTTCAAATTTGTACCACATCCTCTGCATTCCTGCATTTCTTTGTTTCTTCTCCCATAATCTTTTATATACATTTTTCAAATTCTTCTCTCATATTTCTTCTCTCATATTTCTTCTCTCATATTTCTTTTACTGTTTCTTTTTTGTTTCTTTCTTATTTCTTTTCATTTTTTCTTCTTTTTTTATTTTTAGTTATTTTGCATCTGCTCACGCTCTCGTTAGATAATCAGCAGATGATGCGTCAGAACGATGCCATCATCCATGGTAATGAAGTCGTGCAAAACGTTCTCGGTCACATTTACCAACAACAAGGACAAATCAACAACTTTGGAGTACAATTTTGCGCATACGTTTTGAATCAGGTGCTGCCAATACTACAGGATTGCCAGAGTAAGACCTCATATGTACGATGTCAACCTTGGATACACTGTGAACTGACTAATCTAAAGCTGCTCGACGCGCCCCTAGCCCCATCACCAGAAGCCCGTCTCCTATGCCACAGTCCATCGAGTTTCAACCCCAGTGGCTTCCACAGGATATCTGGTATCGCCTTCATATGCCATCCATAGATGACGATGACTTGAGACATGTTCTGACCCAGACCGAGCTCATAATACACGAAGACCGGGGCAGGATACAGCAACTTCTCGAGAACCAGATATTTCGTGAGTGGATGGCACGCAGCAACTCTACAAGACTGCTTGTGCACGGCGACTTTCGCACACCACAAGATATCTCACCTTTGTCGGTGATCTGCACGATATTGTCTTATGCATTTAGGAATGCCGGCAGTAACATGATAGGATTGGTATTCTTCTGTGGGCAACATCAGGCATGGGACGAATTTCAAGGAGCATCGGCCATGATGCGCTCCCTCATTGCCCAGCTCATGACACAATTCAGTTTTGACCCCATGCCGCCAACCCAACAGTTTTCCCTCCAAGACCTTGATGGAGATGACATTCACGTATTATGCGACTTATTCACCATACTGGTGCAGCAGCTTCCACCGAATCGGCGCATCTTCTGTCTGATTGATGGCATCAACCTCTACGAGAAGGAAAGATATCTTGAGGAGATGAGTATTGCTATAATGAACCTGGTCAATATGGTGGATCAATCATCTCAAAGGCTTATGCCTACTTTCAAGCTGCTCCTCACCAGTCCGCAGCCGACTTCGGAAGTTCGAAGGGCCTTTGATTCCGAATTTGGACCTCTCCTAGACACGAGAAGCTGGCCCATGGCTGGCGGAAATATCAGCATGGCACGCATGCAAGATCAATTAGGATTGAATATGGATTGGAGATCTTAGATAAGCATTGACCATTTAGTATAAGATAGATACCTGTTTTCGTCACTACGAGCGTTCCTGGCCTTATCTCATTAGTGTTAGTGAGACACTACATTAGGTTTTGTGGCTTGCGCAAAAGATCGCGCCTGAGCTGAGTGAATCTTCCCCTTTTATGGCTTGGAATACGTCATTTGCGGTAACTTAATCTTCATGGTTGCATTTCGAGCGCGAAACAAAAACAAACCACAACATTGTTGCTCCTCGACAATCAACCCACTACGACTTGACTTTCACACCACCACGACGTTGCTCTGCGACTATATGCAACCAACACCAACCAGCTTACAAAGTTCCTAAACCGCTTCCAGTCTATACAAAAAAAAAAGCAATGCCAGTAGACGAAAACAAGAACCTCTACCACGAGGCCCCCAAACCCACCGACCCGGCCCACGCCTCGTCGGCCAACACCAACCACACGACCAAATCCGGCACCAAGCCCACGTCGGCCGTCGAAGCCATCACGGACCCCGACTTTTTCCCCACGCTAGAAAAAGCGCCCTTGGCACAGAAAGTAAAGTCGACCCTCTTTCTCGCCGTCCTCGTCTATGGCGCCGTGGCCGCGCTGTGGTTATTTGGCTTTACGCTCTTCCAACAAGAACAACCCCCCAACCCACAAGAAGCTGCTGGCGGCGCCGGCCCCATGATTGTAGAGATTCCCCTAGCTCTACCCGACGATGCTGTAAACGAGACTGCATTGACCGACTCGCTGGCCGCTGCTGCTCGCGAAGTGGGTCTCATGACCGCAGGCTTTGGCACGGTGATTTTGGCCATGTTGTATTCTACTGGCACCACGAATGTGGATTTTTGGAGCTTGGTCATGGAGTATGGGTGGTGGACCCTGCCAGTGATGGGTGCAGCTGGTTTGCTGTTTGTCATAATGCAAGAAGACTCTGAAGATATCAAATATGTGAGTTGAACAGGGGTGGCACTAAGAGTGAAGAATTGGCAGGCTAGGGATGTATAACTACATGTATGACGATAACAAGCGCCAACTACCGTGTATGTTGCCTTGATGGCTAGTCGCGTTTATACTTGCAACACTCAAAAAAGTCATCTGATCACGTGAAATAAATATGAATGCACTTGTGGATTTGTTTAGATTTACCAGTCTAGCACTGAATTATATAGCCAAGTGGGTTATCCTATTTTTGAATCATACATCTCTAGAGATAATGCTTGTGATCATACCACGTAGAAATACAGGGAAGTGGTACTTCGGGTATCATTGAGGGGGGTACAAATTGCACCAAGGAAACATTATACGCCGTCTACTGCTTCTGCGAGATGATGCCTGCTTCGTTGTCGGCAATGGGAGCAGGGCGGAGGGTCGACTCGTTAAGGTCGTTCTCCACAAAGTGGGGGCGAGCTCCTGTGCTGTCGTTGACGACGTTGGTGGACAGGACATACTCCTCCTTGTCAATGTGACGGAAGTAGAAGTACTATTGTTGGCTTTGTTAGAGATATGCTGCCAATTGTGAAAGGAAAATAGACTTACGAAGAACACGGTGACAAATGCACCGAGAACGGTGGGAGCAGCGAAATCCCAGATCAGGTGAGGATCGGTAATGGCGTTTGAGGCGGCCAGGTTGACAATGTACGCGATACCAGTGTTGAAGAGGTTGATGGCGGAAACCAAACCTCTCATGTTGACTGGGGCACGAGAATAGGCGATACCGTAAGCAGGAACGTTGATGAACAATTCCGAGAAACCACCCAGAGAAAACGGTATGGCCTGCCACCAGAGGGAGATGGGGGAGACGAGACCTTCGTCAACGCAGGCTGGGTCCGAAGAACCGTAGTAACCGCAAGGGCTGGTCTGGTACGCTTTCCACTGAATGAGGGTGTATCCGAGACCACCCAATGTGGAAATGGCGAAACCAGTGGTAATACGAGCGACCGGGCCGTAGTGAATATTAGCTTTGCGCAGAGCCGGGTACAGTCCAAAGTTGAGGATCGGGTTGAGCAGAATGATACTCAAAGAGTTGAAGTTGCTAATGACGTCGTTGGGCACACCGTTACCAGTCAGCATGGTGCCTTGGTAGTTGGCCGCGTTACCGATACCATTGTCGTTCCAGAATTGAACAGGGAAGAACATGAACATTCCCGTGGCCTGGAGAGTGCGCTTGACATCCTCGACAAATTGGTCGTTCCAGCGAGTCTCAACTTCGAAGCCGTGCTCGAGTTGGTAGGTGGGCTTGGCACGGTCATACCAGCCTGGCTTGCCGATGCGCCAGATGCCACCGTTCTTCATGCAGGTCTTGACAACACGGAAGACATTGGGGAGATCAGAGCCTCCAGGCGGGTGCATGACCAGCTTGGGCTTGAGCCAGATCAGCAGGAAGGGAAGAGGCAGGTACAGGATAAGTGGAAGCAAGAAAGCTAGCCACCAACCAACGAGACGTGCGCAGTAAGATGTGGCTGTCGACATAAAGGCACCAATGTTGATCAAGAGGTAGAACCACAGCATGACTCTTTCAGTCGAGTGCTCGGGATCCTCAATGACACGCTCACCGCTGGGCAGTGTCTTGACAATCGGGACGTGCGAAGACATCTGATCGAGTAGTAGCGGTGTCACATTTGGCTTGAACATGGCAGCTCCAATGGCCAAAATGTATACACCAATGAAGAAGGGGATCTTGGCATTGCCGTTGGCCAGAAGATCTCTGGCGCCACCAACAACGATGAGAACGTGACCAATACCGCAAAGCAAGATACCCCAGAAGATCATGTTGTAGCGACCAAAACGGGTGTCGGCAAGATATCCGATATACAGAGGCAAGACATAGGCGATCATGTTGAAAGACTGAGACGTAGCGTTGGCGACCTTCTCGCCGAGACCGAGACCACCCTGAGTGGCCTGACTTCCGGCCGGCGGGGAACCAAGACCGTTTCCACCCTCGGGCAGAGCACGGTTGATGTAGTTGGTCCAGATGATGACACAACCTATAGAGTTCGAGGTCAGCATTTATACTGTTCCGGTCGTGCCATAGTGGGTTTCCGGATAAATACTCACCATAGTACGAAGCACGCTCGCAGAATTCAACGGCGCAAAGACAGTAGGCGAGCCAAGGAACGTTTCCGGGGACACGGCGCAAAGTGGCCAGCTCCTCGTCGGTGGGCTTGCCCGGGTAGTCCGTGTGCAGGACATTGGTATCCTGGAGTGCAGCATGCTTGTCGCCCTCTGGAGTCAGTCTGCCGCCCTTTTCATTAGAAGACCCGGTGGCCGTGGTCGGCCGTTCAACGACGTCGGTGGACGCTTTAGGACAATATCATGTTAGCAATTGCGGCGCCATGGTGTATATAGTAGTGAATTGCATGTTTGGCTATTATGAGGGGCATGTATTTGCTGAAATTGTATTGGGCAGTGGAACGCAAGCCAGGAGGACATACTCATCGTGTAGAACCTATCACTTGGCTACTCGTCTCGGGTAGTCGTCGTGTATCTAGGTAGCGAGCGACGCAAAAGATCCTCGTCGGCACAGAGACAGACGGGAGAAGGACTGTAGGGAAGAAAGGGAAGAGAAGACTAGGAGCGAGGGCAGACGGGCGAGGGGCTCTTCATGCTTCTAATAAGAAAAAAAAGAAAGAATGCCAGTAACGGCGCAAGATACAGTAGGATGCGGGCGAGGCGCGAAAAGTGTCGATCGAATAGGGTCTGGAGCTCGAGGGGTGTCGCGGCTTGCTCGCAGGGTGCCGGGTTAATTCGATGCAGCGACCTTTTGGGTCCATCCAGACATACGGGCTACCTACCTACTACTTGCTGCTACCACTACATAGTACATACCTACAATACCTCACACACACGGAAGATGCAGTACGGTAGGTACAAACTGTATTGGGGGATCTGAAGGGGGAGGGTCTAGTTACTGCCCGAAGTAGATACGGGCACCGCACAAGGCACCGCATTTGCCCGATTGTAGCCACCAGCCAAGACCGGTCGAGATGGCTGCAACGAGGTACTACCTCTTCCCAATACGCAGCCAGTTGGTCGGTAGGATTTGATATTGATTAGAAAGAGAGAGGGAGAAAAAAGAGACTAAAAAAGACCTCGTCGGACTCCACCGTTCAAGAGGTCTCGGTTGACGGCTTCAAGGCCCAAATAGGAAGGTGTCTCCTCGTTGCAGTTGATAGGAAGCCCGTGGGGAGCTCGGGGAGGTCTAGGGGTGGCCCAGCTATTCCTAGCAACCAAGTCGGCAACCACACAAACACGCATCCGGACAGCAAAGCTAAGCAAGCTCCCCATGCTTGGGATGGCTCCCAGGACGCAGCTAGGCAAGGGCAGACTGATCAACATCCGGGGGGCCAGATATTTCCACGGCACAATCTAGGCAGAATCAGGAAGTCTGGCACGGTATCCTGTGGGTCTCATTTATCGTCCCACTGGTGCCAAGTCCTCGGCGGACGCAGTGACAAAGGCAAAAAGGTCTTGGACTGCGCAGGGTCGCCTTCTTGTCTTTGCCCAAATGTCGTGATATAGCGGTTGGAACAAGCATCACAAGACTGCACACAAGCAGGCAGCTGGGCGGATTCAAGCTTCGCCAAGTGAGCGAGTGAGCGGGAGAAGCATCTTGGGAACTTTCCTTTAGCCTTACTACCTACCTTAGCGTAAGCCTGCCAAGCCATTCTATACTCCGTCCATGCAAAATACAAGGATTCAATTCCTCCGGTCATTGGCAGCTAGGTAGGGTAGGTAGGTAGGTATCAGGTAGGCAGACTGGTAGGTGAAGGAGCAAACAAGGACGACCGACCGACTGACTGCTCAAAAAGACATACACTATCATCCAACATCCACCTTGCATTTGTAGACGAAATTTGTAGCTTACTACGTACCAAAACAAAAAAGCTGGGAACCCGCTCCGTTGCCTTGAGCCTTTTTGTTTTCAGCTGGGGGGGAACTCGAGATTGGATCTCATTTAATTAGCCGTGCACGACTGGAGGTCTCCGAACTGGAGTCGGTGGTCGCTGGTAGCGGCAGATGCTAAAAAAACCCAACGGTCGTTCGTTTCGGTGCCCCTAGGCCCCGCAGATAAGAACCGTTCGCGGGATCATAAGGTAATAAGCACTGTAAACCGAAAAAGAATTTCTCTCATCATCCTTTTTACCTGGCGGCAACGAACCAACCACCAGTTCTCAGGGTCTTCTTGTCAAACCCCTGTCCGCACCAATCTGACGACGAGCTGACGACTTATCATTCAATTGCTCAATAATCAATGCTAATTGGCTCGTTTGAGACACACCTCGGTTTCGAACACTTTCGGCTGTATTATTCTACAGCCAGTACAGCAGCCTACACACACACTATTGCTCAAGGTCAAAGTTCGCCTCTCTTCGCCTCACCCGATCGATCAATGTTGCCCCTCCCCCCGTCCTATACCATCCCATTCTCATGTCGTAGCACAAGAAGTAATAATCGACCGGGGTCGTATGGTTCAAAAGGTCCATACGGGCTCTATCCTGCCAAATACAACGCCACTGCCTACTTCCATACAAGCATACTCTTTTCCCCCAATGCCCAATGGTTTTCCAGTTTCACCCTAGTCAGACTCCATAACTCTCCATCGCACCAATATCGTGCCATGTATTTCCGTGCCCACCCCATATTGCGTGCTACCCCCCGGGCTGCAAGTCCAGTTGCCTTTCGCCCCAAGTATTCCCAGTGCCAAGGAACGGGATCGTAGCTAATGCGCTTGTCTCGTCCGAAATGGACCTGGAGCGTCGCGAGATGGAGGTGTCATGTGTGTTATGGTCTACTGTATATGTGTGACATGGTGACATGTGTGTGTGTGCCTTTTGCCGCCGCCCTGCATGGAAGCTCTCGAGAACATTCGCGGAAGCTGGCCCCGTTTCGTTTGTTCTTGGTTGATTGACCTCTTTCTTTTGTCTTGACACTGACAGCCCGCCGCAGCTTTCCTGCATTTTGTTTGTTCGCCAAGATCAGCCCCTCTGCGGGATACGCCTTGTTTGGCCTTGTCGGCATCGGCGTATACGCCCAGATCGGTTCATCAAGGCAGATCATGGCCTGACTGGCAAAATTTCATCAACACACCCAGGAACCTGCCTGCCCTACAAAGATTAGATGTTCCAGTCGATGATGAGACAAAAACTACAGCTTGGGCTTGGCGTCCCGATGGTCCTACTGTTTTCGAGGCTCTGGCGCAGTCTTTTTTTGCAGGCGGACCTCGGTAAGGGATCTCCCGCCAAATTGGGTATCGAGACTATTTTATTTGCTAAAATCCTTCTGTGAGATAGAGGCACAGTTAAGATTCGGGAAGGACGGTGCAATAGAAATCCCACAGCGCTGAGCTGACACGGTAGGTCGATGGGAGGACAAGAGTTTGTCATGTCAGCCTGCCACCCGGACTTTCTGCGAATGAAGTTTTGCGATTTTGTGCTTACTGAACATCGTGAACTTGCGCTAGTCGTAGATATGCAGGTGACTAAACAAGGGCCAGGGCGACGAAAAGCAGTCCGCCCCTGCATCCTTTGCTGCTTGGGGCTCGGAAGAGTAACCGAAAGGACTCACAGTACGTATACTAGTACGTGTACGACTAGTAGTAGGTGATCATGGCCAGGATGCGGGAATTCTGCATGCTGTTAATCGCGGCACGCGGGTACGAAATTCTGAGCACAGTTGAGACGTGCCATGTGTGCCTTTGTGTGCCTATGTGGGACCACACTCAATAGTCTGGAACCAAAGTATCATGGAAAAGAGTTTTCTCTTCTTCCCGCTTGGCGAGAGAGCAAGGAACATGAGTGCTTGAGTCCAATGATTGCTCTCGTGTTCGCCCTATCAGCAGCCAATCGTTGGTTCAGGACAACGTTACAGCTCACAATCAACCCCTCTGCTTACATATGAATGAGTACGTATAATCAATTTCCTCGACTCTGACTATCAACTCGTATCAAGTCGCTTGTTCTTGTCCAAGTGCTGCTACCAGATACCTGGAATGACGGCATATTTCCCCTTGATCTTTTCCTCCCCAAACTTTTCTTGATACCACTTCTTCCCAGACACCGCGCGAGGGAGCATGGCAAAGAACTCGGCCAGCAAGAATGCCCGTGCCGGAGCACAAGACCAGCCTCCCGCAATCCAGAAACCTAGCCACTCGATCCATTCCATAAAGTAGTGTGGATAGAGCATATACTTGAACAGCCCATTGTTCGGGACAGAGTAATGCTTCTCGACGCCCTTCTTTCCCTGGTCCGCTAGCTTGGCCTGACGTCTTTGCTCTTTGCGTCGAATTTCGCGGAGTTCCTCGTCGCAAAGGTAGTTACTCGACAGGCCAATACCAAAAGTAACCAAGCCAATGCCGAATCGCAACATGGAGAAGCCCTGCGCATGCCATTCTGCTTGTGTCGTGGGACCGTATGCAGCGAGCCACGAACCAATACAGGTTGCGTTTGTGATCTGAAAAGTGATGGCGGATGCCCATACCACAACATGAATTGGCGACATGGACGGCTGAATAAATGGGAACAAGACGGCTCGATACACATAGTGAAGGATATACATGCTAGCGAGGATCTTGTTCTGCCATGGTAGGTTGGCAATGCCATCTTTGCCCGCAAGTTGATTCATGGTATACACAATGGTCAAAATCGATGGAATTTCCATGGTGAACCAGGCTACACGTCCGGGTATATTGAACACTGACTTTGTAGAAGTCTTGCCCATGCTATACCATGAGGTAAGCCATTGCAAAGAGCCCATCTGGTACAAGGAAGTCAGCTGACGCATCTGGCACTTTAAAGGACCAATCGAGATGACGTGTCATACCAGCGGATAAAAATTCCAGCACAACATGATGAACTCAAAGTTGTTGCGAGTAGGTGGAAGCCATCCGTTGACTAGTGCCATGATTATAGCTGATGATTTGATCAAGAGTCTGGAGCTGATGTCCTGTAGATTTGTGCTGGGTGAAAGAGAGGGATTTGACAAAAACACAATTGAACGACAATTCGCCCCTATCCAATCCCCAAAGCAATAGTCTCGGCGTTGTAGCAAAAATTGCGCCCTGCTCTATGATGTTGAAGTGAGGATCGTGTGAAAGAAAGGTCACTTGGAAGCAATGACGTCGCGACGACTTGGTAAAGTCAATGCAATCATTGACCCAAGGGATTGTTTAGGCAAAATTATTAATTGCACGGTCACAACGGGACGGGGACAGCCGCCCCACCCATTTAGCACCAGCAGAAAGAAGCACTCAAGCACTGGGACCCGACGTGAGGGGCAGCAAGAAAGACCCGCTTTTCTTTAGGTCCGAGCTGCGAGAGTCTGGGGAAAGCTTCTGTAGCAAGCGCTAGGAATACCTTAGGTACTTCGATTACCTACCGATAGGTATGGAGCATACACACATTTGCATCCAAACTATACTCCACTGACTCTACCAAATACTGAAGAGTACAGATATAAAACTATCGCGGGGTTCAATCGTGGCGTCCTCGGCGTTAGACAAAGAGACAAAGATAGTGGTACCACAAGACCATAGTAAGCGATAATGTTCGCCTCTCTGGGCCAAGATGCACCGCCACTCTAGCTTCGCCATGATGAGTGTGCGTATGTGGCTCGTGCAGGGAGGCATCCAGGCATCACCTGCAATTGTGCATCACTTGAATAATGGCGAGGGATAGTAGAAATTACCTGGTTGCATCAGAACTCATGTACTGTGCGATACAGCTATCAGTTGCTGGGAACTCAACATAACAGAGACTATTCACTTCAATGAATTGAAATTCCCAAACACTTTTACCAGAACAACAGAAGTCGAGACCTCAAGGTGGCGCTCAGGGTCCTTTGCTGCGTTATTCTGCTGCCTGACCGTTGAAAGCTGCACCGCCACATTTCGGCCAGTCGCGTTCCTGGCGGTTTCCGGTAACGCACTCCACTACACTGAAGGGCCTCCCAAGCCTCCCACCAAACTTTAGGTAGGCAGTCCGTTGGCTGCTGATGATTTAACAGCCACTTTCATTTCCTCTTTCCATCACCCAATTTATTCATTATCAACTACGAAACTATATCGGGGACTTTAATTTTTACTTACTCAATACTCAGACTACTACGTACGTTCAAAGTAGTCGTCCGCTCTCTTTCCAGCAAAGCAAACGCTCGGGACCGCAACAGCTAATGACGTAGGTAGCTTGAAGCACTATCTGGGCCCTTCTCCACACACTGCCAATTCCGCTCGTTCGTGGCTCCTTCAACACCAGAGAGTATCACGACATTCTTCAGTACTGCCGATTTCTTATACACCCCACGACTGTCGACCTGCAAAAGACAAGTGCCTGTTTGGCTGTTGCCCACCACTGGAAGTTTGCGCCCGGTTCTGGTCTGCTAGTCGATCGCATTCCACGGTCGACAGAAGGCCCCACCATGGTATCACCAAAGCCGAGTTCCAGCGACGCAAACAACGATGTACCTCCGTCAATCAGAATCCATGGCCCTAACCAAGATGTCTGGTCACCTTCAGACCCTGAGATGGATGGAGGAAACGTCTGGGAGGATTTGGGCGCGGGACATCCCCACCAGGGTAATGGAAGCAATCCGGCAACACAAGATGTGCCAGAGGCGCTGCGACCGGGCGTAATACCAAAGAGTTCGTTCGATACAACAGAGGAGAATCCCTGGGAGGAGCCGCGTAAAGACACCTCGAAGCCAAAGATAACGCTTGAACACACACCCACAGTCCTGCGGCCGGGCGGCAAGCTAGAAACGAACCCTTTCAAGCGCAAGCCGGTTAGCACTGCTGTGTCTAGCAGCAATGCCAATGTCACACCAGCACGGCCGAACGCAGATCCTGTGGTTCCAACCGAGACTTTCTCCAAACTTCAAGTCACTGACTCCGACTCGAACATCAACCCTTGGAAACCCTCCGCTGATGAGCCCCAATCCACCTCGAAACCTCCAATTCCTTCGATAAGCCGACAAGACTCTGAAAAGAACATTTGGGGCGCACCTCCAATCGGGCAGGTTTCTGAGGATCTGAGAGAGAACTCGCCTACGCCAATGTCTCTGCCGTCCGGTAGGGAATCGCCAGCTTGGGATGAGGTCAATCGTGCAAAGCCTTCTCTTGGTTCGGTACCGACGAGATCTACAGAAGAGCAGGAGATATCGCAAGACGCACATGCTTGGGATGACCTTGGTGATCTTATTGGCCCCAACGCCTCGGTCAAGCCCAGCCTCTCGAGACAAAGTACATGGGAGAATTTCGTGGATGGCGAGGAAGAGCAGAAGGAATCAACACCGATATCGCCTCCTCCTATTGTAGCAGCGGATGAGCCGGTTGCAGAAGCCCAACCAGTGACAGAAACTGAACCGGCGGTGGTGACTGGGCCCTCGGAGCCGGCGCCGCCGCCTTTACCCCCAAGACGAGCAGAGTCGCCTACCCAACCAGCAACGACAACTACATCCAACGCCACCGACAGGACGGAGACATACCAAATCAAAAATATAAACTGGTTCGACGCAAACGCGTCCCAAAACCCGCGAAGATCACCTATCCTCATACAAAATGTTAACGGTCCCTGTCCATTGGTCGCTCTCGTCAATGCCTTGACACTAACGACGCCCGCTGACCTGCCCAACACGGTTCTCGTTGAGACTCTACGCACCAGAGAGCAAATTAGCTTGAATCTTCTTCTTGAGGCTGTGTTTGATGAGCTGATGTCCCCAAGAAGAACAAAGTCAGATGCGGCATTGCCTGATGTCAGTGAGCTATACGCTTTTTTGAAGGGCCTGCATACAGGGATGAATGTCAACCCGCGATATGTCCCAACTCCCGAGCTCGTCAATCTTCACAAGAGAAATTCAACTCATGTACACCCTTCAGAACGTGACGACACCGTTCCTGGGACTTTCGAAGACACGCGCGACATGAAACTCTATTCTACCTTCTCGATACCTTTGATCCATGGGTGGCTACCGCGCAATGACGACCCTGCCTATGCGGCATTCTCTAGGCAGGCAACATCATATGATGAGGCACAAAATTTGATGTTCAGAGAAGAGGAACTTGAAGACAAACTAAGCAATTCCTCCGCTGGCCTCACAGAGCAGGAGCAGCAAATATATCAAGATATAATCACCATACGATCATGGCTCAGCTCGTCTGCCACACAACTCACAAGATGGGGCCTGACGGTAATCACCAAATCCATCCAGCCAGGGACCTTTGCCATCCTGTTCCGGAATGATCACTTCTCCGCTCTGTACAGACATCCGCAAACCCATCAGCTATTCAGTCTCGTTACGGACGCTGGTTTCTACACTCACGATGAAATTGTATGGGAATCATTAGTTGACGTCAATGGCGAGCGGACAGAGTTTTTCTCGGGCGACTTTCGACTGGTCGGTGGTCCAGAACAAGGACTTTCGCAGAATGTACAGGAGCATTGGTATGATGCCGATGATTCTGGTGCTCAGGGAGGTGAATGGCAAACTGTACGGAACAGGAATGGTCGTAACGCTCAAGGGCGGTCAGATCCGCCTGGCTCACCAATGTCGGGTGATCACGAACAAGAGGATCGTGATCTTGCGCTTGCCCTGCAACTTCAGGAAGAGGAGGATGAGCGCCATCGCAATGAGCAAGCCGCCCGCCGCCGCGAAAGCCAATTGTCGGAGCAGTTCATAGAACAGCAAGGGCGAGGCGGAACAGCGCGGACTGGTCCGCTTGGGCGTGGAGGTAATGCGAGAGGAGGTAGTGTGAGAGGGGGCTTAGCACCAGCACGGACGAGCTCAGCTTCCATCAATGTCCCAGTGCGTGGCGGCAGTAACACTGCCCGTGGTGGTCGCCCAGTGCAACAAGTTCGCCCACTGGTTCCACCAGTCAATACTACCCACCGACCTACGAATCCCGAGGACGAGGATGCACCCCCATCATACGAACAGGCTAGTAGAGCTGAGCCATACGTGCCTCCAACGGGCCACCCCAATCATCCCAGCAGCACTCCCAGCAGCGCTACTACCGCACGCCGGAGAACAACACTGTCGGGTAATGGGCCACCGCAGCCTTCGCCACCGCAAGCAGGACCGAGTAATCCAGGCGGAATGGGTAGAGGCCGTCCCATGGCAGCCCATCAGCAAAGTGCATCTGTAGGAAGGGACAAGGATTGTTTGGTCATGTAAGCCGCCAGCTTGTTTTATTTTCCCCTTTGTGGGGCATTGTTTCCTCTGCATAGTGGTGATAGCTCATCGCTTTATTTCTCAAATCTATGCAAGATAAGGTCATGAGGCGTTATGGGAGTATTGGTACAGGTTTGGTCATGAGTCACGTAGCGACCCTTGAATGGACCTTGAAGTCCGAGAGACAATCTCGATAGAATTACTGCGTGACAACAAGCTTCTCCATCATACGGTGAAGTTTTGTAATATTAAGACAGTTTTGCTTTTTGCTTTTTTAATGGATAATGCCCCCGATTTCTCGTTTGAATAATTGATTCTCTGGGAACTAGGTGATATTATCTAGCAAGTTCTTGCTTATTATCATATTAGTGTCTAGGCAATTTGGTAACAATACAGAAACACGCCATTATCAACATCTGTTCTCAACGTAGATATGTATCAGTATACAAGCTTGATAGTCTAGATATACAGCGGCTCAGTTTTCGATCAGAATTTCCACTGTTCCCTGGCCTTGCTTGCAATGTAAGCCATGCCGGGGACTCTATAATCATCCTTTTCAACAAATGAGGTAACATTGGCATCAAACACAAAGTTTGCACCGATCCCCTCATCCTCCAGAGTATACGTGGGCCATACGGGATAACCGGTGAGGCCGTGGTGGTTTGGGTCAAGATCAGTCGCAAAGGAAGCCCACATGCGGCTCATGAGAGTTGAGACGCCGACATAGGCATCGCGATCGACCAGACTCGCGTTGAACGGGTTGGTAGTGTAGCCCGCGCCATCGATATTGTTGAATACCCACGCAACCTCTTGGTAGTGCGTGGCGCCAATGACGGCAGAGACACCCGCCGGCACAATGTTGAAGCGGTAGCTGTACGCCGTCACGTTGGCGCGCGCGCACGCCGATACCAGGGTCCGGCGCGGCATGTGCTCGACCATGTCGCCGAAAAAGGCCGCCACGCGCTTCCACTGCGATCCGTACGTGGCCTCCTCTTCGGCCGTGAGCGCGTGCGCCGCGGGAATGCCGATGCCCGGTACGTTGGGGTAGAGGACTTCAACCATGGCAATGGTGTCATTGTCCGGCCCGCCCTCGGCAATGGCGGCGCGGAACTCGGCGTCCGTGTTGATCCCCGCGGGCCCAATGGCGGTGCCCTCGTCCGTGTTGGTGCCGTACAGAACAGGGACCTGGACGAATCGGCCCTCGGCAATCTGCGTGCTTTGGTAGTCTTGGAGAAAGTCACCGTCCATGACGGCAACCCAGGGCCCGAGACCGGTACCCGAGATCCAGGTGTCGGTAATGTTGAGCGCCGCGTTCAGTTTCTCAAAGGGCAGGCTTCGCAGGCACTCCAACGGGCTGGCAGTGGCAGTGGCATTGGCGGCGCACCCGGTGCTGGTGGTCAAGTTGGTGTAGAGCTCCTCGGAGTAGGCGTCGGGATCGGGCGTGGCATACGGCCAGCGCTCCAGCGGGCCGCCCGACTCCATGATGACGGCGCGGAACAGGCCATCGTCGCGGCCGCCGTAGGCCGTCAGGTGGCGGCCAATGGCAATGGCGCCGGCGCTCTCGCCAAACAGGGTCACCTTGTCCGGGTCGCCGCCAAACGCGGCAACGTTGTCCTGGAGCCAGTGAAGGGCGAGACGCTGGTCGCGCAGACCATTGTTGGCGGAGCCGTTGGCCTTGACTTCCTCGCTCCAGAGGAAGCCAAAGGCCGAGAGGCGGTAGTTTAGGGAGACGCCGATGATGGGCTTGTTTGCCTCGACGGATTTCTGGACCAGACGGGAGAGGTTGTATCTTGGATCGACGGTCCCGCCTTCGTAGAATCCTCCACTATAATTTTCCGTATTGTTAGTCCCGACTGCGATGGAGACTTGAAAAATCAGCAAGCTCACCCATAAAGCCAAACCAATACTGGAAGTGGTTCAGAAGGAACGCCAGCAGGACGAACAATGTTGATCGTCAGGCAGTCTTCCGAGGACTCGTAGAAATTGGAATCAGACTATAAACAACGTTTGAGTAACTGGTCAGAGTACAAGTAGATAGCACGACTTACACCATAACCAACACACTATAAAACATTAGCGACTATATTTCAAGACTAGGTTCAACTTCAATACGACTTACAATCGGAGAGTACTCTGTCGCATTGCGTTCATCACTCCAGGACTCATTGAGGCTGGCAGGTGCTCGAAATCTCAAATCTCCCACGGGCGGTTGGGCGTACGGAATGCCCAGGAACTCATCTTGATTGTAGTGGACGTTGGTCTTTCCTAGGTACGTGCCATTCTTGGTCGATGCACTGGGCGCGTAGACTGCAGACGCATTCCCCAGGGAGAGGAAAAGGCCTAGGATGGAAACACGATTCACCCAAGGATGCACCATTTTAGCCATTGTGTTGACTTGTTAGAGACCTTGAAGCAAAGTTCATCGCATTGAGTTCAATGACAATGGGGGCCAGGACCAAGTATTTACAACCCTCCCCATCCGTGCCGTCGGGACGACACGATAGTGAAATTTAGATACCTAGAACGCGGTCGTCTTGATCCGATTATCAGGCATCGGGTATCGGGCACGCGGAGGGTTATTGCATCGTCGGCATTGCGCCCTCCCCCTACCCATCCCCGTCCGTAGGTGTGGGGTGAAAAGAGGTGATGCTAGTATAAAAGCGACTAGCATACGAGATACTACTATGTATCTTGGCGTTTGGCCGCGGCAAAGTGGCCGCGGAAAGATAACGATCATCTCCTTTCAGGGTTGGATTGCACTATCTCCACGTCGGCTAAGTGGCCTTTGTCGCAGTGCTTAATCAGCAAAAACAATAGCATAAACAGACTCTCAAGAGCTATATAATGTCAAGGTGTTGGGGACACTCTTGCTTCGCAAGCAATACCATAAATCTGGTAAGATCCTTTCACATCACAAAATAAGCCAAATCGGCAAAGCGAAAGGCAATTAATCTAGCGCGAATAAGCTGCCCTACTAGAGAGCCCCACTTGCTCGAGAACCAAGTGCTCGAGGAGAACATTGACGGTATAAGTAGTGCATCATCATCATACAGACTTTATTGGAAGGATGTGTGAAGCAGATTTATAATGAAGAGTATTCATCTTGGAGCAAAAAGAGTCGTTGCTTGCCGACTCGGCCTGCCGAGAGTTGCTGGTCCAATAACCGCGGGCGTTATTATATACCCCACTTACGATGGTTTCTGTGTATTTCTCCAGGGCATGTGCAATACGTAGCATGGGCAATGATCCAAGCAAGTACCGGGCCTAGCGGCGGAGTAGTATACACATTTAATATGGACTGTCTGCGTGGAGACAAGACTGCATACAACTGAGTCGAGCCGCAGGAATCCGGGGGTTCATGGCAAGGTTCAAAGCAACTAAAACCCCGCATTTATAGAGGAGTAGGGAATAGAAACTGAAGATCGTGAGATTGTGCACCAATGGCCTTGACGCGCTTGACGATTTCCTTCAACCGGGTAAACTGTGGAGAAAATGGGGACGTAGAAAGACAAATGGTTCTCATGGGATCTGGTCTTGCTCATTTCGATGCGATTTCTCGCCATTGCGGGGATCATATAAATATGAACAGCATGAACTTGTAGCCGATTTGAAGGTATTCACCTACTCATCTCTCGAGCATTGCTTTCTTCGAGTATATATCGACATACAGAAGATGCGTCCGACAAAGTCCCTCTGCTCCAGGTCACTGGCTTTGGCCGCATTTCTTTCAAGCATCACTCCTTGCCTGGCAGGATACGGAGCCACGACAAATTTTACAACATGGTTCAACATCACATCATATCCAGAGGAGCAGGCTGCAAACGTATCAACATATTTGTACGAAGCGCTCAGCACAGCTGGTGATGACCTGTACACCTTTGCTGCTCACCGTTGCATTCTGGGTCAGGCCTATCCGGAACTCTCCGATCTACAGCAAGTGGATGGCTTCGTCCAGCCCACTCGAGCCTTTGACTCGGTCTTCTTTATCGGATCGTCCTATGTGTCCTCCTGGATCATCGACACCGGCGACGGCTTGGTGCTCATTGACACGCAGGACAACCCAGAAGAAGCGGCAGGAGTCATTGTGCCCGGACTGGAATACCTTGGCTACAGCGGCTCCGACATTGTGGCCGTGATCATCACGCACGAGCACGCCGACCACTACGGCGGCGCCCGCTACCTGCAGGAAACCTTTGACGTGCCCGTTTACGCGTCCGCCGTGGCTTGGGACGGCATGGCCGCGGACCCCATAGCACCCGCAGGCCTCGTGCCCCCGGTGCGCAACCTGACCATTGACGACGGCCAGGACCTCACCTTTGGCAACACGACTTTTAGCTTTGTCCTGACGCCGGGCCACACCCCGGGGACCCTGAGCTTCTTCTTTGACGTGTACGACGGCGGTGCGCCGCACGTGGCCGCCATCTATGGCGGCGGCGGCATCCCCAGCAATGCCACGGCCAAGGACCAGCAGATTGCCTCGTTTGCCAAGTTTGGCGAGCGGGCCGCCGCGCGCGGTGCCGACACGCTGCTCGCGCCGCATCAGACTCAAGATAATGCCCTGTACAACTTTGATATCTTGCGCCATCGGGCGGCATTTTATAATGTCTCGGATGGTGGCAATACCCCGAAGAACCCGTTTGTGCTGGGTAATGAGGCGTATCTGAGATATTTGAAGACAATGGCCTTGTGTGTTAGGATCGAAGCCGCACGGATTGGGCAATATTTGTCTGCGTAAATCAGGGGGTTTATGTGACGAGAAATAGTTCCATTGAGTCTCAAGTTAACAATATGCGATGGTGCCGCTATCTCGTGTCTCGAATTTAGAAAGTGTGATTGTGGCACCGTGCAGACTTTCAGGCAAACATCACGAGAGAACTCGGGCTGCAAAATAGATGTGGAAAATTGATACATAAAATTTCTACCAAGCCATTATTTTCATGAATACGTCAATATTGCGACTCCGTCCCCATTCCCTTATGAGCTGTTGTCAGCGCAAGACCAGACCAGGCCAGAGCTGTCCTGTGCCATGGACCATCCGGACGAGTATAGGCCTACACCACAAATGATGAAGCCGAGAATGATGAGCGTGACATTCATAAAGAACAAGCCTATCTTGCGCCAATTTTGGAACCAGAGTCCCTGGTTCATGTACAACCACAGGAAGCCAGGTACGCCAAAGGAGAACCAGGCGCCAAACAGAGCACTAACAAAGCCAAGCAGGTCGCTAAAGTTGGGAATGGACTCGGCAATAATCCAGGCAATGGTCCAGGTGCCAAAACCGAGTGCGATCCAAGACCCCGTAGCGACGACACCACGGCTGTGCAGATACTTTGTGCCGGCAAACATGCGCAGGTAAATGTACTTGGCGTTGACGTGGGCAAAGATGACGCCGGCAATGATGATGGTGGGCAGCGCGATACCCCAGGCGACCTTCTTGACAACCTCGCCCGTGCTGCTGAGGGCCGGGCTGGACACGTCGACACCGGCGTAGCGGTAGATGACGAGGGAGACAATGGTGTAGACAATGATCTGCACCAGCTGCTGGGAGCCGAGGGCGACGGGAAAGTCCTTGGGGTCGCGCAGCTCGGAGATGAAGCTCACCCAGGCGACGTGGCCGGCGTAGGCAAAGACGGCATTGCAAATGGCGTTGAAGGCCGTCGGGAAGTTTGGGTGATAGACGGCCTGCATATCCTCGTATGCCGCCTTGGGCGATACGGCCAGGGCAATGATGGTGATGAGCACGGCCGACATGATGCTGATGAAGCTGACAATGCTCAGGAATGAAACGTTCTTGAGCGTTCGGGGAATGGTGAGCAGGGCAAAGACAATGAGGCCCACGATGCCAAAGACAATGGTGCACGTCCCGTGGTTCGACAAGACGTTGAGCGCAATGGTAAAGGTCAAAAGGTGACTGGCCATGAAGAACAGACAGTAGATGACATATGCTGCACTGAAGATTTCGTAGCCAAGACGCCCAGCCAGGACTCTGCCAACATCGGTATAACTGGCGACCTGAGGGTATCTCATGCGGAACTGCCACAGAACGTAGCCAGAATAACTGGCAAAGATGCCCAGAGCGATGATGGAAATTAGGCCGGCAACAAGTCCGACGGTTGCGATCACGGCGGGCAAGGATAAAACGCCCAACGAGATGTTCTCTGCAACCATGACTATTCGAATGGAGTATATGGTCAGCACAAGTACAGCAATATTTCTTCCGAGTATTTGTTTAAAAGATACTGGCAAGACTCACCCATTGACGCCTGCCACCAGCTCATTGTCTTATACTGGATCTCGGCATTGGTTTCATCGCCAAAGGCATCCAATGGCTCCTCGACCCGCTTCGAGGCCGTCTCAAAATCGTCGCCCGGCATTGCTTCTTGATGCCTCTTCTTGTTGCTGGATGTGTCCGTGTTTGGTGCCGCAGTGGAAATCGAGTCCGTCATGTCGAGTTCGCGGTTGGAGCTATCCAGGTGGTTTGAGGTGGCGGCCATGATGGGGAGGAGATATACCAAAAGAAACTCGGACAGTCCGGTATATCACGATCCACCTCTGAGGAAAGAAGAGAAGGAGGAGGAAAGTTCTTGGTAAGAAATCGCCAAACTGGACGAGAGACTGATTTTGATGTATCAGCAAAGAGGCCAACGAGACCGGGGCGACCGACCCCAGGGAACTATAGCATGGTGGTAACCGCTTTTAATAAAGACCCCCGAAGACCCCGTTGGATACAGGCACTTTTCTGCGGGTCAAGACACAACTTCCCCACGGGTCAACGATAAGCAAAATCTCTAGAACTGCTCTTGTCGAATCCGGGCGTGGCATCCCGTCAATCCGTGACCAGTTGACAATTGATAATAATCGAGTCAGACCTTTGGACAAGAGTCCAGGCGAGCCAGGTTCTTGCTAGGAAGCAGTCTCATGAAAATTTCGGAGCCAGTGGGCGGATCCAAAGGGGCGCGAGTGGGCTCTTGCGCCGACTGACTCGGGACTGTTGGTGGGTTCGACGCCGGATATAGTGGAAACCATCACGTCACTTTTTTCTAATGCCTCCGGCACTACTCTGTAGTTTTTGCTACCAGTTTGAAATAAAAACTCAGAAAGGAGTTGAAAATGGGGGTCTCATGATCACAAGCTCGATATCTGAAGAATCGACGTTTTTAATGTCTTTTAATTCTAGGTTTCTAATTGCTTGGTATATTTCAAGTCTGGAGGAAACACTTCACCATCGTTATAGAGGCTCGCAAAGATGATTCTGTGCAATCGTTTCATGATCGTCTTGTGGATACTTTCAAACATTAAACACCTTAAGCCGGCGCTATCCGGATCTTGGACCTGGACTAATTGGCTAGCCCTACCCGCTATGGTCTTGCATAGGCTCTTTTGGGCAGGTTTATCAATGGTATAATACGGTCCTGGCAGTAAAAAACCGTGTGTGTCCGCCTCATAAAAATCTGATGGGCAGGCAGATGGTAGGAGGCTATGCGAAGTAGGAGATGGAGGAAAACTCTTCATTCCTTGGCTTACATAACTTGTTCCTACTGCTGGCGGCATTTTCGGACCTCTGATCTGCGAGATCGCTGCAAGTCACATGAAATGCTTGTGCCCCTGTGCTTCATCTGATTAACAATACTGGCTGACTGTTATCACCGAGGGTTTTCTCATCACCGAAATCGAATCATCCAGCAAGCAACAAGAGAAGTCGCCTGATTCGTGTTGATTATTCAGACAAGAAAAGATGCAGTACAAGCACCATTGCGTGATCTTTTCTCGCTCCGGTAAATTGGCCTGGTCAAGGTCCCGACAAAGAGCCATATGCAGTAGGTACATCCCGACACATTGACTTTTGCTTATCCCCTAAAGGGGTCTTATGGTATCGCCGCAACGACTCCATGAATAAGCGCCAAAACCCCAGACCGTCCGTGCCTGGCGTGCCTCAAGATGGAATTGTGCTTTGTCTATTTTGGATTGTTATTCCGTAATGAGATCTCCTGATCTTGGGGCTTATGATGTCAATACGCGGAGGTTTGCAGGGAGCAAAAGCCAGACTTTCCCCGGCACGCGGCCAGTTGCGCTGATCGAGACTTTGCAAGCAACTAGACTACGATTTACCCCAAGATTTACCTCTACAAGATGTCTCATCACTTTATTGAAGTCTACTCATCATCCCGCTCCTGTTCAGTGTAGTAGTGGCAGGTCAAGGCCAGATGTGGAATTCTGCGATACGCAGCGCCATACTTGCGCGACGTGGTGAAGACCAGACGCCTCGACTCCATACTTCAAGACAAGCTAAACAGCAATTCACATGCCGAGAGAAATGGTCTGTTTTTGATAGATTTACAGTAGCCCATTGGCATATGCTTGATCTCCATCTGAGGGTGGCGGCGAACCAAGATGAGCTAGGAGACATTGAACGCTCAGGCAATCCATTCGTGCTCATTATATCAGAATGGCGGATGTCGAGCAAAATACATTAAAATAGGTCGGGAATTATGCATCTATGGTTATCGTCTATTGGTCGGACCATGGTTCTTTGTGGTGCAAGCCAGTCGGTGCCATATGCGAACCATTTGCTTCAATATACAAATGCAGTCAACACATTATTCAATGATTCTCAACATCACCAGCAGAGTTGACCAACTTTGAGGTCAATCTAATTCTAGATACCTGTGATTCGCAAGTAATACAAATCACTTAAATTTCATAAGAAATATGTCTCATCGCGCGGTCCGCGCCAGTCTCTTGAGTACATATTATGCACTGATAGTGCGGGTACCCAAAACCCCCGAGCATAGCCGCAGCTCAGACTAGAGATTCACGAAGGTCACTCTTTGTCCCCTGCTCTACCTAATCTCATCCTGTTCCGATCTTGAAAACGATATGTCCATTCTCTATTGGGCGAACGAATGAATAGATTCTCCATCTTTGCGGTAACTTCCGGTTTGTTGTCAAGGAATCTTGCCACTCATGGTTCAGTTTAGTCTTGCCTGGAGACCATTCATGGGGAAGATACTCTACCTCAAGTCGGTCATCGATTGCCTAGATTGTGCCGAGACCCTATCAGAGTTGAGTGATTCTGTATCTGTCCCCCCTCCCCTGGTTGTGTGGATTCGCACACGTCCATGTTTGTTGTCTCCATATTGAAGACATAACTCACCGACTTGCACGACCTATCTTGGGGAAAGGAGGTCCAGTCTGTTGCGTATTCTGTTATGATACGCTAGACACGAGCGTTGCGCAAAGGTACGGCGTACATATAATGAAACAGGTATTGTCGCTAGGAATACTTTGGTAGAGGTACGGACCAGCATGTGTGTTTCAAATGAAGCATTTCTCAAGGTTATCTGCTATTAACCATTACTGTGAGAATGAGGTAAGTTTATCAGGAAATTTCGGAACCAAGGGAAAATCATACGATCTCAATTATTGATTTCCCTGATGGGGATATATGATGTATATTTGTCAATGTCAATTTTGTCTAATCGCGCCTTACCTGGCGCATCAGACCACAGGCTCTTTTTTTTTGGGAGGGGGGGGGGGGGGGGGGGTAATGGTCTATGGATTTGGATTATCTGGAACGAGGTCAACATGTTTTTTTTGTTCACTGAGTGAAAATGTGCCAGCTTTAATATTGTATTTGCTGCATTCGATATCGAAGACATTGGTGCAACGACAACTCGGCTATTCAGACTCCAAATAAGAGTGCCCAGTTCTACACAATCTAACACGCTTGATAGCTCCCGTAGTCATACTTTTTTTTTTCCTTTTTTCCTTTTTTTCCTTTTTTTCCTTTTTTCCCTTTTTTCCCTTTTTTTCCCCCCTCAACCGCTGATGCATCGGACTGAAACCAATCGGTCAATGATCCCGCACTGCTTCATGGTGGCAATCATGGCAGCCGCGGTGGCCACGGACGATAGGAGCAACATCCCAGCATCCAGGTGCATAATAAGTCGACAAATAATTGATTATGCGAGCCGAGCTTCACCTCGAGGTGTATCTCAGCTTCTTCTGTTGGGGCAACAGCAGTGTCTGTGGTCACTTTCAAATGATGTCAATGATTGGCGACAGTTACAGGTTCCGCGTTGAGATCTCTTCTTTCTTTCTCTTATTACTGCTCTTCACCACCGGTACCAATACAAGCATCAATCAAATTATTCTCAGCTTTTCTTCCAATCCCAAATATTTCTTCAAAACATAAGATCAATTTGAACATTGTAGCGCACTAGGTCATAAGCTGCCTAACCTAGGTTAGTACTATTGAAAGCTGCATGGTCAGGGGACACGGGTGGCTTACGCCCGGCGCAAACTCTCCGTCACATTCCCAGAGCTAAAGATATCTTCATGTATCGGCGGAAGTGCAGTAAAAAGACTAAAGTTCCGTCAGTAATACTTAATAATAAGTCAAACCGCATTCAAAATCTGCGCCAACGTTTCCTAAAAAGACGTATTGGCGGCGACAGCAATCCCTGGCAAGATCCGTGAAGGAATCAACACCATGGTCTGTAAGGATTGCTTTCATGTATGTTCTTTCGTCACACTCTCTTCCGGGCGGGTGTGTGACATGGGGCCACCCATCAAGTGACATTTCAGCTGTATCGTTCAGCTGAACTGCCCCCTGTCTCTTATCTACCGCGCCTAGAATGGCCTTCGAGGGCACCAAATTGGGAATGACAGCCGGAACGCTTTCCGCAGCAATCCAAGCGACCCTCGCTCGAGATTGCACGATAGACTCGCGACCTGGCGGGGAGATTCTCCATTTTTCTCTCATCATGAATCGCCAAGAGCACTATATCCACGTGCTATTAGCCTATACGATACTCTATTCTCTGTCTCGCAATGGCGGCGGTTGACAAAGCCAAGCAATTCAAGTACGCCACTTTGCCGCCGGGATATATTCGTACACTAGAGTTGCAACCCAGCGAGCATGGATCGACAGCGTTGCGATGCCGACTCATCGCCCAGAGAATTCCAGACGATCCCTACGAGGCTCTTTCCTATGTTTGGGGAAAGCCGACAGTTTATCACTCGAGCATCTTTTGTATTGATGGCAACGATGAAACTGATCAGGGAACACTTCGAATTGGGGCCAACCTGACAAAAGCATTGGTCGCATTCCGTCTTTCCGATAGACCGCGCCGCGTTTGGGTCGACGCGATATGCATTAATCAAGAAGACTTGTCGGAGCGCCGCGCTCAGGTGCGCATGATGGGCGACATCTTTCGCGCCGCTCGACAGGTGCTGTGTTGGCTCGGCGGATTTGAGAACCTCCATCTCGACGAGCCCGTCTCGTTGATTGCCATCAACTTTCTACGGCAGTTCAATCGCGACCAAGAAGGCGAGCTGCGCAAGGTGCAGAACTACCTACACCACGATGTCAAGACGCGCGAAGACGAGGTAATCCACATGTCGTGGCTTGCTATCAAGAAGCTCTTTGATATCGAGTACTTTCATCGGGCTTGGATTATCCAAGAGGTCGGCCTGGCGAGCCGAGCAAGACTGTCTTGGGGCAAGAATGACATTTGGGTCGATTGGGAAGAGATTGCGACGTTTGTGAAATTCCTAGACGATAATGGAGCGTCGATAGTAACCCACTTTGATCTCAAGTCCTGGGTATGTAACCATATTTGCATGGTTTGGACCATGAAACCCGACGGACAGCCTCTGTACGACTTCTCCGAAGTACTACATTGGGCTCGCATTCATATCTCCACCGATCCACGAGACTATGTCTATGCGCTGCTCGGACATCCCAGTGCCATTGTCGGCGGGGACCTGATCATTGAGCCTCGCTACACAGTATCGACGAAAGAAGTCTACACAACTCTTGCGATCAACACAATCACACGCACCGACAATCTACACATTCTGGCATTTGTTGACCACGGAGAAGAATTCGAGACCGAGACGGGAACACTTCCAACGTGGGTACCGGATTGGCATGCCCCAAATCTAGTGGCGCCACTGAGATATCCCACGCAAGCGGCGCCAAAGACGGCTGATTCCATCGTCCTTGACGCTGAAGCAAACAGCATCCGGTGCATGGGTGTTATAGTTGGCGAGATCATTGCCATTTCCGACATGATCACCCCCAAGGAACTTCCCGTCACGACTTATGATACCGAAGTCGAGAAGAGCGTTTCTTTCCTATTTGACCACCTCTATGACGAACTCGTGGCCAAAACAGGTGTAACATTACCCACATGGCAAGACTTTGTATTTTCCCTAAGTTGCGTATTAACTGGCGCAATGCGGCTCGATAAGGGTGCGGCTACAGGAGAGCCAATGTGGCAACAGCGGGCAGATTGCGCTGCCTATCTGCTCAAGTTTGAGGAGATCAAGACAAGGCGCAACAAGGGCGGCTTCCTTCAGAGCCTGTCACCCGAGGATCGAGAAGCGTTTCAAGCATCCGCCTCATCAGGTTCAGCAGCGATATTCATCCAAGAAGCGACCTGGAATTCCATGTGCCGGAATGTTTTTCGGACTTCAAAAGGATCTTTCGGCATTGGACCACGGATCATGAAGACGGGCGATCTGTGTGCTATAGTTCCGGGCTCGGTTTACCCGTTGATCCTGCGCAAATGGGGGGATCAACATCGACTTGTCGGCCCAGCATTGTTGTACGGCTTCATGAACGGCGAAGCTCTAGAAGGAGCTCGAAATGGCAGTCTTGAGCAAGCAGAAATCTGCATAGTTTGAGAACCATGTCAGCGAACTTCTGGATAGACCGCTGAGTATTGTGAGTCGTTGAAGGTACTGATTGCCTCAACATTCAAGCACACAAACGATCCTTGGTGTCGATACCGAGTTACCAAACCTGGTGGGTAAAAGATGGAAATTCGAATAGTCTAGAAGGTAGTGGTAGCAGCTGCCCATGGTACGTATTCCAGGGTCTAAACGCCCCGTGTTCTAGCGGAGCAGCACTAACGCAGGGTCCTATCCACAGGCTTGGCGCTGTCGCTTCCACGCGGCGCTGCGGGCTGGTAACGGTGCAGGAAGGGAAGCCGCCAGTATTCATCAGAAGGAGGTCTCACTAAAGAGTCACAATTATACGTCAATCGACCGGTTCATATTACAGACGTATCGCTCACTTCAGCTGCGGGTAAAATAAATGAAGATGGCATCATATCAGTGTGTTATACACGTTATAGGAATCGGTTTGAACAAACATACATAGGTACGTAGGTAGCAAGTGTGACGTAAGTACCCACCTGTGCACACCCGAAGCTGCTTTACCTAATTCAGGCGGCTTATTAGTCGTCCTCAACACGCGATAAAGTCGACGCGTCCATCAGCCAAGCAGGGACCACGCCATAGTTTCGCTGCCTTTCTACTATGTACAATAGATAAGGAAGGGCCGCCTACCCATCATCCCTGGGAATTCCTCACACTCCTCGCATACGCAAAGTGCAAGCTCACAACGTAAATCGAACAAAGTCAGCATGCCTGCTCAGAACCACGAGGTCGTCCGAGACGGCTTCAGCTGTATCGGTGAAGATTTCTCTGTCTTGTTGACTAGAGCTTCCAGGCGCTTTGCCATTCCACGATGTGAAGCCGACGTTCTTCGCCAGCAATTTCTACCAAAGGTGACTCCCGAAGGACAACGACGGATTGCAAACTGGGCTCGCAACACAGACATCCCAGACGCCTTTGTTCGCGCCCAACTCAAACACTATGGCGTGCAGTACGACGAGAGCGAGATTTCTGGAGACGGAGCCGATCTATTAACAAAGGCTGTGGCAGCTGGTAAATGTGACAGCGTTCCTCAGCACATTTCTGATCTGCGCGAACAAATGTACCAGGAATTTATCGTGAAGCCATCGACCAGGGAGTTGGGCTATCACCCCGAGTGGATCGCGCCGAGATACTTTCTGACATCGGGGCAGCCAGATCGTAGCAAGACGACTACAGTCGTCGACATACCCTGCGATAGATCAGACTTTCAAATGAAGAGGGTTTGTGAGGCTGCTGCAAAGGTCGAAGGCCTCCACTTTGCGAAAGGCAGTTTGGACAAGAACAAGCACGTCTTCTTGGGCTGGGACGAAGCTGCTGTGAAAAAGGCAGCAGAGGACTTTGTAGTCGAGGCCGATGCGGCAGCAAAGGCTGCGGATGAACAGAAACACCAACAGCGCATTAAGTCGCAAGGAAAATATCTCTGCACACTTGACGAACCAGAGCGGGTTGCCCAAGGCTTTTCGCCCGTCGGCAAGTATGAAATTGAGTGCGAGGAGATTACGGACCAATGGCCAGAAGATTCCAAGAAGATGACCATGAACATTCACCCTACCAACGTGCAAGGTCTCTACAAAGCTCAATTTGATTTCGGTATTCTGGTCGGAGTCATGATCATCAGCCGAAATGTAGAGGACATCAAGAAGTACCGCAGAATCTCAGACGATGAAGACGAATCGGAGGACGACGAGGAGAACGAGGAAACGAACAACGCCCCTACAGGCTCCAAAAGAAAGGCCCCACCCGTTACAGGCCCGCGAAAGGAAGCCAAGGTCGACGATGCAGAGCCTTCCCCATTCAAGTATGAGCTAAGATTGAGAGCTCGCGAGACTGGAGAGGGCGACATTTTCCCGGATCCTTGTAAGGGCACAATCATTTTTGGCGACGACAAGTTCACCTGGTTCAAGGGGTCGGCCACGCTTCCTTGTGTTGGCGACGAACCGTTCAGAGGGTACAAGGTGGCGGACAAGCCAGTCGACAAACGTTGGAAGTGGGAGACGTTCTCGTGGTAAAAGCACTACAAGCAGATCAATGGCATAAGTTTGTGGTGAAAAGATTTGCACCATCAAGATACCTAGCTTTCTAGTCTGACCTACGGAGAAAATAAAATATGTATATATCTACCTACTAAATATGTGCTACTCAACTGAATCCGGACTTGATTCTGGACAAGTTGGAGCCTGCAAAGAATCGAAAAGCTATCTGTATGAGCCCAAAGCACTTTGTTTTCAATCAAAAGAGCGACACCACAAAAACAACGCCCGCTGTTCTGTCGAGTCCAGATATGGACTGAGATTGCGCGAGAATCAAATCCACCCATGACCTATCACGATCCGAGAAGACCGCAGGACCCATCACGACGGCCCTTTTTTCTTCAATATCACATTCCACCCACGTTCCGAGCTTCAAGGCAACGCAGCCTCGGCCTCGGAGACGCTGCCATTCTGCACGGCGAAACGGTGGGCCCGAGCCAGCACGCCGTAGACGGGGTAGTACTTGTCCAGGAGGGGATAAATCTCGACGGCGCCGGGGACGTTGCGCCAGTCGCGCATGAGCTCGCAGATGATGTCAAAGTAGGAGACGACATTGACGCCGGCGTCGCGCATGCGGTCGTTGGAGGTGTCGCGAATCAGCTCCGTGGTGGTGCCCGACGCCTCGACGTTGGCCCAGACGCTATAGCCTGCTTCTTTGAGGGAGAGGGCCAAAAAAGCGACACCTTTTTTTATGGTCGAGGTTAGTCAAGTTGAGTTTTGCGTTTGATTTCCAAGAAAAGAATAAAGAAGAAGAAAAACCGGAAAAAGGAAAGGAACTCGCAAGGTAAATTTGAGTACTTACAGACATCAGTCGTGATCCCGGCGACAATGATCTGGGACTTGTTGGCCGCGACCACAGCATCCCGAAAGTCGGCGTTATCCCAGGCATTAACCTCACCTTGGCGCTTGATGAGTGGCGCGTCGGGGTACCATTCAAGAAACTCGCCAGGCAGGGGACCGTTGGGCCCCGTCTCGGCCGAGGTGGTCATGACGACTGGCAGGTCAAAGACGCGGCCGAGCTCGGCATGAGCGTACATCTTGAAAGGTTCAGACACATGTTAGCTTCTCGTTTTTTTCTTGCTGCTGGACAGAGGGAAAGTTTGCCGCCCATGATTGAGCTACCAGGTTGACGGATATTACATTTCTCGGGACAAAGATATTGGATCGGGAAATAAATTCACAAGGCATGATGACCTTGTAAAAGAGGACTGTGTAGATAAGAAACCTGCATGTTGAAATTACTCACATTGTTCTTGTACAGGGTGTGGTCGAAATCGCGGGCAAGCTGATAAAGACCCTCCTGAAGATCCAGAATGAGGAGAAGCTGAATGAAAAAAAAGCGTGTCAGCATACTCTCACAATAAAAGCCTTGGCATTGTGATACTGGTCCCATCACTTACCGTGTCGTTCTTGTCGAGTCTCTCATAAGTAAAGGCACCAGCGACGCTCGTGGCCAGCAGGATTTGGGGAATGGGGAACTTCATCTTGGTCAAATGCTTGAAAAGGTTGTCTTTGGAGTCGTTGAGTCGAGTCGAGTCTCTTTGGATCGTGTCTGAGTTATGCTGGGGGGAAAAAAATCTAATCAATTGAGAACTGAAATTCGACCTGATATTTATACTTTCCAAAAGCTTTACAAGATTTTCCAACGTGCATAGAGGCTTTGGATCTATGACCAATATGATTCTTTGACTAGCGATATACCTATTCACACAAGATGGCGGCTTTTCGAATACTACATGCTTGGGATACGGCCGAACCTCCGCCTCCTACAGCAAAGGGCCAGGGTTTGTGATGGTATTCAAATTTTCATGTCAGCATTATTCACGATGCTTGTACAGTATAGCTGCCCGTATGCGAGATTGTTCCATATGAGATCTGCCCGCCTGCGGCACAGCTGTTGTATACAAATAGGGGAGTGAGCGAGGGCCGGCGTTGATATCATTGGTCGCCGTACTTCCGTCAGCGTCACGATGCAGTGCAAGTGAGCCGCCAAGACGTGGACGCTTAGCTAAGAACCCACCCTTGTAGTTGCTGTAGGAGTAGTAAGCGATGTATAAATCCGGATGTCTCCGTTATACCTTTTGTCGGAGTTGGAGGCTTGGCGCTAGATAATGGGCATGGGCTTGAACACATGCTTTGACATGCTGCAGTGGCTGCTTTCAAAGTGACTCCAAATGCTTTGCTAAGGATGACATACATGATACAACGGAGTTCCGGGTGACCTATGCCAAGCTTTTTTGGTCCTTTTGTGATCGCATCCCAGCCTGAGGCCCATGGGTATTCTCGTCTATCTGTATGCAATCTCCATGTGCAAGCTTAAATTATACCGCTTCTTTGATGGTTCCAAGATCCCATGCATTTGGAGGTGGGTCACAAGTCGGACTTGATTCCAGAACAATTACCAATGGCTGACTGGCTCCTTACGAAAACAACGAGATGCGATCCAATATTTTATCTATTCCAACCATGGGGTATCATCAGACACTATCTCAACTACACAATGCATTCAACGCTCCAAACTTTTCCCTGAGAAACCTCTGAACCTCACGGTTTCCCCCAAGACCTTCAGTGAGCGCAGTCGCGTCGCCATTAATCTTGAGCCCACTCAGCCCGGTAGCTCTAGAGAGCGCAACATAAATCTGCCCTTCTTCGAATGTTCTAGAGAGGTCCACAATGACTCGATCCATGGTCAAACTCTGACTCTTGTGAATGGTCATGGCCCAGGCAGGTGCCAATGGTATCTGCGTGCGAGCCAGCAGACTATACGGCTGTTCGTCGCCAAGTTCGCTAATGGAGCACTCGGCATATATCATTCGTTTTTCTCCATTATGAAACCTAACAATAGGCCACTGTTTGAATTTTGCTCCCTTGCTCTCGATGAAAGCTTTCATCGCCTGCTCTTTCAATGAGGCATGGTCACCCATGATTTTCATGCTGGGGTCGTCCTTTTTTCCAATCATCGCCTTGGGCATCTTGTTTGGGTGATAGGCCTCGAAGCCGGAGACAATGCCTTGGCTGCCATTGCACAGGCCAGCGCCGAGATCAAGATTGGTGAGTAGCACGACCAGCATTCCTCTTTTCAGCTCAACAATATCCGAGAATCGATGATCATCGAGGGCCTTGATTGGCTTGCATTCATCTGTTGTGGGAGGTCCTCGGTTCATATTAAGAGCTCCCTTTGATCTTAGATGAAGGTGCTTCGGGTTCCAGTTAAAGGTGTCGTATGCCCAATATGAATAGTTGACTCCAGTGAGTTTCTTGAACTTGGCTTCATTGAGCTCCCTTGCTTGCTCCCTCGTCGCAAACAGACTCGTGGCATGATGTACCTGGCAAGGATGGTCCATCAGCCTATTTAGCTCAACTGACGACAGCGGATCTCCTATGCGACATTTCTGCAGCATCCGTATAAATTCTTGGTCATTTTGACGGTGAATCTGCTTGAGATTTACATGTACAAAATTGCATTCCTGCCAGGCCTTGCTCGAGAATGCCCACTTATGCTCGTCGAGAAACTCCTCGCGATGCTGGGGGCAGGTATACGTCTTTCGGCCATACACCTCTTTCTGGAGCATTTCCTTGCCGCAATGCATACAATACTGAAATGGTTTGACAGGCGGGAGCTGGCAAAAGTCACCAGTGACAATGACTTGCACGCCGCCAAAAGCAGGTTGTCGTTCACGGTGTGGGTTGAACCAGGCCTGTTTCATCAACTCGTTGAGCCGCTCGAGAATATGGTTCTCAACCATACTGATCTCGTCAAACACGATGACGTCCGTATTCTTCTTGATTCGTTCATAGATATACTTTCCGTGCACCGCTGCTTTCAGATCATCCAGTGGTTTCTTCATATGGCCCGGCGTCCAGCCGGCAAATGTCCAAAAAGTCTGGCCATTGACTTGCAAGGCCGCTCGTCCAGTCGGAGCAAGGATGCGCACCTTTTTGCCCATTGCGCGGAGCTTTTTGGTAAAGGCTTTCAGCACTGTGCTCTTACCGCATCCAGCTGAACCTGTGTAGAACACATTACGGCCACTGCAGATCAAATCTACAAGCTCAGCCTGTTCTGGACATAATGGCGGATCTTCTGACACAGTTTGCGGTGCCGCCGAGGTCGTGGTGTTTGCCTGTTGGTATGCTTCGGCTGGATAAGGCTGCTCAGACTTGATCAACGGCCGGCCCGAGAACCCATATTCCGATTCGCCTGACGACTCTGGGTAGGCACCAGGAATGGACAGAGGTCTCTCCATCAATGGTGGACGTGGTTCAGCGTCGTTTGGCTCCTGCTTAATAGCTGAGGTCGCCAAAGATCTCGCGGCTGCCATGCCAGCAGGAACCGGCATGGCTGGGGCGTCGTTATATTCATGCTTTATCTTGCTTCTCTTCATATTGGCGTCCATGGCTAGGTATTCCTGGTCATGTAGAGGCAGAGAACTGACGGCTGGGTCTGGTGCAAAGTGACCATCTGGAGTCCGCTTCCGTTTAGCGCCTTGATCCAAGTGCTGGGAGGCTGCTGGGTATCCAGCGACTTGTGGTGCTGGAAATTGGTCCGCACTTGGCCATGGTTGCTGTGGCAGTGGAGGATATGCCACAGTCTGATCATAGTAATGATACCCGTTGAAAGGAGCAGAATTGCTACCGTATTGGTGATAGTAGCCTATCAGTGGGGCAGAGGTGGTGTTGCCGGGTTGCTGGTATTGATATGGTGTTTCCCATTGCCCCGATTCAAAGGAGTGGTGAGTTTGAGATGCCGGTAATTGGCTGGATCCAAAATACTGAGCGTGACTCGTTGCCACTACTGGGCTTGAGTGCGGATGTTGCTGTGCCTGTTGCGGATTCTGGGGATATCCAGACCACTGCACATTGGGATATTGCCCGCTTGGATCCGCTGCTTTAGGTACATCTCAGCCTCTTCTCTTTCACATATTGACTTTGGATCGAGATCTCATGTCTTACCATGGTTATTTGATGGGTCTGACATTGTCCAAAAATCCCATCCTGTGCCGCCGTGTCCCTCAGAATCTCCTATGTTGGAACTTTGCACAATGTGGTCTCACGAATTGACCAGCTTCCAGGGATACGCGCTTGGGGGTTGTGTCAATTTGCCGGGTTGTGGGGTTTCAACCATTTAAGGGACCGCGACGCGCGACGTTAGCGTACCTTGATAGTGGCAGTATCCCCTGTATTCTCCCCGCCCGGAGCATTCCCAGTGTACTATCTACCTATCCATGTTGTAACTCCCGGAAACACGCAGTGGGGCCCTGAAGCTGGTAACATTGAACTCGATTGAACGCTCACAACATTGAAGTGCTTTGATATTTCTCTATTGACCCGAGGAATACTGGCTGCTTAAAGTATTGATACAATTGATATGTGACAATAACATCCCCTGGGCATATCATATCTTGTTCCGCCTCTCTTAAAGCTTTGCCATGAGTGTGCTCGTCTTTCGTGTCTCGGCGTACATTTCCTTGATCAGGTGATCAAATTTCTTTGCCGTCTGTGGGCGCTTCAGTTTCAACCTTTTTTCCATAATTTGTTAGCATCCTCCTCATTACATTTTTCCAGAGAGAAGAAGAACCACTTACGTTGGTGTGAGCAATCCATTTTCGACCGTGAAAGGTTCTATCATTAACCGGACTGCTCGGGGGATCTCATAGCTGTTGAGCTTGGCACTCTTTCCGACCATGGCCAGCTCCTTCACCACAGCGGATCTCACCTCTGGCTCTTGCAGCACAGCCTCGAGCTGATCAGTGTCTTCTGGCTTACACTCTTTCCCAAGAGTCCTGTTGAGGAAATTGCAGAATATGTCAGGTTGCACACCAAAGATGCCAACCAAATGAGCTTCTGCCGAGTCGCCATGCACGTAGCCCTGAGCAAGCCAAGGACGTTGGGCAAGGAGCACATTTTCAATGTGCTCGGGCGAAATGTACTCGCCTTGCGCCAGTTTAAGGAGATTCTTTCTGCGGTCGATAATGCTGAAGCGGCCCAGCTCATCAACAGCGCAGATATCGCCAGTCTTGAACCACCCATCTTCCGTAAAAGCCTTGCTCGTCTCTTCGTCGTCCTTGTAGTACTCGGAAAAGACGTTCGGCCCCCTCATGAGCAGCTCCCCACGCGGGCAAGGCTGGTCGCTGGAGAAGTACCCCATATCGGGCAGATCCAACAAACACACCTCAACACAAGCAGCAGGTCCGCCGCAATTTCTGACGCTCATATCGCCGGCAGATTGGGCGAGGCAGATGGCAAACATTTCGGTTGATCCGTACCCCTGGACGATCTCAGTGGCAAAGACGATGCGCAAGAACTGCTGCAACCCCCCATCCAAAGGCGCAGACCCGGACATCATGTGAACTGTACGATCCAGTCCGAGTGCTGCGGTGATCTTTCGGCCCCATATCCTGTCATAAACCATGTGTTTGTTGGTTGCTTTTGCCGGATCATCATTTTCTATATTTGCCATCTTTGTCTCCATGATGTAGCGAGACAGCGCGCCCTTGACCCCCTGCTGCTCTATCGTGGCCGCTTTGATGGAGCTGCCCATTCGGTTGAGGAGGCGAGGCACGCTCGTAAATATCGTCGGTCTCAGGAGCTTCAGGTCGTCTATCAACTCTAGGGGATTGCCGTGAAAGTAACCAATCGAGCCGCCGCCGTACATGGCGGAAATTTCGACAAAGCGCTCGTAGATGTGCGCCAGCGGCAGATATGAACATAGGACATCGCTCGATCTCATGGGGTATACCGTGAGACACGTTACGGTTGCAGCAACGGCATTGGAGTGGCGGAGTACTACGCCCTTGGGGTTGCCCGTGGTCCCGGACGTGTAGTTGATGGTAAAAATATCGTCGGGCCTCGGTCGGTTGAGGGATCGTGAAGATGCTTGGCCGGCCTTTTCCACATCTCGAAAGTCGTGTACCTGCAGCCCCTTTTCTGCAGCTAGGCTACTGAGAAGTTCTTTTCTCGAAGTCCCAGGTGCGTCTATCTCTTCTGTCAATGGGTCAAGCGAAATGATGAGCTTGAGTGATGGACATCGAGGAGCCGCCAATATCAACGCGGGAATATGCTCGAGCGAGGCACAAACGACGGGGATTTCGGCATGATTGATCAGAAACTCTGTGGCAGCTGGTCCCAATGTTTCGTATAGCGAGATGCTGTACAGAGATTGTGACATCGCGCCGAGATCGACAAACTGCCACTCGGGCCGGTTTGCACACCACAGACCAACCGGCCTTTGGCGGCCTCCAACTCCGTTAGCTTCCAATAATTCCGCAAGGCCCTTGCCAAAATCCGTGCTCCTCTTCAAGACATTGTCGTAGGAGTACCAAATATATGGACCAAAAGATTTGGTTGAGCCATTGTATGGGCGGTAGCCTAGGCATCGTGCGTCGGGTTGGCGTTTGGCAGTCTGCTCAAACATGTCATATCCGGAAGACAAATCGGGGTCAAAGTAGTCTGGCAGCTCATCTCCCCGCCGCCAATGTCGGTATACTGCGGATCTACCGGGAAGCTTTGAGTTTGGGACGGCGACGCCTTGAGGCGCACCCGGAGGCGGAGGTTGAGCATAGCGACGTGCTTTTTCTATGTAGGACTCCATCTCTCATGCTACAACTGTGCAATATTGGGGTAACATTGAACGAGAAGATGAGCCCCTGGGCCAAATACCGAAAAGACGAAACAGGCATGATTAAATGCTGGGGAAATCCATTAGACCGATGTTCTGGATCTCTCGGGCCGTGGGATCTATTAGCGGGTTGCTGCGCCGTAGCACAGACATACATAGTATGTAGGGAACGATGCAGGGAACTTCTTATGTCACTAGGTAGATGGGTACATACACGCTGTAACACGCAAGGGAAGATATGATCCTTGGTCTTGTTCTCCATTCGGACTCGCTTCGCGTCCCATCAATACGACATAACGCATTAGGCCCACTCATTTCACGCGGAGAGGTCGGAGTGATTGTTGGAAATCCACCCTTGGCGCGGCCGCCCCTTGCTCGCATCATCCGGCGATTTGACCTTGTGTCGGCACAGGGCATGCTGTTTGCTTGTGTCATACACATATGGATCTTGAATTTCCAACATATTTCCGAGGATTTTGTGGTGGATCTCAAGCGATGACACTATTGCTATCGTGCTGACAATTTACGAATCCCTGAAACAACTTCATTCGAGAATACTAAATGGCCTACTCTGTGCTCCGCCTTCTGTGAATGAAAGAGTTCACTGCCTATGTCATCTGTTTCTCTTCATTTGGCTCTAATATAAGTCGCCGTACCAGTTGTCTTATCGCGTCGTCTCCCTCGGTGCCATCTGTAATTTCCAGCTTGGTAGCGTAATATTCCCCATCTCGGTCTCTGATGGCGTTCAAAGCCATGCCCATCCAGCGCCTCAGTCTCAATATCGGGTTGGGTACATGATAAGTTATCGTTAAGATGGTTCTCAGGTCCACGTCGATCTTTGGATTCTTCTCTGGGTCTTCTTCGGGTAGCCCCTCTGAGTTCTTTCTGTTAATCATTGCGAGATCTCTCAGATTCTGCTGTGTGGTTAGACTTGTTTTCATGGACTATTTGCGGATGGCTGAGAAGTTCTTACCTCTCTTGTCAGCCTAAGCATGCTTGTCAGACTTTGATCGCGGGCCTGACTGATAAACACCATGAGTCAGAATATCACTTCTTGTAAATGTTCACAATCAAGTGGAAATGACATACTCGGTAGCTTCCTTCGTTGCAGCCTTAACATAATCAAAGTCAATCATTACCAGGGGCGGCATGAGATCATGTTCCTTGGTGCCCGTCTCATCGGCAGTGAAAGCATCAAACACCCCTACAGTTATGGAAAGTCAACACAAAATTCTCGCCAGATCATGGTGAAAAGATTGCTTACAGTTTCCGAAGTGAAAGTCCAGGTGTTGTAAGGACAATTCTCCGTATTCGTCTTGGGGTTCCTCTAACTGACCAGCTACAAGACTTTCTGGCCACATGATGGCACAAATAGCGCGAAGATCTAAGCTCTTGGTCAGCCACTACAAACACAATTTGGTTTCTCTTTCTTGTTGGAAGGGAGAGGGCCTTGTCCCATCGCTCTTGGTGGAATACGCCCATGTGCTTACAGCATAAGAGGATTCTCCAAAGGAGACGGTTGGGGATTGGATTGCCGGAGCTGTCGACGCGGACACCCTCTTCGAATTCTGTCAGTTCGCCGTTGGGAAGCCAATTCACTATGACAATATGTGTTAGCAATTATCTTCAAGATGGATAGATAAACTATAAGTAGCTTGTTCGAGTATTTTGTCAGAGTATGCTGCCCAGCGGCACCATATCGAAAAATATTGGCATGTGAAACAATCAAGTGTAGGTAATGAATAACATGGGATGCTAACTATACGCAACCGTCACGTTCTTTGCAGTCAAGTCGGGATCGAATTTGGTTGGTTCGGGATCAATGTGAACCCATTTGGCGGTATGCGTCGAGTTTGCGAGAGCCTAGACGGATATGAGTACTGACGAAAACAATGCAAAACCATAATCATGAACGCTCTCATACCTGAAGCCACTCTCTGGTGTCCACGGGAACTTCTACCACATAGTCTGGTCGTCGGATCCACGGCGCGTTTGTCTTTCTCCATTCCTCGTACGCGAGATCCTCAAGACCCCCAGAAACCTTGAGAACGACGCGCCTCGGTTCCGTCTCGCTTGGACTTTTGCGCTGAATCAGATAGGCGGCACCCTCGGCCCCTTCACCAATATTCCTAACGTATTTGTAGTTGCCATGTCGCTCGAATGCTTCTCTGACGATAGTATCGCCATCTCGGGCTTTTCGATCTTCTTCTGATACTTGGCTCGATGCATCACCAGGAAAGGACATGGTGAATCAATGTGGATCAATCTTCTTGCCCCCAGCCTATTATGAAAACTCTCACATTTTGATACAAGAATCTATTTCCATGACTCTGCCTATTTGAAGCTTAAAGTGAATTCTTTGTCTGAAGAAGAGAAACAAACAGGCGCCTATTTTTCCGGATACAGCAACTCGCAAACAAGGAAAGGGTTGCTCAGCCCAAGTCACAAGAGGTACATTGTATTCTCAACCCCAAAAATAGCCATTCAGCGTTATACTGGTCTCGGTTCTCTGACTGGTGCAGACTCCTCAGAGTGCAAGATTCATGAGATGATACTATCAGCTTGATCTTTGATTGTTGTTCCATAATCATCGACACTATACTAAAAGATCTTATCGTGAACTTGTAGATAGTCGATTTGTGCATTGTTAGCTACTAGGGTGGCGGCGTGGGGTTCCGCAGATCTGGGGGGATTTTTAGTTTTAGTGGGGTTTGCCGCCGCCACCACCGAAGTCCCATACAATCGGCCCAGAACATCAAATTCAATTCCAGCTGCTCGCACCATTTTGACAAACATAGTCCGCAACATCATTCGATCATAAATTCGTGACTCGACTGCCACCATGTCGAAAACCAAAAAGGCAGCCAAGCGAAAGCGACAAAATGATGCTCAGGCCGATTTGAGCAATAAGAAGCGACTCAGTGCGCCTCCCACCCCAGAGTCCTCCGATGGAGCCGAGCAACGAGTCGAGCCGACGACGGCCTTGAGCCTGCACACTGTGGTGTCCGAGGATGAGGTCGACATCACCGTCGATACTCTGCGTACGCTGGCTGCTCACCCGGCAGTCATCAAATCCAAGGCCTGTAAAGATCTCCGGACAGCAGTCTATGACTTCCGACAAGCATGCACCACGGGCATCAATACCATTGGTGAGTCCTGCGCCAAACCTGCTCTGCTATGGGCGAAATGCTGAGAAGCTGGCTTTCGCAGCCGAAACGAACCTCACATCCCGAATCTCTGCCGCCCTCGTCGATGGCAAGTACACGGACGCCCTCGTACTGCTCGCCGAAATGCGTCTGCGCGGCGAGTCGCCTAAGCTGGGAGCATTGTGTCGCTGGGTGCGGGACCTGGATGTCACGAGTGGATTCTCACAGCGCAACGTCGAGCGCCAGCAACGGTCACAGAGTCAGTTGGAACGTTTGCGGTTATTAGATGCCATCTCTAGGGTGACCGGAACAAACGATCTGAATCCATCGATTTCGCTCCTTTCCTCGTCGGATCCATTCATATTACACAAGCAATGGAATCTCCTTGACCAGGCCGCTACATCGGACTCGGGTTCTTCAAGCGCGGAGCTCGCCAAATTCTGCCCACCCGGCATCAAGAACAAGTTCAAAATTTTGGAGACCACGCGTGGGCCAGATCGGAAACCGCCTAATCTTCACGATGCGGTCCTATATCTTAGCGACGACAACGCTGTCCCGCTTTCTCCAACCCCGCCAAACACAACCCACCACAAGCATCCGGCCGTCCCGAATTTGTCGCTCATGAAGGATGTCCTGTCCCATGAGGAATGCAAGACGATTGTTGCCTCAATGGAGGCTGTTGGCTTCCTGCCCGATGCGCCCGTCAGAGACGATGGCTCCGAGGCAAGCATTCTTGCGCACAACGTCTACTGGATCGTGGATCAGGCTTTCCACGACCTGCTGTGGCAGAGAGTCCTCCCTTTCATTCCTGCCGATATTGGAGGCAGAAAGGCTCGTGGAATCAACCGCCGCTTCAGAGTATATCGCTACGTCCCGGGAGCAGAGTATCGCGTTCACTTTGACGGCGCGTGGCCACCCTCTGGCATTCACCCGACGACGGGAAAATACCAATGGGACGCTTCCCCGGCTGACGCCAAGCAATCGAGCTTTTTCACGTTCTTGGTGTATCTTAACGACGACTTTGAGGGCGGTGAGACCACCTTCTTCACTCCGAGTCTCGTGGAAGGCGTCATGAATGCTCATCCCGTCCGCCCCATGATGGGATCCATTGCGCTATTCCCGCACGGAGAAAGCAAAGGCGCTCTCCTTCACGAAGGGACGGGAGTCATCAAGGGCGCAAAGTATATCATCAGAACAGATGTTGAATACGACGTGGTGCCAAGCCAGACTGCATAAAGGCTACCAAAAACACGTGGCGCCAAGATATTGTAAGGCATTGAAGCCGCACCATTGGCAATCAACTTTGCGGAAGCTCAGCAAGCTGGAAGATTGTATGTACAGTCTGTTCGTGGTCCTTTATGTAGCCAAATGGCCTCAAAAGTTTCTGGTCCTTTTTACTCAAAAGAGTAGAACACTCATTATCAGCAGCTGGTCATGCTGCTATGGTTCCGAGCTTTCAGTGGGTAAAAATTCAATGGCCAAGGTGCCCAATCGACGCTCACTGGACATTACTGGGTTGGCCTGGTTTTGGTCATGAAGTCACTTTGATATTGGATAGTCGGGATCTCAAAAGTCAATGCTAGAAATAAAGATTGCTATCTAGGCAGTGCGTTTACTAGGTTTGATGTCACTGGGCACACAAGTATCTTGAGTATGGAGGCGACGTTATGAGGGTTGAAATACACACGCCACAATTTAAAGTCTGCGAAGTCCTTATTGCTGAGGAATAGCTCATCATTTCGGCATCGCACATGGTCATGCTGGGACGAATATAGTTGAACCAAGCTTTGGCTACTAGTATATAGATATTCAAGTCTTACCATCGAGAATACAACAGAAAACTAGATAATTCCAAAAAGAAGAGACATTCACCTTTCCCCAAGTATTGGCTATGTCGACACAAAACGATTTATACAATTCGGCTCAGGAGGTCATCTGTAGACTGCCTCGGGATTTTGATCCAATTATGCGTGGCCAGACAAGCCAGCCTTTCTGCCCCGAAAATGGCGTTGTCCAAATGCACGAGCGTCTCGCAATGCCACAATCATCCGAAGGGGGGGAGGCTCCTCGTACGTCATGCCGCAAAGACAGCAGCCACCTCCCATCTTACAACGAGGCAGTGCTGGCGATGGCCAAAGCTACTGAGCGCCAACGCAGACGTGGAATCTCGACCCCATCTTGGCCGACTTTTGAAAGAGGCCGCTTCTATACCTTGGGCATCTTGAGGGCTGAGAATCGGCCCTCTCCAAAGCGCTTCTTTGCCCTGGCCCGCTGGACGGTGTTGTCGTTCAATGCGTGCGCCAGGAAACGTGTGTGTTTGTGACGCAGGGCCGCCCCATCGTTATCGGCGAGGCCGTTTATAATGGGGTGGTTTGGGGGCCCATTTTATCCTGTCACCGACCAGCTTTCACAATACGGTATACGAGCACACCGCGAGGAGTTCCCCTCGGCGACCGAGGCGGCCATCGCTTGATGATGCCCAAAAGCTAAAACCATCCGGAAAGTCGAAAAGTAGTACAGTACATGGGCGGTGAGAGGAGAGACTGGCTTCGCTTTTCTTTGGCCGTTTGACATAAACTTACTGTGGTGCGAGCCCAATTGATGGGGGAATAACAGATATGGTGCAAGGTTCTTCCAAGCAAAGGGGGGAAATCATCGAAAGCACAACATTGTTGGCAATCCGACAAAACTCTTTTCCAGAGCGTTGAGATACCAATTTCACATGGTGGCGTTTCATGCAGGCATTTTACCAGGTTATACTTCCATACCCGCGGGCCTGGGTGTGATGGCTGACGTTGATACGTGACGAGATTTTTTTGCTTTGATCGTGTTGTCTTTTGTCACTTGTGTGAACGTATGATTAGTTCTTGCTTCAGTGCTGGGATTATTTTTGCCATTCAAATTTTTTTTTCCTTTCGTAGTTTGACGGGGGGATCGTCAGGGACGGGGAGGACTGACTCGTTTCCTGCTTGAGACGAGGTTACATTTCTGTATCGGGCATTTTTTCGGTATAACTTCTGTCAATGACCAAGTCTGCAATCATCACACCTGTGCTGTCGCAAATTTGCAGATTTAGTGAGCTTGGATGGCCTGACATTGGATGTCGGCTGGGATTCGACGTTCTACTTCGAGTAAAGTCGTGATATAGTTGGGGATCATTCAGTAGCTCGGGTTGCTGGAGCTGTGAATATCTCGAGTTGAATATGATGATTTATTTTATTCATTTCGAAATCGCTTTTCCTCTCTCGGGAACCGACATCGAGACGTATGAGCCAGGTCTATTCTTATATGTACCCACTATGGGTCTAGATCGATTACCTACAATTCTTCAGCAATTCGTCAGCTTTTCCTACAAGGGGTTGCGGCACTCTATGCCTCTAGTGATTTCCCAGGTTGGCAATTGCCGGAATCGCATTTCAATGTCTCGAAATGAAACGGGCATGGTGAGTAATGTATGCAGAGGTAAGCTTTGCCCTTCTGCAGTCAAGTTTTGCGGGGGAGTTCTCTTTTCTGGGTGACGTCCGAGAAAAGGGCCTACCCGCCGATGTTTGCTTGGCTTGATGAGGCCATGTAGATCTGGGGGTTTCCTTTACGCGACTTTAATTTTTTCTCTTGCTGGCATGGGTTGCTCAGAGCATCCGAGAGACCCTGTGTTTTAGAAGCGAGCCAATCAATATAAAAATACTGAGTCAGTAATTGAATTACACTACTGTGTAGAGGCGAGCAGCTTGCCCTTTTGGACTGTAAAAGTAGAGGTAGGATGGAGCCCTGGGCAGCTTAGGGAATTGCCATTCGGCAGCTAGCGATGAAGTTCGATCTATTCAACCCATGTAGCGCACTTGCTAGTGCCCATGTATGATGGAGTGATAGACAGTCACAAGGCAAGTCTGTAGTACATAGACACTGATGCTCGCGTATCTGAAATTGGTATAAGTCCATGCTTACATAACCGAGGGCGGTAGTAGTGTATGTAGGTTCCTCGCTTATAGCCGTCGACGTTGCAGTGATGGTGACGCGTAGGCTGGATTGCGGCCGCGCCGTCGTATAGCAGCTGCAGATAGCTAGCCGTAGATATTCCGTGCTAGATCCATAAAGGGGCAACGATGTGATGTGTGATGTAAGCCGACATGGTCCGACTCAGTCCTTTGCAGATAGCCAAATAGCATTGAGGAAATGTGCCCAAAGAGTGGCAGGGGTCCTGGGGGAATTCATTTGGCATTATTCCGTAGTATATCTTTGACCCAGGCCACAGGGCTGTCTGTTGGTCTAATGGTTCGGACCCGGGGAATCCTTCGAATGACTTGTTGAGGAGATTCATATATACTACACCGTCAAAATATTTCCCCATGGGCTGGCGGCAGCTGTAATAATGAAGAAGAAGAAGAAGAAGACATGTACAACACCAGGATGTATCTTTTTTACAAGGCAAGGGCTGGGGTCCTGGCAAGCGAAGAAACACTGAAGCACTTGGCAAGGTTGCAGAAGAACCACGTGGGATGTAAATGCCGTTGGAAGGGGTGAGGGGGACATACAGCATCGTGCATGAATTAGGGAGATTTCGTTTTTTTATTACATGGCTGTTGGCTGCATGGTAATCACCAACCCAGCAGCCAGCCAAACGTCGTAACCAAGAAAACTTCCAACGTCTTTTTTTTTTCCTCTCTTTCATTCCCTCTCTCTTTTTCGTTTCAGTGGACCCCGGGTAGGAGCGCCGCTAATGCGGGACTTAAAATTTGGGGGTCCTCAATTCCTCGCCAGGGAATCCTGGGTCTCTATGATTGCTGGCAGCTGCTGTCCACATCGCATATCGGCGACATGTCAGGGTTTAGTACGAGAGGGGAAAGAACCTGGAAGAGGGGGAGAAACGCCTTTTATGATTATTCCTCCTCTTCAATGGGCCTTGGGGATCCTCTTGGGTGCGGCATCTTTGCGATAACCGATTCCCGAAAGCGAGAAGTTTGCGAGATCGTCGCTGGTCGCCGCCGCGGCGGTTGTCATGTGGTTCACGAGGTGGATAACAAGAAAAACACTTGCACGACGCAGACCCGGAAAACTGGAATCTGTAAACTTGCTTGGGATCACGCTTTCGAGTCCCCGGGACATGGTCTAACCTATCAGCGAGCATCTGGTCACTGCTGGGAATCTTTCTCCGTCAAAGCGTCATCATGTCACGCTCGTCAGAGATTTGACAATTGCCCTTGACAGATTTTACGGAGCCCACATTTGACGGCCTTGTCCCTACACGGTAGAGAGAGGTCAAGGACTGTTTTGCTGTGTGTGTACACACGACTGCTGTAGCCTGTGGTGGTGTCTACCATGACAGCTTCAGCTCGCGCAATCTGGCGACTATCCACATGACGAACGATTCTTGCCCCCCTCCCCGTTGAACCCCAGCCAACGTTTCTCGACCCCTTGCTTTCTGGTGTACACTACTTACACAACGGCGCCAAGGCAGTAATAAGTCATCAGTCCTGACGTTGCCGGCGGGCAAGCTTGGCAAGAGTCAGTTGGTCCCCTTCCCTGACGAGACGATAAGGTGGGAGAGGTAGGTAGGTAGGTATGTACTGTAAAGGGTAGCCTGATACCGCCTACAGCCTACAGCCTACAGCCTCCTGCCCAGTCGTCCAAAGGCAGTAATAATATCGACGGTGATATGACAGAAACGAAACCGTTCCCTTGCCTGTCCCCTGGTCTCAAAAGTGTGCTTACCCTCCGTGAATAATTTCGACAGCGATCTTTTTTTTTTTTTTGAGGCACAGGTGGCACGCATGGTTACGGCGACCATGTAAAGTTTGCAAGAGATTGGGCTGTTTTGGCGATGATCGACGCACTAGTAGGGGGGTTTGCTGCCGGGATATGAGTGCAGACGCAAATACCTGATCCCACGCAATCAGTGGAGGAAAGTTCGAAAAAAAAAAAAAAAAAAAGAAAGAAAATGCTAGGGCCGACCGCTCATATCTAGGAGGGCAATGTAGGGTAAAATAGACCCGGGGCCCATCAGGTAGGTAACTGGGCACATGATCTCAAAGGTTTGTCAAACTTACGATATTCCTTTGCTTGCCATCGTTCGAGAAGGAGCCCGGTACAGGAACGGAACAGGTCGCGAGAAAAAGCAATCATCTTCCCCACCGTAGTGGGAGTTAGATACAGACAGTCTCGAGAATGGCAACGTACGGGGTGCACAGAGGGAGCATTTCCTACAAAAAGCTTGATACCTCAAAGCAAGAGTTCCGACTATTGGAGATTCGGCCTGCCGCCTCCGTCGAGGACCGCATCGAGGCGCGGCTGGTGACTGTACGCCTGAAAGACGAACCCGAGTTCATCGCGCTGTCCTCGCTGTATGGCTCGCCCTCCGAGTCGGAAAATGTCATTGTCAACGGCCGCCCAATCACCATCACGCTCCATTTGGCTCAGGCGCTGCGGCATATCCGCACCGTCTTGTTCCCCGGCTCCGCCCGCAACGGGGACGAACGGCTCCCCCCCAAGCGGCAGCAGCGAAGACCGCCGTTTTGGTTGCGGCAGTTGATGAAGGGTGTCAGCTCGATCCTGCCTAATCCCGAGGCCGAGAAAGATGTCCCGCTACGCGTATGGTTGGACGTGATTTGCGTCAACCAGTACGATGAGGTTGAGAGGTCACGACAGGTCCAGGATATGCGCCAGATATATACCGCAGCACAGATGACCGTCGGCTGGCTGGGCATGAAAACGGAGCACACGGAGGCCGGATTGGAGATCCTCATCGATATCGACAGGTGTATGCCTCCGCGATGGGGCGACCCCGGAGACCGCGAGGAGCATCCAGAGAACTACTCCCCAAAGCATGCTTGGTTCCAGAAAGTCGATTACATTTGGAAGGATGTGGAAGCCAACACGGAATCGCAACTACCGTCTTGCTGGCAAGGCTCCAACGATCTCATGAATCGTCCTTATTTCGCACGACGATGGATCCTCGAGGAGATTGCTCGAGCGCGGTACCCGGCTTTCCTGGTTGGCGATACTATCCTGTCCTGGAGAACCATCCTCCGGCTACACCGAATGCTGGAGGAAGTCAAGTATGCTGATTCAGAGAACTTCCCGAAGGTAAGAACGTGGAGCATCCCGAGATGCGCTGCCTCTCTGATGTCATCCGTCTTGAATCATTTTACTGACACTGAATGCAGAAACACCAACACTTGGTCCCCACGCTGCCCATCGAGGCAGTGCAAGCCCTTTTAGATGACTTTGCTAGGAGAAGTGCCATGGAGGATACCCAAGCGCTAGACAACTCGACCAGCTCCCAGGAGGGAAAGAGTGCTACGAGTTCCCTCCATTAAAACCACCAGATACCCACAATTTTGAGCGTTCTTCCACCATATAGATACGAAGCTGCATAGGGTAGGAGTTTTCTTTAGACGGGGATTTAATGGTTTATTTTTGCACAACTGAAGCATACAGCGGGGGGTAAGATACGTCCATTCATGGCTGGGCAAGCATTGAGTTTGCTTTTTTCTGGCTTCGTCAGACACGAGCGTAACGGAATCCTGGGAGCATCGCATGGACAGCAAATACGAATCAGAGCTGGGCTATAACGCAGCAATGAATGAAGGACTAGGCGAACGGCGTTGTCATCTATCTGTACTACTTGTAATATTTTCTCTAGAGACTCTCAAATATTTCAAGATTGCTAGATTCAGTGAGACATTCCACCTGCTCGTTGTCTTGTCGGCACAAATATTGGATCAGTGAGAGCTGTTTCCCTCCTCACATGCCGCAGCCAAACGGCAAAGTAATATCTTGGGAAGAAGCTGTGAGAAAAGTTCCCCCAGTTATGCGGCTATGTTGTAATGATAGGCATGAATATGCAATCTCTCTCCTACCTATATTCGTGCTGGAGCAATACCTAGAGAGGTGTGATTAGACGACATGGGCTCGAAATATACTAAATTAGCTCCGTCCTTCCATTCTCCCAAGCTGAAAAGAAAATCTATTTGACTAATACAACATCCGACCCGGGAATCTGGTTGACTAGATCATCGCAAGTCTGTGTGGTTTGTGGGTCCGGCGTATTAATAAAGTTAGAGTTTATGGCACCGCTTCCCGTCGCGGCCTGACTGATCTAGTTGTGCGTAAAGCTTAACATGCCCTAATCTAGACATGCTAGGCAGGTTGCTAGGCAGCTCGGGCAGGTTCCTTGGCAGGTCGAGGCAATTTGCTCAAGCAGTGAAGAAGTATGTTTCGTGAGCGCAATGTCATGACATCAATTGGCTGCCAAGACAACAACTCTGTATCATTACATCAAGCAGGCCGGCCCTCGACTGAATGTTCGTACCTATGCAGCGATGACCACTTCGTGTCAGAGTCACCACCTATTGGCACTCTCCGGTGGAAACTTTGAATCCAAATTGTAAGAATTAGCATGTGATGCTATTCAGATCTGGCATCCTCGCTCGAGGCTGGTGTATGCTCAGCATTATGATCACTCCAAACTTTCCAGCTAATCAAGTGCACGGTACCGAGAACATCAACAATATACTTGCCTAAAATAAGACAACCCCTTTTCAAATACATATTATAAATAATGGTATAAATTAATTCAGTAAAATAATCTCTGCCCCAAAGAAACAAGGGATTTTCTGCATGCCAAATTTCATTATGCCCTCGTTTCTTCTTCTTTCCCCCCTCGTACCGTCCAATTAGTATACGGGAAGTTCCAGCCCCCGGACAACAAGTGCGCTAGCCCCTAGGTGTTTGTAGTCCAGGTTCAGGTAAGCGCCCCCGCAATGTTTTCCCCCGAGTTAGGCGGCTCCCAGAGCTTTTAATGGATGTACTTTCGGCGCGCGTCCTACAATTTCCCCAAACGCCAAAAGACGCGTTTCAGCGACACCAAAGAAAAAAGACGGTCGAGAGTTGAGAGATGTGCGAACATGCCATCGCCACTGCCTGATGTGGCGACATCGTCGCCTCTGTCGTCGCCAGACTCCTTCGCTACGGCGAACGCGACACCTCCCAACCTACATGATGTCACCGTCACCGACATCAGCACGCCCGAGGATGATGGCACCCAGGTGAACTATCGCAAGGCAAAGCAGCTGCCGCCAGTAATTAAGCAGCACTGTCAAATCTATCTGGAGGAAAATCTGCACGTCCTTGGGATGAAAATGCTGGAAAGATTGCAATCTTGCAGCGGTTCAGAGAAATGGAACACTTACGGACAGAATGGCGATAACAGCAATGGCAGCGGCAGCGTCTATTGCCCACCTCCAAATCAGCTGGCCTTTCTGGGCACCCTGACGATACATCCGGACCTGACTACGCGGCCGCGAGAGGAAAATTGGACCGACGTGTCATCTGCCGCGATGGTCTACCTGCGCAGTGTCTTGCAGACAGTCGGCCCCATCAATGCCCGGTTTCAGGAAGCGTTCCAATTCGGGCAGAGCACGCGGCGGTCTCCCAACGGAGACAGCTCGGATGCCATGTACGATGCCGGCGGCGCACCACAGCTCCATGGCAGGTACGGCAAGAACAGCGTCTGGCGACGGGGACAAGACTTCTTCAATGTCGTCGGCTGGGCGTTCAACTGCAGCGTCCTATACCCCAACCGATGGGAGTACTGGCGCCAGTGGCTCGAGTTTATGTGTGACGTCCTCGAGGCGGATATACTAGAACGGGCACGGATTGACGAGGAAGAGCATGACCGTGCTGGTGGCGAGGAAGGCGAGTGCTCGTATGCAATGCTCTCTAATTCCATATTGGCAGGTTACCTCAATCAGTGCGAGAGGAAACGTACCAATGGCGCCAAGTCGCTCATGGCTGTCATCTTCGCCGACGGTCAGACCTCGTCGGCCAGGCAGTTCCAGGAAATTTGGGACAAGGAGCACAAGGGAATATCACGAGACAGGATCGTGAGAAAACGTAAAAGAAAGGTCAATATTGAAAAGGGTGATTTTGGTGGGCTGCTTGACGACGACTCAGTATACTCGTCCCAGAACTCAGAGCCACCACCTACGCCTCAAAAGCGGAGGAGCGGTTCGGAATCTCCTGCTCTACAAACTTCCTACGTGGAGTCGATTGCGCTACGGCAGCGGTTGTTTTACTTGCTATCCTATCTGTGCAACTTCCTACCCAAGCCACCGATCTCACTTCCGGACCTCTACGAGTTTTACGAGAGGGAGATTCGACATCTCCCTCTATCCATCTTCACAGCCTTTGTCGATTCCACCACGTCGTCGCTTCGGACGGATAGCCAGATTTCCATCCTCCAGAACATACTTTCGTTGTACATGCCAAACACATCTGTGAAACCTTCCAAGGTAGATCCGGAACGGTATGATGTTAACGGCACCAGTCCGGCGATCCTTGAGCGCTGTTTTCTGCCGTATGCAGCCTACGCGCTAGCTGCTGAAGAAAACGCCAAAGTCAGCGTTTTGCTTGAAGAAATTGTCAAGCTCGTTTGGACAGTAGGGACTGAACCATTCAGCGACAAGCTACTGGATCAGGTTAACAAGGGAATCAAGGCTCGTGAGGCCCAGGTCAAGAAGAAAGTTGGTGGTACGAGAGCACGGCGCAGCGAACCAACGCGGGAGGATCCAGATCTACTAGAGGCCAAGACGCTGCTGCAAGAGAGCTCCAAGAGACTTTTGCAACTGGCGGAATTGATCATGGACGAAGCCGACGAAGGGCAGACCGACGAGGCTGACGAAATGGACCATGGTAAGTCGCGAACAGGCGCGACCCAAAGGACTTGTTTATTTGGTGCTAACCTACGATAGACATGGCGGAGGTATCGTACATGACGGCCCGGAGTTCTTAGGAAGATTCCGTTATTGCTCCAAATGATACCCGTCAAAAATCACCGGAGACCGATGAAAAGGAAGCTTTGCCGCCAGAGAGAAACTCATTGCCAAAGGAAAACGAGGAAAGTAAGGAAAACTTGGCGCCAAAGAAGAGGCAGTTTGACAATGTCAGTCACGAGCCAGAAAAAGAACAACAAGGGCAAGCAACTCATCGGCCTAGAAAGCGGCCCAAGTCACGAGGTATCAGTGAGCAATGCCCAACACAATAGACTCGTGGATGATACCCCTACTGTTATGCAAGGACGGCGTTTTTGAAAGTTATTGTCTTGTTTACTGGCGTCATGAGAGTCGTGGGATTTGTTACGGGGACTAGACTATGCCGTCGAGGGAATATGCTTCTCCCTCCCGTACTGAAGGATAGATGTATGCTACAAGTATTGGTACATAAAAGATAATGGTCTCTGTGTCGTAATTCGATTATCACCTTCTTCGCGAACTCGTTGGTGTCCAGGCTGTTGGCTGCCAATTTTCACCTGGCCCGCTTGCCGCCTTCTTCCAGGGATCGTCCTTGACTTCCGCCTTGTCTTGAGCGGGTGCATCCCGCAGGCCCTTCTCTTGCAAATTCTGCTCAGCAGCCTGCTCCTGCGGCTGCGTCTTGCCAGTATCGAGCGCGGGTACGGGCTGGCTCTTGGGGCCGGCACCGGGAGGCATATCGGTCAGGCTTGGCTTGGCTGCCCATCGGGCGTCGGCCTCGGCGGCGAGTGTCTTCATGCGATCCTGGCGGGCAACATCGGCGGCCTGCTCCGTCAGCGAGGGGGGGTCTTCGCGCTGATGCCGCAGCCACTGATGCCATTGCGGCGGCACCGTCACGTCCGAGAGATGCGTCGACCGCGGGTATTGTACGATGCGCCGCCAGCGCAGTGTTCGCGGGTCGACGTTCTTGTCTACCCGCTTGTCCCGAAACGTCCAGTATGTGTTACCGCGGAGATCGAGGCCTGCAGTGAAGGGAGAAAGAACCAGACAGTTAGTAGTGCTCAAGTCTGTGAATATAAAGAGGCTCGAGGCAAAAGTCGCAACGTACCAACCAGGAAGCGCTTCCGCCACGGCAGCCGCAGCATCTTCCAGCGATACCATGCCCGCAAGATGGGACTCAACTCTGGTATTGGCGACATGTTTGCTGGTAGGGGGGTTAGAGCGGATATCGGAGGTTTTACAAAAGTGCCGTTCCTACTACATGGTCATGTACACGCAGGTAATTGAAAAAATTGGCTCCATTCGCGGAATCCGTCGCCGTCTTTACCTCTATGATGATGGCAATCAATTATTTTGGGCACCGCCACAGCGCGAAAGCTGTAGGTAATCGATAGGCCGTAATTCCGTCATTTCTGATTCGTAGTCGGCGCCACGATTTAACAGCCAGGGGGTCACGGCTCGGCCACTAGTCCCTATAGTGGGTTTAGCCTCCCTAATAGTCCCAGCCACAAGGGTTCAATTAGAGGAGGCTTGTGCTTTCTTCTTTTTCAATTAAGGAGAGGACTGTTCTTAATAAGCTGTACGCTGTCAGATGCGAGATGCAGCGACGTTAGGCACAAAACGAGACGCTGACAAGTTGATTATAGTGGGGTGGGACGGCCCCGACGGGCCCTTCCCCTAAGCCGTTTCGGCAGGCCAGTGAACCAAGAAAAGTGCCTGTTCATTCAATTTCTCCAGCAGGTAGCTGGACCTGGCTTGCCTGGAATGTCACAGTGGTTCCCCCCTCCCCTCCCCTCAGCTATCGGCTCCCCTCGGCGCCTATTACTGGGTACCCTATTGTCGCCAAATATTTATCATGTTTAAATCTCCCGGACTCCGTTTTTTCTATGCGCCCGACGTCGAAGCAACTTCCCAGAGAGTGGATATTTCATCAATGATTACTGTTGCCTCATTACAATAAACAAGTTCGATCATCTTCGAGAAAATACATCCCCTGAATCGGTAAATGAGGGAAAACGAGGCGAGGACACTATTGTTATTTTTACTGGCACTCCGCATCCCAAATTAGCACCCTTTTCTGCGCGCGCCCCCACCAGTGACCTCACTCCCGGTCCGTCATATTCAATCAATCAATCACTCCTTCTATTGATTGTCCTTTCTCTTCCCGCTTGCGCCGGAGCAACAAACTCAACTTATTACCTACATTCATATTGCGACGCCAAACCAACCAACGACTACATTAAGCAAATACGTTTGCGCTCCCCCTCCTGAACTGCAATCAACTAATCCTAATCCGATGACCGTCCGAGACGAGTAAATGTTGGGCGCGAATATACGATACCAGAATTCCTAGTTTCGAGTACTACATCAGCAGCAGCAGCAGCAGCGCAACAATATGGCGTCTGTTTCCTCCTTGGACAAAGACTTGCGCATGTCGCGCTCAGCCAGGTACACGCCTGCCGCTGCCAATGAAGCCCAATCTTGGATCGAGGGCGTGTTGGGCGAGAAACTCGCCGGCAAGGACTTGTTAGAAGGACTCAAGGATGGCGTGGCGCTGTGCAAGTATGACTCCTCCCAACCTCCTTTCCCTCGACAGCGACTATCGCAGTCTCCTTTTCCAAAAGATAATCATGTCTGAGTGTATACTAACTGTGGTCCTTTCAGATTGGTCAACCTCGCGATTGGCGCGCCGGGCGTCAAGTTCAAGAAGTCCGCCATGCCCTTTGTGCAAATGGAAAATATATCGCATTATCTCCGGGCCTGCAAATCACCACCATTGAGCCTTCCCGACCACGACATGTTCCTGACGGTCGACCTCTTTGAGAGAAAGGACCCGGCGCAAGTTCTCCAGTGCCTTGGCGCATTTTCTCGCGCTGCGCAAAAAGCCAACCCTTCTGCGTTTCCCACCTCGATCGGAGGTATTGGCGGCAACAAACCGCGCGAGGGTGTCATATCGCCGGAAAGCACGGGCACTCCCGGTAGGAGCCGGGCGCTGTCCAACGTCTCTCAGAGTTCGTCTTCACTGAGCGTTCGACCGGCGGCGCTCGTGCCTCACAAGACGGGCTCCTCGACGGGCTCTGGACGGTGGGGCTCCAACAACAAGAGTCCCACGATCGATCGCGTCGGGTCACCCGGTGTGAGCAGCTGGAGCAAGAAGTTTGACGAGGGAGTTACTAGCCCCGCGTGGAATATCGCTCAGTACGGTTACATGGGCGGCGCGTCGCAGGGCAACCTCGGCATCGCTTTCGGCGGACGTCGCCAGATCACTAGTGCTGCTCCGCTCGTACCGAATGCCGCCGAAAAGGAGCGGCGCCGGAAACAGCAGGAGGCTGAGGCCGAGCGACAGCGTCAGCAGATGCAAGAGGAAGAGCAGAGGCGCAAAGCCGAGCTGGAAGCCGAAGAAGAGCGGAACCGCTTGGCAGAGGAGAAGCGCTGGGAAGAAGAGACTCGGAAGCAGCGTGACGAGGAGAAGCGCAAAGCCGACGATGAGAAACGTAGGTGGGAAGAAGAAGAGCGCCAGTGGAGACTCACCAATGAGAAGCGCCGTCAAGAAGAGGAAGAGGCTGAAGCGAGAATAGTTGAAGAACGTAGAAAGTCTCAGTCGTCGCACAGCAGAAGCAATTCGCAGCTACAGGGACAGTTCTTGAGCCAGTACCAAGCAGAACAGGGTATCAAGCCTCAAGGAGCCGGCGGATACGCCGAGCGCATCAAGGCACTGGAGCGAGAGTTGGAGCTTGCTCGACAACGAGAGCAAGAATACGAGGAAGAACGACAGCGCCAGCAGGGAACCAAGAACCGAAACCGATCACGCAGCCGGCCCAGACTTCAGGATAGGACGCCAAGCAGACAGGACTCGTGGTCGCGTGACGAGCGTGAGGTGCTCAAGACCCAATGGGATCGCCACCAAGAAGAGCAAGCGGCCGGCGTCAAAGCTCCCGCGCTGCCGAGCCGTCCGCTGCCGGACCCCAAGGTTAGTTCTCCGCTAAAGCCACAGCGTACCGGCGAGGCGCCGCCACCTACTCTCCCCTTGAGGACCCAGCGTACCGGTGAGGCTAGACCCCTCCCAGGAACCCCGGAGAAACCAAAACCTAACAGCGCGATCAAGTCGCCCCCATCTAGCGGACGACCACTGCCAACACCTGCAAGTCCCAACTGGGCCAACCGGAACAACCGGACGGATAGATTTCTTGCCTCTAACCCAGCCCCCAAGAGCCCACCTGTGCAACAAACTTACTCTCGCGAGCTTGGATCTGGCGCCGAACAGGATGCCGAGGACCGACGACGTATGCAGTCTCAATCCAAGACAAAGGCCGGTGGTTGGGCTGGAAAGTCGTTGTTAGAACGCGAGATGGAGATGGAACGGCAACGTCAAAAGGAGTGGGAGGCCGCTCAGGAGGAGACTGCCAACACTCCTCGGTCCCGCGAAGGCGTGGACGGAATCGGAGGCGGTATCGGTGGGAGATGGGATGTCAGCCAATGGAGCGGGTTCACGGGTGGTGATAGCCAGAACAATGTCGGCACTGGTATTGGTGCCGGCCGGAGACAGATTGTCGGGCCGAGACCTCTGCCTAACAGGCCATAGATAGAGTGAAAGGTCGACCCTGTCACATTAATCTTGGCTGTCGAATCCTCGGGATGATCCACCGTGTTCTACTGCATCTGGGATGAGTAAAATCATGGTTGATGGGATAGATATTGAGAAGACAAGATTAATAATAACCCTTTCTAATTCCAACCTGTCATGTTATAAGTGATCCTGTAAAGCTTTCATGTGTCGTCGTAATACATACCTACGTACCCTGCCGGTCTGTTTGTAGGCTCGGCGTGATGCAGAAAAAGACCTTGTTCATTTGAATGTACCAACAAGAACAGAACTTTGATCTCCATGGCAGCGGAGTCTTGTTTAGTCTTTGAACCACTACTGAGCCAAAGACTTGTTTTCTCATCATCTTTCTGTACCTTTTTACTCATTTCCCTTTCCCAAATTCGTTTTTTACCATTGTTACCTGTACGTATTGTTGGTTTCACTTTCCACAAACTCGAGTTCAAGACCTAATTAAACAGAAATTTCCACTGCTGAGGTGAGTATGAAATAGACGTAAAGCATCAGACAGCAAAGGGGCGTGAGCTGCCGTCAGCAACGTGCTTTCAGAGGTCGGACATGAGGCCCCTGTAAAGAGTGACTGGTAACCTCAAAATGCAACTAGGGCAAATAGACCGTCTCATATTTTCTTTTCAGCCCGCCTCATGGAACCCCGGAACCTAGTTCCGGGCGGCACGAAATGCATGCAAATTGTTTGCAAGAAGCCGTCTCGCATGTCACGTTCTGTGCAACCATACGGCTGACCTCTGGATACTGTTCATCGGGGCAAACAGTGATGACCTACAATTCTCTTCTGAGAGTTGGATTTTTTTATTCTCCCGCCAAGCTTTTGATTCTGATTATCATCAGTTACGATAAACAACAGACATGTCCATGTAAAGAGAGAAATTCTCAATGGAACTTGATGCCAGCGTGGACGTGACCACAGAAATCGATCAGATACTTTTCTTCTCTCTACAAGAGCACGAGTAAAAATGTTTGTTGCCTATCTTTACCACGGGCAGCAACGAAGAGATCATACTCAGCAACCAGCAAAATGTTTCTCGTCTACGGATACGATAACCACGCCTTCACCATGGACCTGTCCCATCTTGATGCCCATGATACATGGTATCTCCTCGACGACTTTCACGAGGCTTTCAGTCCCATGAAATTGTCGGAACTTCCAGGACGCCCTTTGGAACCGGATCGCAGGCACAATAATGAATGGAAGAGGATCTTTGACAGATTCGGCGAGCCCCAGATACTCCACAACTGTACAATAAAGCCCGAGGGCCCCAAAGGCATCCATGTCCAGACCGTCTCGGGAAGAGACGTCGATGCCTACCACGAGGTGCAGCGCGAGATGGCGCTGGGCTGCCTCTCGACGCCCTCATTCGAGGTCCTTTCGGAAAAGCGAAGCTATAAAGAATTCATCAGGGGGGTCTTTTTCCGCTACTACATGAATCACATCAAGCACTGGATCGAGAATGAAGCGCACATATACTCGGTCGCCGTCGACGGCCGCGTCCGCGGCGGCTGCCTGGTCGAGGAGATCAGCCGGCGCACCTTGTCGTGGCGGTACTCGGACCTCCCCCACGGCGAGACGGCCGTCAACGGGCTGTCGGGCGTCCAGGACATGCAGGACTTTTGGAACGCCGACCAGGCCCTCAACATGGTGCGTACCGAGCACGATGTACTCAAGTGGCAGCGCCTTATGAATGACGATAGGCCTTTTTGGTGTAAGTCGCACCCTGCTTCTGAATAGCTGAATTCTCTGAGAGAGAGAAAAAAAAAAGGTTGCCCAAAGTCAAGGTAGTAATAACATTCCCACGTCCTAGATTTGACGGGCATTCACATTGGCCAGGGCCAGTTTCGCGGGTCCCGGGGCCTGGAGACGGCCCTGCTGCGCCAGATCATCCGGGCCAAGGGCGTCGACTCGGCCATCTTCGTCTTGTGCGAGCACGATAACGTCGGGCTCTACCGGTCGGAGGGGTTCGTCAAGGTCGACTACGTGCAGATGCGGGCCCGGCGGCTGCGGGAGAACACGGCCAAGCGGGCGGGCGATCCGAACCGGACCCATTTGTACACGACGCTCTCGGGCATGTGGAGGCCGGCCGACCGTGAGAGCTCCCGCTGCGCCGTCGATCGCGGGGAGAAGCCGAGGCTGTACCGGCCCGGGGTGGCTGCGCTCTTTACTGGACATGCAAGCAGGTTTATTTGATGGACTTGGTTCGTTCAAGGGGTTGGAGGGTTGAAACCGACACATGACCCGTGATGACCATCGAGGTGCAGTGACCATGACTGCTCGTTTGACGAATTGACGTTCAATTATCGTTTCAAATAGCGCTACATTTGATATGAAGATATTGCAATATTAAGTGATGTGGTGTTGCCCTTGGCACGAAATATGGAATAGATCACATTGGTACTAGGTTGATAGATATTGACCGTCAAAGATCGTGTAACATGAAATGAGACCTATCCAATGAACAAGGCAAAATTATGTAGGACATGCTTGGCATCCAGAGAGAGGTTTAGTATTACAATGACAGAATTCTCCTGTCAATCCTTTACTGATTTGTAACCAACTACATTCTATCCAGGCAGCTCCAGGTGAGTGACTTATATAGATCATGGAAGAAGGACCTGTCGATGGTCATCATTCGACCTCAACTTCCATTATTCTACACGGACTCACTCAGTATACTGAATGTAAGCTCATCTTGCGACGAACGACTTCCTTGGCCTACGAATTAGGCGATTTCGTCTTCACTTGCGTCTGAAAGGAGGGCAACTTCATGGACCAACAATCGCCTCTATTCAACAATCATCTTGTGAGATGATGAGAATCGAGGCAACTATTGCCTTGTTGTCACTCATATCAGTCATGCAGTAATAAATCACATTATAGGATGCTGTTACACTCACATCAAATTATGGCTATCAAATCAAGGGATCATGAGCTCTAATGTCTATTCAAATTCAAAATTGTAAAGAAAAGGAGAATTTCATTTCGTATGGTTTGTCTACCTAGTTCCAAGCTATGGTACGGATATCATATGTAAAACTGTCGCAACTCCCGCAAAGTCCCAAAAAAGTCATCTTTCTCGACAGGGTCTTTTTGCCTGGAGTCTTCTTCTCTTTCCCAAAGCCAATCAATCAATCGAAAATGTCGTGACGACAAGTTTGATTTCTTCTTTCCCTCCCATCCCCAGCTCCAGTCCATGGGTGGTGGTTTTTGTTTTTTTTTCTGTTTTATTTCCTCCTCTTCCTCTCTTGTTTCTCCCCAGTCAATGAATTCCCTGAAAACCCCCCGCCCCCAACATCATGCGCAGCCCAAGGGGTATCAAGTAAGTCAACTTAGCTATCTACGATTAGGAACGGGGAATCTTTCATGTTCCATATATCGACAATGAAAAGAAAAAAAAAAGGAAACGGAAAATCAATGTTGTGTGATGTTTTTTGGCGGTGGTGTGGTCTTTTCGCTTCGTTTGCAAATCCCACTCCTTACCCAACTTTCCAGTCTATAGGATCATATACCGAGTCATCATATGCGGCGTATCAAAAGTCTTTTTTTTTTCTTCGTGAAAAAGGGCGGAATCACATGGATCTTCTAGATCATGTTCAGGCTGTCGAACTGCGGCTCAATGACCTGTGGTTGTTGTTGTTGATGATGATGCTGTTGCATCGGTTGCGGTGTCGTCATGGTTGTAGTTGTTGCTGGCAGCGCCGGCATGGGAGTCGGCGTGACTGCCATCGAGGCAGTCGTGCCCTGGGGTGTCTCTGGGGTGCCTGGTTGTTGAACCTCTACTTTGGGTCTGGCCATTTGCGATGCGGCAAGGGCGCGCGAGTGGCTGCTCTCGCGGCGTCGCTTGGGTGCATCCTTGATCTTGGGATGGGTATGGCACTGTGTATACTGTTAGTATTTCTTTTCTTGTAGTCATGAACTCGAAAGTCGGCAGATTTTACCTTGTAAGCATGTCTGAACCAAGTGGTCCCCTTCTTCTTGCTGCTCACCAAGGCGATCCAGTCATTACAGCTGCCACAGAGACCCTCCCAGACGTCTGGATTTCCATCCATGCGCCGAGTTTCCTGAGGCTCCTGGAACGGGTTGCCCGTGGCAGCACTAATGCCATGGGTGAAACTCTTGTCATACCAAAAGGCAGAGTTCTTGAGCACCAGCCATCGGCCGGGTTTGCAGATACCGCACCAGCCCTCGCGCTTGTTGCCGTGGCCACGGACCCATCTAGGTGTGTAGAGATCACCCTCGAAACGTAGTTCTTGCTCGTGGGGAACCATGTCCGGGTCTTCGGGGTTCATATCTTCGGGCGGCGGCGGGATCTGTTCCTCGTGCAGGGAAGCAAACAGATCCGGCGGGTCAGACAGATCAGTGTAATGGCCATGTAACGAGTGTGGGTCTGCGTTGCTCTGAAGCATCCTGAACAGTCCGTGCGACATCAATGGCGGTGGGGTCTCAAAATGATGGTGCAGTTCAGGATGGAAACCATTTGATGGCACTTGCGATGGTAGCTGTGATGGCAAAAGCATGCTGTTGCGGAAGGCAGGGGCATGTGAAATCAGAAAAGGTTGCTGCTGAACCTGCTGGACGTGCTGAATAGCCTGGAGATTACCAAAGTTGAGCGGAAGCGGGTTTCCAGAAATCGTGGGAGACGAGTGCCTTGATGCCATGCGAGCGCCAAAGGGATCGTGCGTGTGGTGATAAACAAAGGGCGATGGCCTGCGGCTAGGTGTGGTGCCGTAATTGCCCGTAGACCATCTCTTGTTTCTTGCACTGCTGTCAACCGTGTAAGGTGCAGATCGCACGCCGCCTGGCCGAGGCGACGGAGAGGCTCCGCGGCCACGACTCTGCGTACGCACCAGCTCTGAGCGGCTCTGGGGGGTCATACGAGGGGATGCTACGGGAGAGAGCTGAGTGGACGACATCATCGAGTTCCTGTTCGAGGTCGGAGGGTAATCTGAGAACGAGGGAGCTTCCGAAAGTGCCGAGGAGAACTCGTCGTACGATGGCATGTCCGAAAGATTGCCCGACGTTGACATGGTGAATGATGATCCAGACATGCGGCGATGAGATAATCCAGTCTCAAAGTTGAGTCCTCCTTCTTGCTCCATGGGACCTCCTTGGTATCTCAAATCAAGAATCGGAATAGCATCGTCAGTTGTCAGCGCTTGGCCAATGCTCATATCAGTATCCAGGCCATGAGCTTCCATGCTGTCCTCGCACGACTTCATACCCCATGGATCTGTCCCATGCGTCAGTCCTCCTGAAGTGAGCCCACGCCAGGTTGACTCACTGCTTTCCATGGTAGTGACGGGATAAAAGTCCTGGTGCATGGAAACGGGTCGTGACAAGTCCTGGTGCATCGAGACAGGTCGAGACATTGTATCACTCGGTGTCATTGCTATGCTGCTCGTCTCCCACGAGGGGATCGTGCTGTAGTCTTCGCCGAGGCAGTACGAGAACCCTTCGTGAATAGTTGCTGGCCGAGGTCGCATGCCCTGGGATGTTGGCGTCGTCCACATGCCTGTAGGACCAACCATGCCCTCCGACTTTCCTGGCATCTCATGACCATTCATTGTGATGAGGGGAGCTGGAGTTGATGTTGGTGCGTCCCTCATGAAGTGATTATTTAAGTTGAAGTTGAATGCAGGTGCTTGGAGCTGCTGATGCTGCGCTTGCCTATGTAGAGTGGGTGAGCTTTAGGGGTAGCAGTGATATATTATCAATAAGTTAAGCATACAGTTGTGTCTCCTTTGAGTCCATGGCAGTGAATGGACTCGGGAGTTGATTGACAAGGGAGTGAACGTGGTTTAATCTATGCTGTGGGAGGGAGCTGGGTTAGCAGTTGACTAGGTAGGATATAATCAAGGACTCTATTGTGCCTAGTCGAGCGAGAGCCTTTCATGGGTCCACCGAGGCCACGAATCCATGCCAATTCTGGGATCAACCCTTCGAGACGCGCGACTTACTCAGTAATAAAAACAACATGGGAATATGACCGTGAACAAGACGACGGGATAATCTGCCGTTGATGGGCTATGGCTGGTAGGCCGGAGTGGTACTGGGTAAAGGAACGCGTTGATCTAGAGCCTTATAGCGATAATGACTGCGGGGCGTCTCGGGTCGACGGTGACAAGGAGCGTATAGATTTTGTTCTTTCTCTCTCTCTTCCTCTTTCTCTGTTCGATGGATTAAGTGGTATAGACTTCTGATCGTTGGTGTGCTTCCGTGTGCGAGAAGATGGTAAATGAGTGTGGTGAGAGATGTCCGGAGGAGAACAACTCTTTACGGTAGGTCTTGCAGGCAACACTTGTGGACAGGTACGTCCAGGTGGGAAGAGAACCAGCTCAGAGTATTATAGACCAGAGGGGGAATAATAAGGTGTCTTCTTAAACAAGGAAGATAGGGAAAAAAAGGAGCGACTAGTAGATCAATCGAATAATAGCGGGCACTGTGCTAAAGAGGGTGGGCGAGGCGGAAGAGGAGCAGAAGGGCCAGAGCAGAGGGGGGCGGTGCTGAACCCTGAGAGGTATGTATAAAAGAAGTACGCAGTGTGGGAATTGGCATCATCCATGGATCGATACTCAACAACTCAGCAGGGACTCCAGGTTGGGTTGGGTGATGTCCGGAACATCGGTAGGGAGCTAAGCCGGATTCCCTGACACACAAGCCTGGCCACGTCTGTGAGGTAGAGGGTAAGGTAGAGATGGGGAATGGGTGTGCGAGGGTGTTCTTGGCATGCTACTGAAAACAGACATGGACGATGATGATGACGGGGACCAGGAGTTCCGCAAGGATTTGCAAAGCGCAGGGTTCATCGGGGAGGTGTAGTTACAACAAAACCAACCCAGCCCAGCCCAGTTCAGCGATGATGTGGTTAAGGATAGTACAGGATACCCGGAGGAGACGGGGGGGTAACCTTGACATGAAGGAAATCATATACACTTACCAGGGGCTGCCCCAGTTAGAGCGCCCAGGACAGGGGACGGTGCCTGATTGGGAAGACCACTTGCGGGGAGAGGGCCAGAGAGAAGCCCCGATTCGATATTGACATGTGGATAGAGCTCTGCAAGTAAGAAGCGTACCTGACTTGCGCGTGCGTAGTGGCAGTGTACACGGCACTTGCAACAGAGTAATTGAACAAACCTCGGATGGGGAATAGACGGTTTCCTCCCGCTCTCTTTGCCTTGTCATGTTTGCTGTTTAGCGTATTGAGGACTGACTAAAGTAGTAGAGAAAAGCACCAGAAGTTGGATTGTGCCCATGTGGCCTGTGGAGGTGGCTTGTCTCACAATAGCAGCACGGAGTTGAGAATAGGACTAAACAATATGATAATCGCCGATGTGACTGGAGGGAAAGCCTGTGCCTGCCGACTGACCGTGCCCCAGCTCTAGTCGGCCAGCCAACTACGAGAACAGATGGAAATATGACACATGGGAATGATGATTCCTTTTCTTTTTCGTTTTCTCTTTTGAGCTGAGATGGAGAGGACCCAGCTTTCGACAGACGGGCGTAAGTCCTTGCGAGCCTGCGGGACCAAACAAGTAGAGGGGCAGGAAGAAAAAAAAGTAAGTCTTTTTTTTACAGTATCGTATGACACAATGTCGATGCAACATCGGTCGGATACGTCGATCTGGAGAATGTCAAATCTCAAGAAGCGTAAGATCCTGGCGCCAGGCGCTTGTCTCCGCGGGCGATCAGGATTACCGAACCGAGGGGCACGATCTCCAGTAGTGCCGCCTTGCCCGGTGGATGCTGATTTAATTCGCAAAACCAAAAACGGGCCATCTAGAGAATCGACGGCGCAAAGTTGGGCAGGACGGACAACCCACGCCGCACACTGGCGGGCGAAAGGTTCACCAAGTGGCCTTGGACAAAAAGAATTGGTGCAGGACCTAACGAACAATGAGGCCAAAAAAGGTGAAGCAAAGCAGGTACTACTGCCTGCACCTACATACATCCTATCAGGTAAGCTGGAAGAGGCAGGAGTTGCTGCTCCACCATGATGGATTCCGAACAGGAGGAAAGGGAAGAAAGGGAAAAAAAAAGTTGTTACCAGGATTCCTCAGTCTCCTCGAGAGCCGTATGGACAGGCAGAGCTGGTCCTCTGTCGAACCACGGAGGACGATCAAGGATCGCTGCGTTTGGTAAAAACGTCTCGAACATCGTGCTGTAACCCTATCTGGAGGCTCTAGTCCAGTCAAGTCCATCCATATACAGCAAAGGTAGGTAAGGTACCGTACCGTACCGTACGTACCACACCCGGCCTGCCTCACTTGCAAGCACGCCCAGGTGTTTTCAAACATGACGACCCCACTGGGTGCCCTGAATAGTATTGAACAGAACAAAGGAACCTCTTGATGGTTTGGTAGAAGTACTCGTCGTCAATCAACTCCAGGATGTGACCAGGAAATAGAGTTTGGCCGACGAGAATGAAGGGAGATACGCATCTGATGACCAAGAAGCTTGCGCCTGCTCTTAATTAGAGACGAGAGCAATATGTTAGAGATCATACTCGCGCAACTGGCCGCGAGGGCAAGAGGCTGTGTGTGCAGGCGGCTGTTCCAGGTGGTCCGACTGGAGACGAACAAGCCCTGCAAGGACGGGGGCATTTGGGGGGGCTTTCTCAGGGGGCCTGCGATCATTGAGGATGGATGATGTTCTCTCTTTGGCCAGCAGAAGCGAGCACGGAGTACAGTACACTCGCGAAAGAGAGGGAGATAGAGTGAGAGGGCTCGGCAGACATGTAGACAATTCAAGAGATCGCGAGAGCCATAGCCGTCCGCACCGGCGGGGGTGACTTGCTATCAGATTGGACAGAATGGGCAGCGAGCGAGGTTTCAAAGTAAGCGAAAGCAATATCCTCGGTTAGTACAGTACAGACAGACGGTAGGTATGTAGAAGACGCCACAAAACGCAACGCAACGCAGCAGCAGCAGCAGCAGCAGCAGCAATAGCACTGCTCGAACAAAGTGAGTTATAAAATCCACCATCTACCTACTACAGCCTGCTGCTGCTATAGTAGTAGGTTAGTAGCTTGGCCGAGACTCGCTGTACTCTTCAGAGATGGGCCGAGTAGTAGGTAGTGGTTGTTGGAGCTAGAGGGAGGAATGGAGGGTATATGCGCTGCCGTAATAATGATGATAGCAGCAGTAGCCAAGTTAAACCTGCAGCAGCTTTCGTGAAAGGAACCCCAAAGAAGAGGCGTCAAATGGCGCGACGGGAACAGTGTACTGCTCTCTGTGCCTCTCGCCTTTCTCTTTGCTCGACGTTGTCGGATGGACGCGTTTGAGGTCAGCGTTGGGAGGTGGGTGGGGTCGCGACTGATTGGCGAAAGAGTGGATGCAGGGCCTGGGCTGCGCTAGGCTACTTTGCGGTCTAGGGCGCAGCTGCAGGGGGGAGACCCGCGTATCAGATCAGACTTCTGAAACGCGATAATCCCTCCATGGCTCCTCTTTTCAGCCCTTCTAGGCCCTCAACGAGTCCAGCTTTCAGACACCCGTCGATTCCGTGGAAATGACCGACGGCTTGCTACTGCTTCTTTTTGAACTTTTGAACAACGGAAAACTTTCTCTTGGTTTGGTTTCCCATCTCCATTCTTTTCCTTCTTTCTAGTCGAAAGCCGAGTCCTTTTTTCTTTCTTTACATATATGAACCAAAGTTACTAAATATAACCATGACCTAAAGGCTCTGAAAGAGACACAGACATCATCGTCTTTCGCGGCCGGCCATTCGGTGCCATCGATGTGGAGATAGGTACCTAGTATACACGGATGGATGTGTGTGCAACCTATATGAGAATTAACAAATATACTATATACCACTGTATTCGACGAAGGTTTACTTGACGTATGTAAGCGCGGGCAGATCCGACACTTTGACAAGACAAAAGATGCAGAAAGTAAAATAAATCAAAGGAGATAAGAAAAAAAAAAGAACAATCATCTGTACCTTTGACAAATTTTGGGAAAGGCCACCAAGTAATTTGGTCTCGGTAAGCAAGCTGACACTCACGATCCTTTGCCGTCGAGGCTAGACAATGATTGGGTATGCCTCGGCGTACTTCTGCTGCTTGTCCTGTTGGCCCTCTTTTTGGTGTTTAGGTGCAAGCCACATTACTGCTGCTACTGCTATTGCTACTGTTGCTACTACTACTACGAAACGATGCTCCCATTCTCTCTACATGTCTTTCGTCCAAGTCTGCTCAAGGTATGTATCGACTGGTTCTCAAAGATTCTAGACCTTCCCCATCTGTGTAATGGCACGTCAGAGGCCTGCTTCAACGTGCAGTAGTGTGGTCCCAGCCGGCAATCATATCAAACGTCAAATGGGGCATCATCTGGCGCAAAAGAAACGTCAATTGCTTAAGCTTCTTTTTTTGATTTCCCTTTCTCTTCCTTCCTTTCTGCAAATGCACAGTCATCTTTGGACAGTCTCACACCCCCTTTGATCAAACTCCACGCCAATCATTATCGAAAGGGCCGAACCCATGGACTTATGGCAGCTGGGATCTCTTGGGGGAGGTTTTCACAGTAGGTACCTAGGTATGCATGTCTGTCGCAAATGGCCCGACCTCGAGAGTGCTTGTCATCTATGACTGGCTATGGGAATCTGGGTTCACCATGCAAGAAACCAATGCGGATGCGACGCTGCTTTGGAGATCCTTCTTCTAGGTTGGGGGATCCCTCTCTCTTCTTTTTCTTCCCCTCCCAACACGACAATATATACCCAGTTATTTCTTGGTAGTATTTCGATTAGAAAATGCAGCAAGCAGACGGGAAGTGGTTCCCCGGCACGACGGCGTCTTGAACAACTGTTCATGATTTGCCACTGCCTTGGAGGGACGCCCCCGGCTTGCAACACCCGGGCTGGGCCAGTCAGAAAATCGTAAGCTATAGCATGACAGGCCTTGTTCAATATCTTGTCTGGTCTGGTCCGTCTTGGGGGACGAACGGCCAATTGGCCAGCTGGCCACTTATACGCTACGTAGATGCACACGCTTATTTTTTTGCCCCCTTCCTTGCTGCTAGGAACTCGGTTCCGTCTAGCTGGATGGATGATCGATATAATGATACGATCGGGGGGCCGCCCACCCACGCGTTGCGCCCGCCCGCCGCTTGCTGCTCCAAAGAAAGAAACAACCGGAAATTAAATCATGGGAAACTTGACGCATGGCCGACCTATGTTCCCGCCCAGTCCGCTATGGGGTGGAGGGGACCATGGCGGCGGATATTGGTGACAGATGGGCGTCTTTATTCCGCAGACAAGACCGGCGCTCAGACGATATACTGGACATTATGCTATCAATATGGTCAAGTACCGTAGCCTGAAGCGGGAGAAGCACCAGAACGTTCTGCTTTGATTCCTTTTGGGTCCTCTGTTGCGGAACCGTTTGTTCATCCGTAGTGGCCGCGCCAAGTTGCAACCAAGACCAAGGAAAACCGTTCAGATTCATATAGACTAAAGTAGCGCATAATGTTCTGGTTGGCTATGGGAAGTGGGAAACAAAAGAAAAAAGGAACTCACTGAATACCGTACGGTAGTAGCGTGTACCTGCAGCAGCCGGCGGGTCGCAGGTGCATCCAGAAACGGGCACAGCGTTTGGTCAGGATACAAGGGAGGTAAACCAAGTACGTATGTATAATCCACCATATTAAGGTGTAGAGCTTACGCTTGTGCTTCCTTTTTGAGCAGTGCGAAGCCCACGGCCGACGGACGACTTTGCCATTACGCGCGGCGGGGTTGCGAAAGCTGCGACAAACTTACAAATCTGACGTTTTTTCCCGCTCGTGTGCGTGCATCTAGTGAGTACCAGATAACCATGGAACAAAGGACGTACACAGATGATCTCGGGAGTTCGTGTGTTCGTATAATCGTAGTAACCTACAGTAGTATACTAACCTACTTTAGTACACTACAGTGAAAGCCCGGGCACGCCGGGGTCCCTCATTTTGAATGAATTCCAGCAGCGCTAATAAGCAAGCTAACTGTCACAGTAGATATCAAGTTACCAAATACCGAAGGCTGCTTTGACTGACGAAATCATCTTGAGTACTGACCAGTCGGGATCTGCTATGACGCTTAGGAGAAGAAGAAACGAAAGCAGAATATTTTAAGCTAGCTTTTGCCAAAGGAAGTAAAAAGAAGACACCAGAGAAAAAGTCCAAGGTTGTATCTTCCAACTTTCTACTGTAGTAGTCTAGCACTTCTAGCGAGCTTCGATGAGTTGTTCTGTGGGTACCTGGGACTGGAAAAGCGCGCCAACGGCGCAACCTGCCAAGCCCACATACATTAACGCACCAAAAGCAGTTCAGCCCGTCTATTTCCCTCTCTCTCGCACTCACTCACACGCTTCTAGGAGGGATTCCGCCTGGGGTCCCCCCTGGTTACTGTATAGGCCCTTGAATGCTTGGTAGCCCGCCAGCCCGAACCAGCCCACCATCTTTCTGTGTGAGTTGCCTTCAACGCATAACAACGTCCGCCCCATTGGGAAATTATTCAATGCCTTCGCCTGTTTACCCGCAGTCTCAACGTTGCAGCTTATTCCGGCTCTTATGAAGATCTCGGGGGCACCAATGAATGACGCGATGGCCCGTGTTCTCCCCAGATAGTAACAAAGATTCCCTCTATCCCACAAATAAATCCCAGTCAGTAGGCAAGGCATGTTCCTCGTTTGGGGATCGCGACCCAGCCGCACAGCCGAAGGAAAACAGAGAAGCAAAAAGAAAAGTATGGATGAACAGCCTGTCAACTGGTATTCCATGCTGATTCCGAATTGCGCTTCTCTTCGTATTACAGTGTACCATGTACAATTCTGTATAGGATCTACCTGGGTTGCTCACACCCAATGTCGAGAATCTAGACAATTGTAGCCGTATGCAGTAAGAATAAAAATGGATCCCCCCTCGGCGTGTAAATCAGGAACCCGAATGCAGTCATACCTCAACTTGGTTGATCTCTTGGATGGGAGCGAGAGGATGAAAATGTGTCAGCGTAGGAATCATGAATTATTGTTATATGATATCACTCTTGTTTGATGTTTACTACCAAACAGCCTACAGACAAAGTGATTATAATAGGCTGAACGCTGTCCGGCGGTATTGCCGCGTGGCCTGTATGTTTCCTAAACAGAGACAAGAGGAGAAGAGAGGGCTCAGCAACAAGAGAGTAATAGTAAAGGAAGCAGTGGTAATAGTAGTAGTGGTATTCATGGTTGCCGAAAATAGAAGTAGTTCCTCCTTGGGGGTTTGCTCGTCCTATCGCATCTCTTTTCAGCAACTTTCAGCCGAGTTGGAGGTGCCACCCACTTCTGATGTCCCTGGAGCGCGGCCGACCCAAAACCCCTGGCAACAACCCAGTTCCAGCATATCCGGCTCGATTATTGGGGAAAAGAAGACAGCCCCGACAACTCCTGCTTGCCTGTGGAAAAAAAAGAATCCACACAAAAGAGGCAACCCTTTGACCAGGGCTTACTGCTTGTTGATCCTCTTCCACACTTCTGTCTCCGCCGCCACGAGCTTCTCGCCTGTCGCTTGGGCCCACTTTTTGGCAGAGTTCCAGACGCCCTCGTCATCCGACCCATACTCGTAGCCGGACTCATTGCGGCGTATAGCAGACTGCTGATATCTGTCGAGCTCAGATGCGTCTGCATTCTGGTGATAGCCTGGCGGGTGCTCCAGACTCTGGGCGCCGCTGCTCGCGCCTACCTGGTTGTTGTACATTGTCGGCGGCGGAGGAGCTGCCGACATTGTGCCGGACTGCTGGGCTGGATATGCCATGGTGGGAGGTGGGATTGACATCTGCTGGGGATATGACGGCGCCGGTGCAGATTGTGGGGATACATACTTCTCGCCATCCTTTGGCGGAGGAGGAAGGTGAGCCGTCCTACTAGCAGTCGGCTGAGCACCAGGTTGTGGTGGTGGGGGTGCGTCGCTCTTATCGACAAGGCCCTGCGTAGGAGTTGGTGGGATGTAGGCAGCTCGCGATGGAGCTGCAGCGCTGCCCGTTGGCGCTGGAAGAGAAGGAACAGCTCCAGGCTTGGCCTCAGGGTAAGAGGAAGTCCGTGACTGGGTCGGTGAGGCCGTGATAGAAGCTGGAATTGTCTTCTCTTGTCCTGCTGATGCTCCTGCTGAAGCTGTCTGCGGAGTGACTCCTGATGGCTTGGTTGCCACTGGGCTGTTTGCGTAAATGGGAATCGGCGGCATTGTATTGCAATGTTTTGTTGCCCCTGGTTTTTTCGCGGAAAATCAATGATTCTGAAAATTGTTAAAGTACGGAATTGACAATCGTGGCCACAAAGTGAATCAGGTCGCTAAGACAGGTACCTAGGCAACGACGTCATCGTGTGTCAGGTGACCTGAACTCTCCCCTTTATTCAATGCGAGCAAAAGAGACTGCGAGTTCATATTCCTTTTATTGGCGTTTTCTCTCTACTTAAACCTTATTAAATGGCATTTTGGCATGCATGGTATGATTTTCGTGGGTTATGTCTAGTCTAGAACTCGGGGGTTCTGCAGATTGATGTACAGCCAGCTTGTGTTTTACACTCGATTATCAAGGCTCGAATCAAATTACATTGGGGCAATGTCGAAATATTTGTTCTTTACATTTTATTTTTCTTGTTTCAAAAGAAAATATGTTGCACACTTGTACTTTGTGTAGACAATTGACCGATTACAGTTCCATGACTGATTCGCTGAAAAGCAGCTCAACATTATTGTGAATTGAACCTCTTCAGGCCGAATATTGCTCGTATGCCCACCTGATTGACCCTACAAACGCCTAAACCATAGATTATAAAACATAAAAGACATTGCCCAAGATCGTAGGTTTGATCGCTGAAAGCGCTAATCGGAAGCTGAAGTAAAGTCGTCCTCATGAGCCTCATCGGGGTCCTTGAAGACGCCAATATCAATTCTGCCCTCGAGCTCAGTTGTGAAGTACTCGATAAGCCAATCTTCTTGATCTCTGTCGAATTTCCATTTGCCTATTTGGTTGTTGATTTCAACCACGATGCCCTTGTGTTGCTCAGGGTCGAGTTTCGTGGCAAATGTTCGAAGGCCGTCAAATGTGAAGACCGACAAGGCATTTACCAAAAGGCTCTTCAGGTTTTGAAGGTTACTAACCGACTCGAGAATCTGATCGTCGATCCATTCTCCACCAAAACCCAGGTTCGTCAATTGAGGTAGAGCCGTCACGATCTGACGAAGCTCGATTGCACGAATTGATGCCCGTTTTAGATCGAGCTTCTTGAGGTGTCTGAGTTGACAGATTGAATCTGCTAGAACTGGAGTTTCGTGTACAACAAGGGCATCAGGCATTCCGTCTAGACCGCCAATGGTGAGGTCCTCGAGTATCTCCTGACGCCCCAGTGCTGACCAAGCAGCAGCGTCAAGTATATCGCCCTGCGAAGAGAATCCTTGCAGATCCAAGGCGAGCAGTTGTACATTGGGAGATGCCAAGACATCCTTGATTATCAGTAAGCTGTCGCCAATATTGGATAGCTTCAGTGTCCGGAGGTTCTTGCAAGACCCGATCCAGTCTACCACTTGCTTTAGCAGATTGTCATTCCCTGCAAGGTGCCAAGGGTTGTGTCGCTGATTTTCCAGGGAGAGATGTTCAATTGCGGTGCACGAGGGCAGGGCATTCAGGGAGTTCATCACGTCGCCGGGCAGACTGCCCAGAGTGAGAGTCTTTAGTGACCGAGCGTGTGCATTGAGCGCTCTCAGCGTCTGCAGGCCGATGTCGTTGTAACTTATGATCTCGAAACACTGTAATGAGTCACGGGGGAGAATCTGGAGAAAACTGGCGACATTTTCGTCCGCGCTGGCACCTGAGCATAGCAGACAAACAAACTCGGAGAACTTGGGACACCATCTCGCAATGGCACTCGCCGCTTCTGGAGTCAGCGCCGATGCTTCTTGCAATTGGAGAGACTGGAGTGAGGGGATGCGTGCTATCCACACCGGGAGGAGATCCGCTGGCAATGAGCTTGCTTCGAGATGATTAAGTGATACGGCGGTCTTGGAAAGGTCGGCCATCTGTTTGATATAAAGAGTAAGTGAATCCCCGGATTCAGTCATAGAGCGCTGAAAGTCAAAAAAGGGCATTCCCCGATTTCTGGTGATCTTCGTTTTCCATGTCTGATTTCCTCGTAGAACTAGGAACTGTTTCATATCCTCGAGAGGCTCAAGAAGGTCGACTGCCTTGTTGTTCCAGATATCTTCAAGCAGCGATCCATAGTTGCCAAGAGAGAGTGATCGAATCCACGTGCAGTATGGATATGCCGTCTTCCCGATACTTGACAGGAGAAGGGATTTCCACAATCTTGCCACTTTCGAAAGATTGAAGGTTTCTGCGGTATTGGCTGGGGACAGCTCGTGAATGCTGATACATATATACATGATTAGCATCTCGCCTTTTTCTACGGGCAAATGGGGTTTGCTTGGCGGTCGAATAATCATACCTGTACAATTGCTCCAATGCAAGACTGGCCACTCTTACACTAACTAGGGAACAGTTGAAGAGCGTTCCAAAGTCGCGCTGCCAGGTGAGTTCTTGGCATATCAGCAGGATAATGTCCTGGGGCAGGCTTTCACGCGACATCTTGGCAGGCGGCCCGAGGGCAGCCAAACGGAGAGGCCAGAGGAGTAGTGCCCAAGACGATTGAATGTGACCAGACACGCGCAAATTCAATGGTTGTCAATGAATGATGGTTGCGAAACGTGATGTGGCCGCGTACAGGTATAGGTAACAAAGTAGGTTCAAGTCCCTTGATGTCATGGAATAAGTGCCGTGAGCATGCAGATCACACACTGTACCAGGCGCCGGGACTATCCGTATCAAGTACAGTGCATAATGATGGGAATGCTGTGTCAGCTACCCCGCGACGCGCTTGCTGGACGCGACTTCCCAGCTGCCTGTCAGCTAACCTAGAGAAGTGCATGCAGGTGAATCGGGTCCATTAAGTTTATGTGCCTGGAGCTCCTTCAATTCCATCCCCCAAAAAGTGCCAGGCAGCGTTGAACCAAGAAAATCTTTCGCAAATTTGTGCGATTGAAGCATCGTCATTGTATGAGTTCATTGCATGCTCGTTCTACCCGATCCTCAACCTAGACGGCACAGCACAGGGTTCGTGCCGTATTCTACCATGAGAATAATTGAAGGCTAAGCATCACCTCGGATTATATCAGCAGCTGGGCTGCTATCTTTTACCAGAGATGCCTCTTCTCAGATTCACGCTTAGCGAGGATGGCGTCGGAGCTCTGCGTGATGCATTGGCATGCCTGAATAAGTTCAGCGAAGAGGTCTCCTTGGAAGCGACAAAAGACAAGGTTTGTGCCACGAGGGGAATCAAACTGTCAAGGTTCTAGTCTATTCGAGCTAATCCTTCAATTCCCAGCTTGATCTCACTGCCATGAACTCATCCAAGTCAGCATATGCCAAGGTCTCATTTGCCACCAATCGTTTCTTCTCAAAGTATCACTTTGAAGGGGCGGCCCAAAACAGGAACAAGTTCTTCTGTAAGCTATATAATCGGGTAACATGCCTCACGATTGCCGTACATACTTTTGCACTCGACGCTCATTGTTATTCAGGCACTCCTGTCGATATTTCGAGCTCGCAGTGGAGACCCTTTACATGAACATGACAAGAATACTACCATAGAGCGATGTGATGTAGCTGTTGAGGACGATTCTGAAAAGGCCAGCAGGTTCGTTGTCAAGATTATATGCAGGAATGGTACGTATTCGACTGTTTTTATTTTCCCGAGTTGTCCTCACTGTGGAAAATCTAGGCATGACCACCAAATATCGCCTGCCCTTCGAGGTCACCTCTCCCGTTCATGCAATATTCAACTCGGAAGAGGCTACCAATCATTGGTCTATGAGCTCTCGAACTCTGCGGCAGTTAATGGACCATTTCGGTCCTGGGATCGAATATCTTGATATTCATGCGGATGATGACCAGACAGTCAACTTTACCTGCTATACCGAAAAGATTGCAAATGGTGATGGTAGGTTGTTGTTGTGCTCTACGATTAGGCCATCATAGACTGATTTTGTCTACAGAGGTGTTGAAGAAGCCTTTACACACATCGATAGCCGTGGAACGAGACGAATTTGACGACTTTGAGGTCTCGGAAGACAGCGCCCACGTTGTAATTAGCGTCAAGGACTTTCGCGCCATCACACAACATGCATCGCCTCTCAACAGCGAGATGACTGCAAGTTATTCCTCGCCATCACGGCCTATGCAGCTGAGCTACAGAGGTGACGGTATCAAGTGTGAATTTCTGCTCATGACGGTTGGTGACCGAGCCGCCCCTGGCCAGAAAGGAAGAAAGGGGAAGGCCAACGCCAAGGGACCAAGACCTCCACAACTTGAAGCTGGCGCTGGCAGCCGCGCATCTTCTCGCGCGCCCAGTGCACCTCAACCCTCTGTAGAGCATGTAAGACGGGATCGACCGATGCCTCCACTCCGTCCGTCAAACTCAAGGCTTTCCCAACGCCCCCCTCCGCCAGCTTTCGATGATGATGATTCCCTATTCGTTGCCCAACCCCAGGACAACGATAACCAATGGGAACCTGTAAATCTCAACGACGAGGATGAGGAAGAGCAAAGTGCTCGATTGGAATGGGATGCCAGTGCACAACCAGTAGGTCTCAGGGTGTTTGAATGACACGGGATAAGCATGCTAATAGAACACAGACTCCGTCAGCCACGAGAATGAGACTCAGTACGGCTCGAGAAACGAGTGGTGGCAATACCGCGGCCGGTAGAGACCCTGGCGGCACACCTGATCCATCAGAATTTGAGCCTACCCAACGTTTGTCGGACGTTCGAAAATATGGTCTCTTTGGCGAGTAGCAGATGGATTAATCACAATATTGCTAGACGGCCCGTTTCCACGAATCTGCAGAATGAGAGCCAGTATGTAAATGGGTACGACTTGCTCATCATGGCAGAACAGGACCAGGGTTTGTGGCATGGGCGGCGACTTCATGGTCACAGATGAAGGCCCTCGGCATGAATGTAGATCCAGCTAGTTGCACAACCTGCACCTATGGCTCCAATTCGAGAGCCATTGGGAAGATTGCTCGAGGCAGCAATGACATTCCAACGACCCTTGACATCACCTGCTCTTCCGTCTGTCTTTGGTCCACAATTGCCGTGTTCTCCCCAACCCCAAGCAAGTACTGATCCGTCTTCGGTGACTGCTAGTACATGTTCACTACCCGCTCCTATCCTTGTGAGTTTTGGAACTTCGGGCGGTGGAAGTTGCCCGTGATCGTCTCGACCCCATGCAATTAGTGTACCATCATCCTTGTGAATGTACACGCCACCCCAACTACCACTGATTGCAGTCCAGTTTGGGACACTGGTAGGCGCATCGGATTTGAGACCCCATTTGTCAGGGCCGAGGACGAGAATTCTGCCCTCTCCTTTTCCACTGATCAACACAGTTGAGTGTTGTCCGCATACGACATCGGCAACCTTGAAGAGCACCCCACTAGTGCCGCCAATCTTACACGGTGCCTTGTGAATCACGGGCGGGGGAGGTGCACCATCCGGAAGGGACACCAATTGACCCAACTGTCCCTTCCTCCCATTACCCCAGCCGTATACATCGCCGTTACTCAAGACAGCCACAATGTGTGCTAGACCGGCAGCAATGCGAACGACCTCGAGTCCTTCAGGCGGAAAGTTTGGCACCAGTCGTGGCTCAATGATGCCCTGTGATTCGAAGCCAAGCTGACCCTGCTCGCCGGTGCCGCAACTGTACACCTTGGTGGCCTTGCCATTCTCATCTCTCACTATAAAGGTAGAACTCTCCCAGGTGCACGCCACGTCGACTATGGGGCCAAGGGTGGTGCCCGTTTCTTCAGTCAGAACCAGCTCCTCGAATTGGGCATTGTCTGCGGTACCAATGGTGGTGATGCCGCACGCCCCTTTGGAGGAATCTCCGCTCCAGTAGGCCTTTCCAGACTCGGTGAGGATGACTGAGTGGTTGCCGCCGGCCGCGACCTTGACAATGGCGTCCGAAGGCGGTTCGCAATGAAAGATGATGGGTTTGGGAACCGAGACGTCTTCCTTGTGGCCAAGGCCAAGTTGTCCCGATCCGTTGGAACCGAGAGCGAATAGTCCGGACATATTTCTGTCTGAATCCTTGGTCCTTTTGAAGTAGTATTTGGATGCCAGTGATGATGTTTAATGCTTCCGGCGCTGTATCATTCTAGTTGAGACCACAAGGCGGCATCCGAACATAAACTAGCAGCTACTTTCAAAGATACGTGGTTAGACAATAGAAACAAATTTCAAATTTGAACGACTGAGGAGCCAAATTATAAATGAGACTTGTTGATCAAGAGAGGAGAAAACAAGATTAAGAAATGCTTGAAAAAGACAATGAAATAATTGAATGTGATCAGGATTCAGCATCATGCTCTTCCTCTTAGTGTTTACCTTAGCAAACGTTGGAGCTAGAGTGGATACCAAGGTAGGTGACCCGCCCGTCCCTCTCGAGATGCACGGGCCGGAATCGCGCCGGCCGTTCGTGTCTGTCCCCCACCCAGATGCTGACACCTCAAAATTCTCAAAGCTTTAAAAAGGCGCCAGAGTTTTCCTTTCCCTCTCTCAACTTCCAACCTCAAAACCAAGGACGTTGATTGTTTGTGTCCTCACACCCGCCTCGGCCTTTCTCTTGAGACATAGAGAAATGAAATGAGGTGGTTTATGGTGCCAACTGGTTGATTCAAGGAACAACGGTACTATCTTCTAAACTGAAATCAAACCGCAACAGTAGCAGCAGCAATGGCGGCCACAATTCCTCTGCAGGTGCCTCCAGGCATGGAGAACTTTGCGATTGGTATCATTGGCATGGGAGCCATGGGGAAGATGTACGCTCAGAGGCTCAGCGATGCCGGTTGGAAGTAAGCCACACCCCATTGCGAGCAGCGACCTCAATGTCGTCGTCGCGGCTCTAGAGCCTCTGAGGAGTTTTGACAGGTAAGCATCTCACTTTCTCCACCTTCTCACCCCCCCACACACAACCGATGCAATGATGACTTGAGTGCATTTGGCTCGAGTATTGCCTGTGGTCGGCTGGATCGGCCATTCTGGTTCCCAGTTGACTGCTTGCTTTCCATGATGTAACTTCTCAGCTACCTTAATTTTTTCTTGTCTGAAGCGCATATCGGAAACCACCTTTTTTCAATACGGAGATCGTTGTCTGTGGCATAAAGCTAACAAGTTTCCTCCAACAGGCTGACCCAAAACCCTTGCGATATAGAATCAACGGCTGCGACCGGGAGGAAAACTACGAGAGCTTAAAGGAGGAGTTTGCTAGTAGAGTACATATTTTTATAGTTCATTATCCAATCTCAGGAGCAAATGCTGAGAATTTGTCCAGAGCAATGTTGAAATCTTCCGCAATGGCCATTTCGTGTCTCGATCCAGCGACTGGATCATGTACAGCGTAGAGGCTGCCAATATTGACAAGATTGTGTCCGTGTACGGCCCTTCCACCAAGATGGGCGCCATTGTTGGAGGGCAGACTTCGTGCAAGAAGCCCGAGATCGACGCTCTCGAAAAGCATCTTCCGGCGGATGTTGACATTGTTTCTTGTCACTCGCTCCATGGCCCCGGGACTGACACTCGTGACCAACCCTTGGTATGCTCTGTTTACTCATCATACCTTTGCTTACATTTTTGACAATCCTCATCACCCGTTTTTGCAATTTAGACTAGTCACATTGTCGAATATATGTTGATGACCATGTCACTCACGTCTTTGTAGGTTCTGATCAAGCACCGTGCCTCGGAAGAGTCGTTCAAAAAAGTTGAGGCTGTCCTGAGATGTCTCCAAAGCCGGCATGTCTACCTGACAGCCCAGGAGCATGACCATATCACGGCTGACACGCAGGCCGTGACGCACGCAGCCTTTCTCTCCATGGGCAAGGCCTGGAACAGCATGAAGGAGTACCCGTGGGAGACGGCCCGCTACATTGGCGGCATTGAGAATGTCAAGATCAACATTATGCTGCGCATCTACAGCCAAAAGTGGCACGTGTACGCCGGCCTGGCCATTCTGAACCCCGAAGCCCGCAAGCAGATTGAGCAGTACGCCAAGAGCACGACGGAGCTGTTCAAGCTCATGCTCGAGGGCAAAGGGGACGAGCTGCGGGCGCGCGTCTACGCGGCCAAGGAGCGCGTGTTTGGCGGCGGCGCGGGCCGCCAGTACAAGTCCGACGACGAGCCCCTCCTCGACGACGAGACGCTGGACCAGTTCAGCCTGGGCAAGAAGCCCGAGCTGCTGCTGCCCAATAACCACCTGTCCCTCCTGGCCATGGTGGACTGCTGGTCGGCGCTGGGCATCGTGCCCTACGACCACATGATTTGCTCGACGCCCATCTTCCGCATGTGGCTGGGCGTGACCGAGTCTCTCTTCCGCAACCAGGAGCGCCTCGACGAGGCTATCCGCGTCGCCGTCGAGGACATGTCGTTTCGCAGCGACGACCTCGAGTTCACCTTTGCCGCTCGCGGTTGGGCCGAGTGCGTCTCGCTCGGTCACTTTGAGACGTGGAAGGAGAGGTTCGTCGCCACGCAGCGCTTCTTTGAGCCCCGGTTCGCGGGTGCCATTGAAGTTGGCAACGAGATGCTCAGAGTTCTCGCAAAGCGACGTAGGGGAAGCCGTTAGGATTGGAGAGGCGACTTTAGAGTACAGTTTAGTGTAAACAGCCTACCCTGGGAATAGACGGAATAGACGGAACCAAATTAACCTATCGAGTTAACTACAATGCAAGATAGTTCCAATGCCTTTTTGATCATGTTTCTGGAGTATGGCGCTTTCAGCTGCCATCTAATCATCCCAGCAGGTCCATGGGTTCCGCGGAATTCCCTACACTTGCCCCATGCCAAGCGCGAGTAATTATCGTGTGCTTGGTACAGAGACAACCCACGCGAAACGCCAACAAACACGAGCACAGTAAAAAGTGACTGCCCATGATGCCACTTTTGAGACTTCCCTAACACGCTCCTGGACATGCGCCCGCCTCCCTCCTCCTCTCCTCTCATTCTCCTCTGGTAGCTCCCAGGTTTTGTCGGATACGCCAAGAATCTAGGAGGCTCGGTTGCATGGCTTAGCGAGCTTATCATAACTTTTTAACCCTTCAACGGTTATTTGGGGCATGTTTCTTGGCGCCCAGCGCTTATTCTAGACCGTACCCACAAGACTTGGGGGGGTTTCTTCCCTCTTCTCTACCACCTTAATTTGATCTCTTGTGGTCTTGGCCCGGTGATATTTTCAGCAACATTGTCCCTTCCCCGGACTGGTGTTCGTCCGATCGTGAGGGAACCAAGAAAAGAAAGACGTCCAATGTTCTAAATGTCAGCTGAGATATATATCCTTTGCTTAATTTATCTAGTGAGGAGCGATTCCATGGCTTGCGGGCAGTGCGCGCCAGCATCCCCCATCAGTAATCTACATTACTATTGTAATTCGGCCCCGTGGAAATTCATGGACGAATACAAAGCCTTTTGAAAAGCTCTACAAGCTCCGGACCAATCTGTTAGTTGGGCCCGTCAACGCGCGGCTTGAATCAAGGGGGAGTTGAGAAGGAGAAAAAAAACGAAGGGGCCGCACGCCCAGCCAAAGCCAAGCTTCCCGTGGTCCAATCCAGCGGTCGCCCTCCTCCGTCCAAGAGTGCGCCGTGTATCAACAACATACGATTTCTTTTTGTCCCCTTACCCATTTTGTCGTTCCTCCTAGTACAATCCCATATTCCAGCAGCCTATGTAGGTAGTTTGCATAATAAACCCATGCTTGATTTTATCCTCTTCCCCCATCAGCCGCCATTGGGGGGTGTTTATGGACTGGCACGGGGTATTTTGAACGTCTCAGCCTTTCTTCTTTTTACCCCATGCTGACAAACAAACCCTGTTCCTCCAGCATCTTTCTTAGATTTATCTGGGGTGGTTCATAGAACAGTGCTGGAGGTCCAGATGCAGGAATGTCCTCGGCATCATATTGGCGGGATCCGGCATCCCGGCTCCAACATCGTGGAAGGGGGACATATTTTGAATAAACGACGTTTGACTTGGTATTGCCCATTCAAAACTTGCCTTCCTCACCTTGCTTCCCATGATGGATGAGGGAGAAGCGCCAAGTTTTATTGTCAGTGTGCATCATCTTGTATGATCCAAGGTTGTGGTGGCCATCTCAGCCCCCCCTTCTCCTCCCATGTCTACGTGTATGATGGCTTACTCTTATATACAAGCCTTCCTGCGCCTGGAATGAGGTAAGAAACCATATCTTGTTCTGTAAAAACATTCGCTATTGTAGGGCTTCGGTTTACGTTTGCTGCGCTTTCTTCTTTTCATTTCACTTACGTTCCTCTCGCTCCGTGAGTTTGAGTCTGGACTTTTTTTCGTTTTTACCTTTATTTCATTCAAACATACGTTCTTGATTACTAGACACTTTCTCTCTTTGTCAACTCTTTATATCAGCATATTCTTCTTTTCTGGGCTGGCCGTCTGTCTTGCAACATTTTCACTCAAGTTCAACTTCTATCTCTGAAATTTCCTTTCTTCTTCTGTTTGACAAACCCATATTCAAGGAATAATCCGAGTACAAGAGTTCTCAACAAGATGCAACTGATTCAGAAAACCTATATTCTAGGAGCCCTTGTGGCTCCAGTCCTCGGCTTCTGTGGTTCACACACTCATCTCTCAGCTAGAGCAGAAGAGGGTGAAGTCAAGATCAACACCTTTGGTTACTTTGGGTCCATTGTAAGTTTACCTCGGCGGCCGTCTTTATTTCTTGTCATCTCAGATAAAAGAGTTCTATCTGTCTAACACACATGTATGGCTAGGGCCCCGAAAACTGGGCGGCTCTAGACGCGGCCAACAGTCTGTGTGCCACGGGAACCCGTCAGTCCCCCATCAACATGGCCGACGGGCAGTTCCACATGCTCAGCGCATCAGACATTACCCTCGAGATGCCCGACCAGCCCGAGGGCGCCGAGTTTGAGAACTTGGGGACCACGGTCGAGGTCGTGCTCGAGGGCAAAGGTGGCAAGCTGTCGCTGGCGGGCGTCGAGTACGAACTCAAGCAGTTTCATATTCATCACCCCAGTGAGCACTTGGACAATGGCACGAGTGTTGAGAGTAAGCTCCATGATTTTGCCCATCTCTATTCCCTCCCTTGTTTTGCTATGAACACAATGGGCAACAGACTAACACCAATTCCCCCTTCTTTAGTGGAAGTTCACAACGTCTTTGAGAGCGCCGACGGCCAACTGGCCGTGATTGGCGTCTACCTTGAAAGCGATCTCGGATCTCTGGTCAACGTGGCGACTCGCGCCCGCCGACAGGAAGCACTTCCGGCCGGAACCACAAACTTTACCATCATGGCATCTTCCGCCCTGCCCGAGACGGACGCCATCCTGTCGCCCATGCTCGAGACGGTTTTTGAAAAAGTCGACGAGATTGCCGCCCCCGGGTCCAAAGTCACGACGGGATCGCTGGTCTTTTCCGAATACATTGCGGCTTTAATGTCGGGCGGTTTTCAATCGTGAGTAAAAAAAAAAACACCTCTATTTATAACCCTTGATATAATCAGACGACTTTAAGTCCCATGTTCTTGTGGTTGCTGATGAACTCTTTTCTTCTCGACAATTAGATACTCGGGCTCCTTGACCACGCCCCCTTGTAGCGAGGGCGTCAACTGGCTGGTCGCTACCCAAAGACTCAAGGTCTCACCGGCAGCGGTACGCCGCGTTTCCAGTGTGGTCAAGTTTAACTCTAGGATTACGCAGAATCTTCTGGGAGAGCCAAACATTCTCAACTTTGCTACCGTGAACTCGGCTGCTCAGGCATAATGGATCACATGAGTGTAATAGACAGAGGTGGTTGAAGAGTAAATATAATGGAACTTTACTAACGGCTGGATACGTACCTTGGTAGAGATAATTAAGACTGCCATGTAAATCATATTCTGCCGTGTTCGTTGTCGTGCATCTGGATTATCATACAAGTGTGGCGTCTTGGAGACATGGATGAGTTGATATCTAAGGAACAGGGAAGACGGCGCTCTGAATTCTGGTGATGATTACTTGATATCAGTTTGTTGTTGCGAAATCCGACGAGGTATACATCAATTACATGTAGACAAGATCCAATGAGTAGCACAGCTAATGTTCAAAAACTGTTTCTTGTTTCATATCGTAGGCAAAGGTATTGGCATTACGAGCTGCTACCTATGCGAAATCTCATGACCCATGAGAGAGGAAATCCATGCATGCAATCCGCAACCCTGAGAGATGTAGTGGTTCCGTCGCACAAACGACGACGGTCGTGATCCCCCTACCATTTGACGCCGCCAGTACATGTCTTTCGTTTTTTATTGCCCTCATCCATGTAGAAGAAACGCAACTTTCCCGCATTTATTCATCAAAGCCGCCCACGCTGGAGACAAATCCCTTTTTAGCGGGTGCTGGCCTTGACCTTCTGCTGTGCACCCTTGGCTCCCTGCTTGCCAACAATGCGTTGAGTCTGGCCCTTGGAGGCGGTAGTGGCACGCTTGGCCTTCTCCTCCTTCTTGACGGCGGCCTCGGCGGCCTTCTTCTCCTTGGCGTCCTTGATGGCTTGCGATCGCTGAGCCGAGCGGGCCTCGGGTCTCATGGATCGGCGCTCCTTGATGACATCGAGGGAAGCACCAACGATGGCACGCTGGGCCTTGACGGTGCGGCGGGTGCGCTTCTTGGCAGCCTCCTGTAGTGTGTGTTAGAAAATCTGCGGTACATGGCATGACGCCCAGTGGGAGGCGATCTTGTGTCCTGGAGCAGTCGTGATGCGGTGCCAGTTCATCGGTGGGACCTGACGAAACCACCACATCATGCGACTGGACCGGAGACGAGATTTCGGATTCGTACCTCAGTGATACCCTTGCGGTGCTGTCTGCGGAAAAGAACGGTCCAGGCAATGCGGCGGGGGTTCTTGCGCTGGAGGAAGAGCGACTCGGACTTGCCGTTCTGGAAGCGGAAGATCTTGCTGTCGCCACGGACAAAGAGCTTACCCTACATTCAGACGATTCCCGTTAGTTTCCATGTTCCCAAACAGACAGAATAGTAGAGGTAATTGTTGGTTGGCATGTATGTCGTGTTGGCGCGTGGCATTCGGTCTCGCAATCGTAGGCCGGAAGTCTTGTTCTTTTTTGTTCCCCTCTTCCAATTTTCCCTTTCTCAGCACCATGGCGTCAGTGGTCTGCCTTCAAATGTCCATCCCGTTACAACAGGCGATCCACTCCCATTTACAACAACCTCTTTTCCGTCTCGAGAACCCAGAACCGACCCTCGATTGCGCAGACGAAGCCAGGCCGTACGATGGATCGCGGGAAGGAGCAGAGCCGTACCTTGCCAGGGTAAATTCTCTGGCCCGAGAATGTGTCGTCGTAGGTTCTCATTGTGGCGGTGGGTTGATGAGAACTGCTGTCGGATTAGTTGGGTCGGGGCTGGATTTGCTGGGTGAGGTCAGTTGTCGTTCGAAAATCCCGAGCCAAATCTTGAATTGCAGCGAAAGATTGTGGGTGCAAAATTCGGAAAGGGCAAAACTTGCTGACTAAGTTTAGCCTTGGTCCGTGCACACACGAGCCCACCTATGGTTCTGCCAGGGCTTGGGGTGTCTCGGCTTTGCAGTGTCCGAATTCTCAACCCCATATTTCGATACAAGTTTTGGCTGGTCATGATGATGATGAAGTCGATGACTTCGAATTGAATTCGTGGATGTTTAATAGGTCAGGTATCGTCTTGGATTGTTTTGGACATTTATCAACCTCTAAAATATTTAAATTGACACTGAGGTCGGCTTTTTGTTGTATCAAAAAATTTCAAATCATTACTTGTTGGTCATCTTCTTTAGCTTGTATACTACTAACTTGGATATTGAAGTATTCTATTCCATCTAGTATGATTCCAGAGCCAACCGCTAGGAAATAAAGAAGAGCTGACATAGTTCTCGATATAATATTCTACATGTCAAGGTCTGTCTTACAGAATGAAGTGAACACCATGATTTCCAGGAACACCCGAGGGACAGGAAGAAGAAGAAGCAAATTCTCACTCTAGCCCATTTCAACTTTCATCTTTAGGAGCTGATGAGCATTGAGAAGCTAACTACTCTCCACCCTTCAACTTGACTTGTTCTTCCTCCTCTCGTCCTCCCCCTTCCGCCTCCGTCGCAATATGCATCCATGACGGCAAACCCAGATACCATCGCTGCCCTGGTACTCCAGCACTTTGACCAGCTTCCCGCCAAGAGAAAGCCATTGGTGCGCGATAATGGCGTACATGAGTGGGTGCCCTTGAGCGGCATTGTAGCCCAAGGTATGAGATGACTTTTTGCATTCAGATATTGTTCACATCATGATGGGGAAAAAAAAAAAGCCAAGAGACTTTTGAAAACACAAAAATAATGATATGAAAGACTCACAATGGCCCAATAGGCAAAGATGGCAAGCTAACCTGCCTGTCCCTGGCCACGGGCATGAAGTGTCTGCCACATGCCAAGCTGCCTCGAGCCCAAGGCAACGTACTGCACGACTGGCACGCCGAGGTCCTGGCGATTCGGGCCTTTAACCGGTTCGTGTTGGACGAGGCGCGACTGCTTTTGTCCGGGGGCCCGTCTGCCTCGTCGCCGTTTCTGCGGTGGCGGGACGAGTCCGAGATGCGCGTGTCCTCGTTGGCATCATCGTCGTCGTCAAACGGGGACAGCCAGGAGCGACAACATCAGGAGCGGCAGCAGCAGATGAGCGAGGGTTCTGTTGGTGCTACTACTACGGGCGCTCCCAAATGGCACGCCCAACCCTTTGCTTGGCGCGACGACGTTGCGCTGCACATGTACTGCTCCGAGGCCCCCTGCGGCGACGCGAGCATGGAACTCACCATGGCGGCGCAGGACGATGCTTCGCCCTGGGAGATTCCGGCGTCCCTGCTATCACCACGGGAGGAAGAAGCTCTGCCCTTGGGCCCTGGTTCCAACGCCTCCTTCTCACCCTCATCATCATCATCTGCTCTATCCACTGCAGCAGCAGCAACAGCAGCAGCACAAGTTCAAACCCTGGGCCCCCTCCCCGGCCGCGCCTATTTCTCCCGCCTCGGCGCCGTACGTCTCAAGCCCGCGCGCGCTGACGCCCCGCCTACCCTGTCCAAGTCGTGCTCGGACAAGCTGGCGCAGGCGCAGTGCACCTCCCTGCTCGGCTCGCTAGCCTCGCTCCTCGTGTGTCCGTCGGGGGCGTACCTCGAGTCCGTCGTATTACCCAGATCGCAGCTCTCGGACACGGGGTGCCGTCGGGCCTTTTCCGGCAGGGACCGCGGCGGTCGCATGGCTGCCGTGGAGCCATACTCTGACCGGTGGCAGGGAGGGTACCGGTTCCGCGAGTTTGAGGCAAAGGCTACGGACCACGAGTTCAAGTGGTCCAAGAGAAGTGTCGAGGCTAGGGTCGGGGCTGAGAAGGGCAGGCTGGCGGCAAGTAATCTCGCAGTCGCCTGGACCGGCCACGGTCTGGAAGAGGCGACCTTGGGCGGGACTATTCAGGGCAGGAAAGCGTTTGACATCAAAGGTGCGAGCTTTGCATCGAGGCGGAAGTTGTGGGCTCTCAGTTTAGAAATTGCTGGTATGCTGGGGCTTGGCATGGTGCAGTCCAGAGAGGCTCTCATGTCCAAGACTTACGGCGAGGTAAAGAGGTCCAACTTGTTGCAAGCTAGGAGACAGGTCAAGCAGGATGTTCAAGCTGGGGCCTTGAGAGGCTGGGCCAAGAACGAGGGAGACGATGGCTTTGGTCTGTAGAATCTCGACTGATCAACCTAGACCATAGCTTCAATATTCTCATCAAGACACGGACGTATTGGAGTTCACGGAAATTTCATTTTTTTGTGTTACAAGCAGTGGCATCGACCCTTTTGCCATGCCTGTCTACAAGAGCCTAAATCCAACCATGGACCACAACAAGCCGGAAGGAAAATGACCAGATCCGTACTCTCTTTTGCTAGATGCCTGTAGGTATCTGAGCAATGTCCGCTGTAATGAGACTAAGCATCAACCGAATGTGCATAACGCCGTTTTGCCGTCTACACACCGCACGGCGACGAAAATCTAGCATCCCGTCGTCGAGAGGTGGCAGACACAATCCACACCCGCACATCCTCAGATCACATCCATGCCGAACGAACCACGTGTTTTAAATTTTGCAGAAACTCCTTCCAAATGTTCCGGATCAAGGGTATTTATTCAGGCGAGGGTTTTTGACGGTATTGCTGGTGGAGGGGCGAATTTATTCGACCTTGCTCTCAAAGTTCTCGCCAGCGACCAGGTCGGGGATGTCATCATCGTCCTCACCACCCTCCTTGTTCTCCTTGGCAATGTTCTGGTAGCTCTCAGCGAGCTTGCGGAGGGAAGCCAGGGAGTCGGGTCCGAGCTGGTTGAGGATACCAGGGACGAGCTCAGTAAGCTCCTTGTCTTCACCGGCACCGTAGATGGCAAAGGTGTTGGAGGGAACGGCGGCGTGGACTGTAAGACAGGGTCAGTTTGTCTCGAGGCATCGCACAAGTGGCAGCAAGTGAGCTAGCTGCAAAGATTCGATCGAGGGAAACACGTACCCTTGGGAGCCGAGAAGTGGATGACGTTGCCGTCCGACTTGAACATGTTGACCTCCTCAATGGCCTGGATGGGCTGAGTGTTCAGCTTCTTGAGGGTGGTCTGCAGCTTCTTGTCGTCGTTGGCGCTGCGGGCGACATTGCGTCTCTGCTTCTGTCTGGGGGTTCCCTTGCCGCCTGTAATGACCAGTCAATAGGTATTCCTGAATCAGTCCGAGGCGAGTGACGCCCAGCACAACCAGCACAGCCAACCAGCCAGCCTTTCCATTGACCGGGTTCGGGCCGCCGGGGGCGCGCGAGAATCGAATTGGGCTCACGACGTACCAGTGCGGGCCGGGGCAGCACCACCGAACTTCTTCTTCAGGATTTCCTGCACGTCAGCCATGTTGTCTGCTGGTTTTGGGGGGAATTCGAAGCTGGCGAGCTTGTAATTTTGGCGGGCGATGCGAGGATGTGGGGAGGGGTCGTCGGACTCGGAGGATAGCTCTAGAGCAGAGAGGTAAGGGAAAAAAAAAATTATTGAGAGGATCTGAAGTTTGCGAGCAATTTGTCAGCGCCCAAGTCAATGGTTAGAGGTGCAAATGTGCCCAAATAAAGTCGGCAAAAAGGCTGGGGGGTTTGTCCGTCTACTCACCTACAAATTATCCAGTCAATATCGTCGTCGAATCGCTGCTCTCTTCACTCGATCTCGGCTTGAGCCTTCCAAACTTCAGTCAAGTGCCAGGGTCGAAAATGTGCGTGCCAAGACTTTTTCGCTTGTGGATTTACCCTCTTCCGCCTTCTCTGCCTTCTGATTGGTCGGTGCTCTCAGAGCTTCCCCCCATTCTTACCATTGGCCGCTAAAAGAAAGCGTCAGCTAAAGTCTCACTATTAGATGCTACAATATCTATGTACTTGTGGTGATTTATTATTCGGGTGGTTTTAAACATTTAGATGTCATGATATTCGCCAACATCCAGAGAACAAAAGATACAGTCATCTCATTCACACAAGGCAACCGTGTCGTCACTGAAAATCTATTCATTTCTGTCTTGATCAGCCTTGTTTGATGTCGCACTCAGAACAAACCTCGACACACCAGATCTTTACTGGGTGATGGAAACTCATCGAATATACTATGTAACATGCCCAACCACTAGAATATCCACTTAATCCGTTGACAAACTACAGCCTATCTGCTGTAGGTCAGATGAAGCCACCTTGACACGACAATCATGGGAACATACTACAGACATACACACGCACATGCAACACAAATTCCATTGGATATAAGTCCGCAGGCAGAGTCATTTCTCCATTTTACCTTGTTGCAAGATTTCCAACAGTAACAGGGCCAATGCAGAAGATTCATTTGGCAATTCTTTTATTGATTGATCTTTTTGAGCCCATGATTGTTCAATATATACATGCTTGAACTTTATCAACAGTGAGTAACTTACTCATCGTCGTCGTCATCATCAGAAAACTTCAGCGCAAGCTTTTGTAAAGCATCCATGCCCGTCGAGATGTCGTTTTCGACCTCCACCTCAATTTCTTCAATTTCTTCAATCTCCTCAGTCTCTGTAGCCTTCTCAGAGCTTGATGTTGCCATCGTGTCTTCATTCGATATGCTTGGGGAAGAAGTTGAAGTACGGCCAATACGGCTGGGGGAAGAACTCTGGCTACGGTTAGATATGCTTATATCGTCCTCCACTGCCGAGGTAAAGACTTCGCTACCACGATGGTAGAGGCGGCCATCCTTCAAGGATGCTGCAATGCACTGCTCTGCCTCCTTGATATTCTCAGCATCCACAATTTGAGGGACTGGAGGCAGCACCGCAAGTTCCATATTCTCTATTGAGCAGTCGATTACCATGCGACCCAATTCCCGCTCAAATAACCACGGGAAGCTGATTAAGGGTTTCTGTGCCTGGCTGCGTTTTGGCACAACTGTGCCGGCAATTGTGCGGGTATCATGCCATTCTTGAATAGCAATTTGGACCTCCTCCCATGTCACAACGTACATGGCCGCGACAAACTCGTTCAAGATCTTGTGATCCCTATCTTGAGTTGCAGCATCTTCGGCTCCTGCTTGCTCAAGACAAGCCTGGATGAAGCGATCTCTGAGGCTTGTTATTACCGGGCCCATGTCCTCTTGGATCTTGTAGTTGCTGCCAAACCGATTCTTGCTCAATACAAAGGCCGTCCACACCTCGAATTCCGTCTTGATCTCTCGCTGAGTCATGATACGGTGCATGGCAATGTCATACTGCGTTTTCATGCCCCGGGCCCGCGTGAGTAGATCGTCGGACAAGTTATAGCGGCGGAGAATCCTGCCGTCGAAGGATGCCTCAAGGTCTGGAGAAAAGTCTGCCTTGGCCACAAGATCATACAACTTGCCGAGGATTTTGCGCGAGTGATATGACTTATCCGGGTTTCTCTCCATAAAGTGAGGCCACTGTTGAGGGCGGAGAGTTCGGGGGATCTGAGCCGGGTGGCCTGTCTTGGAATAATCAACGGCATTCGAATGCAATTGAGCCAACTCGACGCATTGTGGACTCTTTGGTCCATCCATTGATCTATCACTCCAGACCAGATGGGCCAGCGCAATGGTACTGAGCGAGTCGTTTTTCATGTACTCGACAAAAAAGCGGCAGATGTCTTTGACTGTAATGTCCTGCTTCACAATCTTAGGCTCCGCGGCATCATGGATCATGGGCGGATGATTCCACTCCTGGGGGATCAATTGCTGATCCCACATGACGAAATAGTCGTCTCCATCCAAGTCTCCGCCTGAGCACATGGAGGCAATATCGCGTTCTCCGTCGGCCGGAAACACGACCACATTTCTTAGAGCTTTGAGATCGGGGTGGTCGGTATTAACTGCCTCAACAACCCTCAGGTCTCCAGGATGGAGCGATGGGTTGCGGCCCACGATGCAAAGTCCTTCAATGACTCGAAAGTCGTTGGGATGGCCGGGTATGGGCACCTGTATGAAGATCTGTGGCAACTTGCTGCGGTCTTTTGCAAAGTTTGCCTCATTGACTTTTTGCTGGCCACGGAGTGTGCGTGTCTCGTCAATGCATCCAAATACGAATGCACCGTGCTCGACAACGATGCGAGCTTTCTCCCGGAGCAATTTCATCGACCAAGCTCCCCACAACTGAAGAAGCGACATTACAAAAGGCTCCTTTGTTTTCATGAAACCATCTTCAATCATTTGCGCAATGGTGGTTGTCATGCCATTTTCGTCGGTGAATTGCTTGAGGAGTCTCAATGCCATTTCCGGATCACTCATTGCTGTCGAGTAGTCTGATAGTTGGTGCTTCGCCAAGGTGATGAAGGCCTCATCTGGAACACCAAGACAACTAAGAATCGCAATGGTCTGTCGATTGAGCGTGGCCACTGAGAACCGCGACGCTCTAATGATTTCGAGATTCTTGGCCTGAGCAGTAAACTTTTTCTGAGACGGACGTATGGAGATTTCGTTGAAGTTCTGTGGCCACACGACCAGTATTCCCTTGCTTCCGCCGTGGCGAAACTGAAAGGCCGACGGTACTCTGCCATTCGAGTAGACTTTCAGCTTCTTGGCAATCTCCGTGGCCATCCACGATGAGATCTTACCAACCCCATCGCTGAAAGTCCATCCGTTGGCTTCAATGTCGGGGATATGCGTGACAGAGCTGCCAACGTTCAATGCCTTTGGGTCCCGTGTGGTTGAAAAACACTGACCGAGGCGAGACGCATATTTTCCAACCACATTGATGTGACTAAAGTCACCCATCCAGTCACGAATGTCGTCGCACGAAATCGTGGGCGTGGGGCTGAAGAAGTATGCACCGTGCTCACGGAACTGGGAATTGCCGAAAGCCAAGAAGTGGAAGTGCTTATCGCCTATCCGTATGCCGTTGCGCAGGGTGCGATATACTTTGCTGAATAGGGCATCGCTGGAATCGCTGTTGGGCAGAGGATGAACCTTGCCCTCGTTGCGCTCATCGGTGAACTGCACTCGAAGGAAGCGATCGCTGATTATTTCATAGTGTCGAAGTACTCGGTTCGTAGTTTCCGGCACTGGAGAGGCGAGATAGATCCTGGAAGGGGTAACAACTACCTTCCGCACCCACGTACAGTGCTCCGGCAATAGGTTGGACGTGTAATGCGTCATGGCAGATCTGTCGTCAAACAAGGACATGGGATTGTATATCGGCCTGCCAGCCTCCGTCGCGTATTCCAGCGCATACTTTGCCCAATTTACCGCCATATTTCTCTTGCGCACCGTATTCCCGTTGGTGAGTTGAAGACTCTGGCCACCCTCAGTCTGGAGATTGTCTTTTTCAGCGAGTTTTTTCAGAAACTCAGGAGTGATACTTTGCTCGATGAAAATGCCTTGCGAGATGGCCGCTTCAAGTTGCCATCGTACTTCCCAAGATAACTGGATCTTGTTTGTTTGAAAGAGAAGCGCAAGGGGGTCGGCCGTGTCTGCGTCGTCAGGATCATCAAGTGCCTCGCGGAAGTTGGAGTTCCGGCCGGGTTGCCAAGTGAAAGTATCAGCATCGGTGGGTATGAAGTGAATGTTGAAGTCTTTCAAGGCAGATTGCATTTGCAACCATGTAGGTAACTCAGATTTATCAAAATTGAGTCGATATGTGGTCCATTTACCCATGTCGATGTGCTGGAACGGGTCACACGCGGTAATAGGGAGCTGTGTTGTCCAGTCCGAGTAACTGATCTCAGTCGTCCTCACCCATGTATCCAAAGCGCTCCATCGATTATCGTCAGTCTGATGGGAGCTACTGATTTGTGAACGTCGTTTCCAGAACTTGGGTGGATGATTCTGTGGAAGCACCAAGCACCAATGTTCTGGGCTGGTATCTACAAAGAAAGCCTTTTGCAGGTGGAGAAATTGAATATCAGCTCGGAACTCTACTGCCTGTGACTGAGCCTCCATCTTGCCGACCGCTTCATGAATACCGACAATTGATTTGTCTTCTCTTCGCGGATCTTTGATGGTGCAGGTGAATCTTATCTCGATTCGTTTGTACCTGAAGTTGACAATCAAGATGGGAGAGAATTTGGGATGCTGGGCCGTCTTCATCACATCAATAACATGCTCATCGGACAAGAAGCCGAAGTCAAGACTGAGCATATTCAAGATGCTGTACTCAGAATACTTGAGTCCTGGTCTTGTTGGGCTCATAATCAGCCGTGGCCGCCGCGGAGGCTCCAGATTGATTTGGACTTTACGAGAGCCTCCACCCACTCTAATGGTGATGCTTCCCGATGACCAGAATGCGTTGTCCGGCGCAGGTAAGAAGTCGACGTAGGCATGGCGAGTGCGCTCTTCCCTCCTGGCTTGTGGTATAGTGATGGACGCAACGCGCCCATACGTTTCCAGTGATTGAAATATATCCGTAGCAGTGGTCGTGGGAGGCATTCTACTCAGCATGACAGTTACCTCACGCTGTTGCTTCCAATCTTGTCTAACGACTTGGCTTGAAGATTGATGGTTGCGTTGATGAGAAGCATTATTTGACCTCGGCCTTGACCGAGGGTTCTGGGTGGGCACCGGTCTGGGCACTGGTTTTGGCCACCGGTTGTCGGACTTCGAATCTGAAAATTGAGACATTGCTGATATTTCTAGAATAAACCGTCGGTGGGGGAACTGCTGTCGATGTGCAAGTTTCTGGGGTCTCCCCGTTTCGAGGAGGATTTGTCGACGAGATCAGCCGTCATATAAACAAAGTAAGATGATCGGCTCTTTCCTTCGAATATGGTGCGCTTTCCATGCAAGATAAGTCAAGAAGAAGGAGCGGCAGTTCTGGTGGGATAGCGATGGCCTCGTTCAGACTAGAGCACAAATTATGTCGCAATTTCACCTGGTGAGAGACATGTGCTTGGTCGGGGCTCCTGCCTGGATAGCAGAAATTGCAATGCTCTACGCCCAGCAGGATAGCATCTGCAGGCTGGCCGCAGAGTACAGTTTTACGAACAGCTTGACCCTGAATAATTGTTCCAGTCAGACGATATGTTGGAAAAAAAGGGCAATGAATAGAGATAGATACCTGGATGAGAATTTGTACTTTTCAAGCAGCACCTTATCTTACCAGCAACCAAATTCGGCCAATAGGAAAGACTCGTGTCTCTAAAAAGAATTGTTGTGTGTGTGTGGTGGAAGGCAAGAAGTAAGGAGGGGTCCAATTGGAAAATATTGCTTGAAGGTGAGAGTAGTGCAAGCTGTTGAGTCGACTGGTCAAAACCCGGAAGGCGTCGGCTTGGACAAGTCAATGAGCCGACAACGAGGGCCTCTCAGATGTCCGTATTCTCCGAGTTAGTCCGTGACTTGCTTCTCGATTAGCTATCTGCTTTGCTTCTATGACGGTGGGATCCCTTGTTCGTCCAATGTTTCAACACAATCGTCTGGAGTGAGAACAAGAGACGAGAGTGGGAGTGGATGATGGAGGAGAGAGGCAAGAAGGAGAAATGAGACAGAACGAACGACCGCAGAGCATGTCCGAGCTCTGGCTAGCTGCAAGGCCACAAGAATAGCCAGACAGCGAGGCGGGAGGATGTGCGGGTGCGTGAGGTTTGATGCCGGGTGATTGCCACTCCAAGCAGTAACAACAACTCACAGGCCAAATATTTGTTTGAGTGAGAAGGCGTCACTTGCATGATGCTGAAACGTAAAGAGATGTGTGCTCTATTGTCGTGAGTTGTGCATGATTCCGTGTGAGAAGAGAGAAAGGTTGGGAAATAGAGAGACGCACAAGGCAGAGAGAAAGAGAGAGAGAAAGCAAGAGAGGGAAAAACACGAGAGGAGAACAAGAGACACAAGAACAAAAGAAATGGAGGTAGAATTGTATGCGAGAGTGTCTCCGTGTGCATAGTGATTGGCAAACGATCACGATATGCACGGCGTCGTTGTATTACAGATTTGGAAACTTGCAAGACAAGAAAACAAAAGCAGTGCAAGCAGGAGTCAGACACCGCCGACGTCAAGGTCAAGTTGGGCAGGTGGAAGCACTGTGAGAAGGTTTTGGGAAACAGGAAGGAACCAGGGACGGCGGTGTGTTGCCTTTTTTTTTTTTTTTTCTTCTTTCTTTT